CCCACCCACCCAGCTGCGTTCCCCACCCACCCAGCTGCGTTCCCACCCACCCAGCTGCGTTCCCCACCCACCCAGCTGCGTTCCCCACCCACCCAGCTGCGTTCCCCACCCACCCAGCTGCGTTCCCCACCCACCCAGCTGCGTTCCCCACCCACCCAGCTGCGTTCCCCACCCACCCAGCTGCGTTCCCACCCACCCAGCTGCGTTCCCCACCCACCCAGCTGCGTTCCCCACCCACCCAGCTGCGTTCCCACCACCCAGCTGCGTTCCCCACCCACCCAGCTGCGTTCCCCACCACCCAGCTGCCCCCCCCACCACCCAGCTGCGTTCCCCCACACACCAGCTGCGTTCCCCACCCACCCAGCTGCGTTCCCCACCACCCAGCTCCAGCCCGCGTTCCCCACCCACCCAGCTGCGTTCCCCACCCACCCAGCTGCGTTCCCACCCACCCAGCTGCGTTCCCCACCCACCCAGCTGCGTTCCCCACCCACCCAGCTGCGTTCCCCACCCACCCAGCTGCGTTCCCCACCCACCCAGCTGCGTTCCCCACCCACCCAGCTGCGTTCCCCACCCACCCAGCTGCGTTCCCCACCCACCCAGCTGCGTTCCCCACCCCACCAGCTGCGTTCCCCACCCACCCAGCTGCGTTCCCCACCCACCCAGCTGCGTTCCCCACCCACCCAGCTGCGTTCCCCACCCACCCAGCTGCGTTCCCCACCCACCCAGCTGCGTTCCCCCACCACCCAGCTGCGTTCCCCACCACCCAGCTGCGTTCCCCACCCACCCAGCTGCGTTCCCCACCCACCCAGCTGCGTTCCCCACCCACCCAGCTGCGTTCCCCACCCACCCAGCTGCGTTCCCACCCCCCCAGCTGCGTTCCCACCCACCCAGCTGCGTTCCCACCCACCCAGCTGCGTTCCCCACCCACCCAGCTGCGTTCCCCACCCACCCAGCTGCGTTCCCCACCCACCCAGCTGCGTTCCCCACCCACCCAGCTGCGTTCCCCACCCACCAGCTGCGTTCCCCACCCACCCAGCTGCGTTCCCCACCCACCCAGCTGCGTTCCCCACCCACCCAGCTGCGTTCCCCACCCACCCAGCTGCGTTCCCCACCCACCCAGCTGCGTTCCCACCCACCCAGCTGCGTTCCCCACCCACCCAGCTGCGTTCCCCACCCACCCAGCTGCGTTCCCCACCCACCAGCTGCGTTCCCCACCCACCCAGCTGCGTTCCCCACCCACCCAGCTGCGTTCCCCCCCACCCAGCTGCGTTCCCCACCCACCCAGCTGCGTTCCCCACCCACCCAGCTGCGTCCCCACCACCCAGCTGCGTTCCCCACCCACCCAGCTGCGTTCCCCACCCACCCAGCTGCGTTCCCCACCACCCAGCTGCGTTCCCCACCCACCCAGCTGCGTTCCCCACCCACCCAGCTGCGTTCCCCACCCACCAGCTGCGTTCCCCACCACCCAGCTGCGTTCCCCACCCACCCAGCTGCGTTCCCCACCCACCCAGCTGCGTTCCCCACCCACCCAGCTGCGTTCCCCACCCACCAGCTGCGTTCCCCACCCACCCAGCTGCGTTCCCCACCCACCCAGCTGCGTTCCCCACCCACCCAGCTGCGTTCCCCACCCACCCAGCTGCGTTCCCCACCCACCCAGCTGCGTTCACCCCCACCAGCTGCGTTCCCCACCCACCCAGCTGCGTTCCCCACCCACCCAGCTGCGTTCCCCACCCACCCAGCTGCGTTCCCCCACCACCCAGCTGCGTTCCCCACCCACCCAGCGTGTGCCCCACCCACCCAGCACCACGTTCCCCACCCACCCAGCTGCGTTCCCCACCCACCCAGCTGCGTTCCCCACCCACCCAGCTGCGTTCCCCCATCCCCACCCACCCAGCTGCGTTCCCCCCCCCCCAGCTCCCCCCCCCCCTCCCCCCCCCCCCCCCGTTCCCCCCCCCCCTGCCTCCTCACCCCCCCCCCCCCCCCCCCCCCCACCCACCCACACCCACCCAGCTGCGTTCCCCACCCACCCAGCTGCGTTCCCCACCCACCCAGCTGCGTTCCCCACCCACCCAGCTGCGTTCCCCACCCACCAGCTGCGTTCCCCACCCACCCAGCTGCGTTCCCCACCCACCCAGCTGCGTTCCCCACCCACCCAGCTGCGTTCCCACCCACCCAGCTGCGTTCCCCACCCACCCAGCTGCGTTTCCCCCCACCCAGCTGCGTTCCCCACCCCACCCAGCTGCGTTCCCCACCCACCCAGCTGCGTTCCCCCACCCACCCAGCTGCGTTCCCCACCCACCCAGCTGCGTTCCCCACCCACCCAGCTGCGTTCCCCACCACCCAGCTGCGTTCCCCACCCACCCAGCTGCGTTCCCCACCCACCCAGCTGCGTTCCCCACCCACCCAGCTGCGTTCCCACCCACCCAGCTGCGTTCCCCACCCACCCAGCTGCGTTCCCCACCCACCCAGCTGCGTTCCCCCACCCACCCAGCTGCGCTCCCCCACCCACCCAGCTGCGTTTCCGCCACCCCACCAGCTGCGTTCCCCACCCACCCAGCTGCGTCCCCACCCACCCAGCTGCGTTCCCCACCCACCCAGCTGCGTTCCGCACCCACCCAGCTGCGTTCCCCCACCCACCCAGCTGCGTTCCCACCCACCCAGCTGCGTTCCGCCCACCCAGCTGCGTTCCCCACCCACCCAGCTGCGTTCCCCACCCACCCAGCTGCGTTCCCCACCCACCCAGCTGCGTTCCCCACCACCCAGCTGCGTTCCCCCCCACCCAGCTGCGTTCCCCACCCACCCAGCTGCGTTCCCCACCCACCCAGCTGCGTTCCCCACCCACCCAGCTGCGTTCCCCACCCCACCCAGCTGCGTTCCCCACCCACCCAGCTGCGTTCCCCACCCACCCAGCTGCGTTCCCCACCCACCCAGCTGCGTTCCCCACCCACCCAGCTGCGTTCCCCACCCACCCAGCTGCGTTCCCCACCACCCAGCTGCGTTCCCCACCCACCCAGCTGCGTTCCCCACCCACCCAGCTGCGTTCCCCACCACCCAGCTGCGTTCCCCACCCACCAGCTGCGTTCCCCACCCACCCAGCTGCGTTCCCACCCACCCAGCTGCGTTCCCACCCACCCAGCTGCGTTCCCCACCCACCAGCGCGTTCCCACCCACCCAGCTGCGTTCCCCACCCACCAGCTGCGTTCCCCACCCACCCAGCTGCGTTTCCCACCCACCCAGCTGCGTTCCCCACCCACCCAGCTGCGTTCCCCACCCACCCCAGCTGCGTTCCCCACCCCCCCAGCTGCGTTCCCCACCCACCCAGCTGCGTTCCCCACCCACCCAGCTGCGTTCCCCACCCACCCAGCTGCGTTCCCCACCCACCCAGCTGCGTTCCCCACCCACCCAGCTGCGTTCCCACCCACCCAGCTGCGTTCCCCACCCACCCAGCTGCGTTCCCCACCCACCCAGCTGCGTTCCCCACCCACCCAGCTGCGTTCCCACCCACCCAGCTGCGTTCCCCACCCACCCAGCTGCGTTCCCCACCCACCCAGCTGCGTTCCCCACCCACCCAGCTGCGTTCCCCACCCACCCAGCTGCGTTCCCCACCCACCCAGCTGCGTTCCCCCACCCACCCAGCTGCGTTCCCCACCCACCCAGCTGCGTTCCCCACCCACCCAGCTGCGTTCCCCACCCACCCAGCTGCGTTCCCCACCCACCCAGCTGCGTTCCCCACCCACCCAGCTGCGTTCCCCACCCACCCAGCTGCGTTCCCCACCCACCCAGCTGCGTTCCGCACCCACCCAGCTGCGTTCCCACCCACCCAGCTGCGTTCCCACCCACCCAGCTGCGTTCCCCACCCACCCAGCTGCGTTCCCACCCACCCAGCTGCGTTCCCCACCCCCCCAGCTGCGTTCCGCACCCACCCAGCTGCGTTCCCCACCCACCCAGCTGCGTTCCGCACCCCCACCCAGCTGCGTTCCCCACCCACCCAGCTGCGTTCCGCACCCACCCAGCTGCGTTCCCCACCCACCCAGCTGCGTTCCGCACCCACCCAGCTGCGTTCCCCACCCACCCAGCTGCGTTCCGCACCCCACCCAGCTGCGTTCCCCACCCACCCAGCTGCGTTCCCCCCCACCCAGCTGCGTTCCCCACCCACCCAGCTGCGTTCCGCACCCACCCAGCTGCGTTCCCCACCCACCCAGCTGCGTTCCGCACCCACCCAGCTGCGTTCCCGCACCCACCCAGCTGCGTTCCCCACCCACCCAGCTGCGTTCCCCACCCACCCAGCTGCGTTCCCCACCCACCCAGCTGCGTTCCCCCCACCCAGCTGCGTTCCGCACCCACCCAGCTGCGTTCCGCACCCACCCAGCTGCGTTCCCACCACCCAGCTGCGTTCCGCACCCACCCAGCTGCGTTCCGCACCCACCCAGCTGCGTTCCCCACCCACCAGCTGCGTTCCCCACCCACCCAGCTGCGTTCCCCCCACCCACCAGCTGCGTTCCGCCACCCACCCAGCTGCGTTCCCCACCCACCCAGCTGCGTTCCCCACCCACCCAGCTGCGTCCCCACCCACCCAGCTGCGTTCCGCACCCACCCAGCTGCGTTCCGCACCCACCCAGCTGCGTTCCCCACCCACCCAGCTGCGTTCGCACCCACCCAGCTGCGTTCCCCACCCACCCAGCTGCGTTCCGCACCCACCCAGCTGCGTTCCCACCCACCCAGCTGCGTTCCGCACCCACCCAGCTGCGTTCCCCACCCACCCAGCTGCGTTCCCCACCCACCCAGCTGCGTTCCCCACCCACCCAGCTGCGTTCCGCACCCACCCAGCTGCGTTCCCCACCCACCCAGCTGCGTTCCGCACCCACCCAGCTGCGTTCCCCACCCACCCAGCTGCGTTCCGCCCCCCCCAGCTGCGTTCCGCACCCACCCAGCTGCGTTCCCCACCCACCCAGCTGCGTTCCGCACCCACCCAGCTGCGTTCCCCACCCACCCAGCTGCGTTCACCCACCCAGCTGCGTTCCGCACCCACCCAGCTGCGTCCCCACCCACCCAGCTGCGTTCCCCACCCACCCAGCTGCGTTCCGCACCCACCCAGCTGCGTTCCCCACCCACCCAGCTGCGTTCCGCACCCACCCAGCTGCGTTCCCCACCCACCCAGCTGCGTTCCCCACCCACCCAGCTGCGTTCCCCACCCACCCAGCTGCGTTCCCCACCCCCCAGCTGCGTTCCCCACCCACCCAGCTGCGTTCCCCACCCACCCAGCTGCGTTCCGCCACACCAGCTGCGTTCCCCCACCCACCCAGCTGCGTTCCCACCCACCCAGCTGCGTTCCCCACCCACCCAGCTGCGTTCCCCACCCACCCAGCTGCGTTCCCCACCCACCCAGCTGCGTTCCGCACCCACCCAGCTGCGTTCCGCCCCCACCCAGCTGCGTTCCCCACCCACCCAGCTGCGTTCCGCACCCACCCAGCTGCGTTCCGCACCCACCCAGCTGCGTCCCCACCCACCCAGCTGCGTCCGCACCCACCCAGCTGCGTTCCCCACCCACCCAGCTGCGTTCCCCACCCACCCAGCTGCGTTCCCCACCCACCCAGCTGCGTTCCGCCCACACCCAGCTGCGTTCCCCACCCACCCAGCTGCGTTCCGCACCCACCCAGCTGCGTTCCCACCCACCCAGCTGCGTTCCGCACCCACCCAGCTGCGTTCCGCACCCACCCAGCTGCGTTCCCCACCCACCCAGCTGCGTTCCCCACCCACCCAGCTGCGTTCCCCACCCACCCAGCTGCGTTCCCCACCCACCCAGCTGCGTTCCGCACCCACCCAGCTGCGTTCCGCACCCACCCAGCTGCGTTCCGCCCCCACCCAGCTGCGTTCCCCACCCACCCAGCTGCGTTCCGCACCCACCCAGCTGCGTTCCCCACCCACCCAGCTGCGTTCCGCACCCACCCAGCTGCGTTCCCCACCCACCCAGCTGCGTTCCGCACCCACCCCCAGCTGCGTTCCCCACCCACCCAGCTGCGTTCCGCACCCACCCAGCTGCGTTCCCACCCACCCCCCAGCTGCGTTCCCCACCCCACCCAGCTGCGTTCCGCACCCACCCAGCTGCGTTCCCCACCCACCCAGCTGCGTTCCGCACCCACCCAGCTGCGTTCCCACCCACCCAGCTGCGTTCCCCACCCACCCAGCTGCGTTCCCCACCCACCCAGCTGCGTTCCGCACCCACCCAGCTGCGTTCCCCACCCACCCAGCTGCGTTCCGCACCCACCCAGCTGCGTTCCCCACCCACCCAGCTGCGTTCCGCACCCACCCAGCTGCGTTCCCCACCCACCCAGCTGCGTTCCCCACCCACCCAGCTGCGTTCCGCACCCACCCAGCTGCGTTCCGCACCCCACCCAGCTGCGTTCCGCACCCACCCAGCTGCGTTCCCCACCCACCCAGCTGCGTTCCGCACCCACCCAGCTGCGTTCCCCACCCACCCAGCTGCGTTCCCCACCCACCCAGCTGCGTTCCCCACCCACCCAGCTGCGTTCCCCACCCACCCAGCTGCGTTCCCACCCACCCAGCTGCGTTCCGCACCCACCCAGCTGCGTTCCCCACCCACCCAGCTGCGTTCCCCACCCACCCAGCTGCGTTCCCCACCCACCCAGCTGCGTTCCCCCACCCACCCAGCTGCGTTCCGCACCCACCCAGCTGCGTTCCCACCCACCCAGCTGCGTTCCGCACCCACCCAGCTGCGTTCCCCACCCACCCAGCTGCGTTCCCACCCACCCAGCTGCGTTCCCCACCCACCCAGCTGCGTTCCCCACCACCAGCTGCGTTCCCCACCCACCCAGCTGCGTTCCGCACCCACCCAGCTGCGTTCCGCACCCACCCAGCTGCGTTCCCCACCCACCCAGCTGCGTTCCCCACCCACCCAGCTGCGTTCCCCACCCACCCAGCTGCGTTCCCCACCCACCCCGCTGCGTTCCCACCCCCAGCTGCGTTCCGCACCCACCCAGCTGCGTTCCCCCACCACCCAGCTGCGTTCCCCACCCACCCAGCTGCGTTCCGCACCCACCCAGCTGCGTTCCGCACCCACCCAGCTGCGTTCCCCACCCACCCAGCTGCGTTCCGCACCCACCCAGCTGCGTTCCCCACCCACCCAGCTGCGTTCCGCACCCACCCAGCTGCGTTCCCCACCCACCCAGCTGCGTTCCGCACCCACCCAGCTGCGTTCCCACCCACCCAGCTGCGTTCCGCACCCACCCAGCTGCGTTCCGCACCCACCCAGCTGCGTTCCCCACCCACCCAGCTGCGTTCCGCACCCACCCAGCTGCGTTCCGCACCCACCCAGCTGCGTTCCGCACCCACCCAGCTGCGTTCCCCACCCACCCAGCTGCGTTCCGCACCCACCCAGCTGCGTTCCCCACCCACCCAGCTGCGTTCCGCCACCCACCCAGCTGCGTTCCCCACCCACCCAGCTGCGTTCCGCACCCACCCAGCTGCGTTCCCCACCCACCCAGCTGCGTTCCGCACCCACCCAGCTGCGTTCCGCACCCACCCAGCTGCGTTCCGCACCCACCCAGCTGCGTTCCGCACCCACCCAGCTGCGTTCCCCCACCCACCAGCTGCGTTCCGCACCCACCCAGCTGCGTTCCCCACCCACCCAGCTGCGTTCCCCACCCACCCAGCTGCGTTCCGCACCCACCCAGCTGCGTTCCCCACCCACCCAGCTGCGTTCCGCACCCACCCAGCTGCGTTCCCCACCACCCCAGCTGCGTTCCGCACCCACCCAGCTGCGTTCCCCACCCACCCAGCTGCGTTCCGCACCCACCCAGCTGCGTTCCCCACCCACCCAGCTGCGTTCCGCACCCACCCAGCTGCGTTCCGCACCCACCCAGCTGCGTTCCCACCCACCCAGCTGCGTTCCCACACCCCCAGCTGCGTTCCCCACCCACCCAGCTGCGTTCCCCACCCACCCAGCTGCGTTCCCCACCCACCCAGCTGCGTTCCGCCCCACCCAGCTGCGTTCCGCACCCACCAGCTGCGTTCCGCACCCACCCAGCTGCGTTCCGCACCCACCCAGCTGCGTTCCCCACCCACCCAGCTGCGTTCCCCACCCACCCAGCTGCGTTTCCCCACCCACCCAGCTGCGTTCCCCACCCACCCAGCTGCGTTCCCCACCCACCCAGCTGCGTTCCGCACCCACCCAGCTGCGTTCCGCACCCACCCAGCTGCGTTCCCCACCCACCCAGCTGCGTTCCGCACCCACCCAGCTGCGTTCCGCACCCACCCAGCTGCGTTCCCCACCCACCCAGCTGCGTTCCGCACCCACCCAGCTGCGTTCCCCACCCACCCAGCTGCGTTCCGCACCCACCCAGCTGCGTTCCCCACCCACCCAGCTGCGTTCCGCACCCACCCAGCTGCGTTCCCCACCCACCCAGCTGCGTTCCGCACCCACCCAGCTGCGTTCCCCACCCACCCAGCTGCGTTCCGCACCCACCCAGCTGCGTTCCGCACCCACCAGCTGCGTTCCCACCCACCCAGCTGCGTTCCCCACCCACCCAGCTGCGTTCCCCACCCACCCAGCTGCGTTCCCACCCACCCAGCTGCGTTCCGCACCCACCCAGCTGCGTTCCGCACCCACCAGCTGCGTTCCGCACCCACCCAGCTGCGTTCCGCACCCACCCAGCTGCGTTCCGCACCCACCCAGCTGCGTTCCCCAACCCCCCAGCTGCGTTCCGCACCCACCCAGCTGCGTTCCCCACCCACCCAGCTGCGTTCCGCACCCACCCAGCTGCGTTCCCACCCACCCAGCTGCGTTCCGCACCCACCCAGCTGCGTTCCCCACCCACCCAGCTGCGTTCCGCACCCACCCAGCTGCGTTCCGCACCCACCCAGCTGCGTTCCCACCCACCCAGCTGCGTTCCGCACCCACCCAGCTGCGTTCCGCACCCACCCAGCTGCGTTCCGCACCCACCCAGCTGCGTTCCCACCCACACCCAGCTGCGTTCCGCACCCACCCAGCTGCGTTCCCCACCCACCCAGCTGCGTTCCGCACCCACCCAGCTGCGTTCCCCACCCACCCAGCTGCGTTCCGCACCCACCCAGCTGCGTTCCCCACCCACCCAGCTGCGTTCCCCACCCACCCAGCTGCGTTCCGCACCCACCCAGCTGCGTTCCGCACCCACCCAGCTGCGTTCCGCACCACCCAGCTGCGTTCCCCACCCACCCAGCTGCGTTCCGCACCCACCCAGCTGCGTTCCCCACCCCCCAGCTGCGTTCCCCACCCACCAGCTGCGTTCCGCACCCACCCAGCTGCGTTCCCACCCACCCAGCTGCGTTCCCCACCCACCCAGCTGCGTTCCGCACCCACCCAGCTGCGTTCCCCACCCACCCAGCTGCGTTCCGCACCCACCCAGCTGCGTTCCCCACCCACCCAGCTGCGTTCCCCACCCACCCAGCTGCGTTCCGCACCCACCCAGCTGCGTTCCCCACCCACCCAGCTGCGTTCCCCACCCACCCAGCTGCGTTCCCCACCCACCCAGCTGCGTTCCGCACCCACCCAGCTGCGTTCCCCACCCACCCAGCTGCGTTCCCCACCCACCCAGCTGCGTTCCCACCCACCCAGCTGCGTTCCCACCCACCCAGCTGCGTTCCCCACCCACCCAGCTGCGTTCCGCACCCACCCAGCTGCGTTCCGCACCCACCCAGCTGCGTTCCGCACCCACCCAGCTGCGTTCCGCACCCACCCAGCTGCGTTCCGCACCCACCCAGCTGCGTTCCCCACCCACCCAGCTGCGTTCCGCACCCACCCAGCTGCGTTCCCCACCCACCCAGCTGCGTTCCCCACCCACCCAGCTGCGTTCCCCACCCACCCAGCTGCGTTCCGCACCCACCCAGCTGCGTTCCCCACCCACCCAGCTGCGTTCCGCCCCACCCAGCTGCGTTCCCACCCACCCAGCTGCGTTCCCGCACCCACCCAGCTGCGTTCCCACCCACCCAGCTGCGTTCCCCACCCACCCAGCTGCGTTCCCCACCCACCCAGCTGCGTTCCCCACCCACCCAGCTGCGTTCCCCCACCCACCCAGCTGCGTTCCGCACCCACCCAGCTGCGTTCCGCACCCACCCAGCTGCGTTCCGCACCCACCCAGCTGCGTTCCCACCCACCCAGCTGCGTTCCCCACCCACCCAGCTGCGTTCCCCACCCACCCAGCTGCGTTCCGCACCCACCCAGCTGCGTTCCCCCACCCACCCAGCTGCGTTCCGCACCCACCCAGCTGCGTTCCCCACCCACCCAGCTGCGTTCCCCACCCACCCAGCTGCGTTCCCCACCCACCCAGCTGCGTTCCGCACCCACCCAGCTGCGTTCCGCACCCACCCAGCTGCGTTCCCCACCCACCCAGCTGCGTTCCGCACCCACCCAGCTGCGTTCCGCACCCACCCAGCTGCGTTCCGCACCCACCCAGCTGCGTTCCCCACCCACCCAGCTGCGTTCCGCACCCACCCAGCTGCGTTCCCCACCCACCCAGCTGCGTTCCCCACCCACCCAGCTGCGTTCCCCACCCACCCAGCTGCGTTCCGCACCCACCCAGCTGCGTTCCCCACCCACCCAGCTGCGTTCCGCACCCACCCAGCTGCGTTCCGCACCCACCCAGCTGCGTTCCGCACCCACCCAGCTGCGTTCCCCACCCACCCAGCTGCGTTCCCCACCCACCCAGCTGCGTTCCGCACCCACCCAGCTGCGTTCCCCACCCACCCAGCTGCGTTCCCCACCCACCCAGCTGCGTTCCGCACCCACCCAGCTGCGTTCCCCACCCACCCAGCTGCGTTCCCCACCCACCCAGCTGCGTTCCGCACCCACCCAGCTGCGTTCCCCACCCACCCAGCTGCGTTCCCCACCCACCCAGCTGCGTTCCCCACCCACCCAGCTGCGTTCCCCACCCACCCAGCTGCGTTCCGCACCCACCCAGCTGCGTTCCCCACCCACCCAGCTGCGTTCCGCACCCACCCAGCTGCGTTCCCCACCCACCCAGCTGCGTTCCCCACCCACCCAGCTGCGTTCCCCACCCACCCAGCTGCGTTCCCCACCCACCCAGCTGCGTTCCCCACCCACCCAGCTGCGTTCCCCACCCACCCAGCTGCGTTCCCCACCCACCCAGCTGCGTTCCCCACCCACCCAGCTGCGTTCCCACCCACCCAGCTGCGTTCCCCACCCACCCAGCTGCGTTCCCCACCCACCCAGCTGCGTTCCCCACCCACCCAGCTGCGTTCCCCACCCACCCAGCTGCGTTCCCCACCCACCCAGCTGCGTTCCCCACCCACCCAGCTGCGTTCCGCACCCACCCAGCTGCGTTCCCCACCCACCCAGCTGCGTTCCGCACCCACCCAGCTGCGTTCCCCACCCACCCAGCTGCGTTCCCCACCCACCCAGCTGCGTTCCCCACCCACCCAGCTGCGTTCCGCACCCACCCAGCTGCGTTCCCCACCCACCCAGCTGCGTTCCCCACCCACCCAGCTGCGTTCCGCACCCACCCAGCTGCGTTCCCCACCCACCCAGCTGCGTTCCCACCCACCCAGCTGCGTTCCGCACCCACCCAGCTGCGTTCCCACCCACCCAGCTGCGTTCCCCACCCACCCAGCTGCGTTCCGCACCCACCCAGCTGCGTTCCCACCCACCCAGCTGCGTTCCCACCCACCCAGCTGCGTTCCCCACCCACCCAGCTGCGTTCCCCACCCACCCAGCTGCGTTCCGCACCCACCCAGCTGCGTTCCCCACCCACCCAGCTGCGTTCCCCACCCACCCAGCTGCGTTCCGCACCCACCCAGCTGCGTTCCCACCCACCCAGCTGCGTTCCGCACCCACCCAGCTGCGTTCCCCACCCACCCAGCTGCGTTCCCACCCACCCAGCTGCGTTCCCCACCCACCCAGCTGCGTTCCCACCCACCCAGCTGCGTTCCCCACCCACCCAGCTGCGTTCCCCACCCACCCAGCTGCGTTCCCCACCCACCCAGCTGCGTTCCCCACCCACCCAGCTGCGTTCCCCACCCACCCAGCTGCGTTCCCCACCCACCCAGCTGCGTTCCGCACCCACCCAGCTGCGTTCCCCACCCACCCAGCTGCGTTCCCACCCACCCAGCTGCGTTCCCCACCCACCCAGCTGCGTTCCCCACCCACCCAGCTGCGTTCCCCACCCACCCAGCTGCGTTCCCCACCCACCCAGCTGCGTTCCCCACCCACCCAGCTGCGTTCCCCACCCACCCAGCTGCGTTCCCCACCCACCCAGCTGCGTTCCCCACCCACCCAGCTGCGTTCCCCACCCACCCAGCTGCGTTCCCCACCCACCCAGCTGCGTTCCCCACCCACCCAGCTGCGTTCCCCACCCACCCAGCTGCGTTCCCCACCCACCCAGCTGCGTTCCCCACCCACCCAGCTGCGTTCCCCACCCACCCAGCTGCGTTCCCCACCCACCCAGCTGCGTTCCCCACCCACCCAGCTGCGTTCCCCACCCACCCAGCTGCGTTCCCCACCCACCCAGCTGCGTTCCCCACCCACCCAGCTGCGTTCCCCACCCACCCAGCTGCGTTCCCCACCCACCCAGCTGCGTTCCCCACCCACCCAGCTGCGTTCCCCACCCACCCAGCTGCGTTCCCCACCCACCCAGCTGCGTTCCCCACCCACCCAGCTGCGTTCCCCACCCACCCAGCTGCGTTCCCCACCCACCCAGCTGCGTTCCCCACCCACCCAGCTGCGTTCCCCACCCACCCAGCTGCGTTCCCCACCCACCCAGCTGCGTTCCCCACCCACCCAGCTGCGTTCCCCACCCACCCAGCTGCGTTCCCCACCCACCCAGCTGCGTTCCCCACCCACCCAGCTGCGTTCCCCACCCACCCAGCTGCGTTCCCCACCCACCCAGCTGCGTTCCCCACCCACCCAGCTGCGTTCCCCACCCACCCAGCTGCGTTCCCCACCCACCCAGCTGCGTTCCCCACCCACCCAGCTGCGTTCCCCACCCACCCAGCTGCGTTCCCCACCCACCCAGCTGCGTTCCCCACCCACCCAGCTGCGTTCCCCACCCACCCAGCTGCGTTCCCCACCCACCCAGCTGCGTTCCCCACCCACCCAGCTGCGTTCCCCACCCACCCAGCTGCGTTCCCCACCCACCCAGCTGCGTTCCCCACCCACCCAGCTGCGTTCCCCACCCACCCAGCTGCGTTCCCCACCCACCCAGCTGCGTTCCCACCCACCCAGCTGCGTTCCCCACCCACCCAGCTGCGTTCCCCACCCACCCAGCTGCGTTCCCCACCCACCCAGCTGCGTTCCCCACCCACCCAGCTGCGTTCCCCACCCACCCAGCTGCGTTCCCCACCCACCCAGCTGCGTTCCCCACCCACCCAGCTGCGTTCCCCACCCACCCAGCTGCGTTCCCACCCACCCAGCTGCGTTCCCCACCCACCCAGCTGCGTTCCCCACCCACCCAGCTGCGTTCCCCACCCACCCAGCTGCGTTCCCCACCCACCCAGCTGCGTTCCCCACCCACCCAGCTGCGTTCCCACCCACCCAGCTGCGTTCCGCACCCACCCAGCTGCGTTCCCCACCCACCCAGCTGCGTTCCCCACCCACCCAGCTGCGTTCCCCACCCACCCAGCTGCGTTCCCCACCCACCCAGCTGCGTTCCCCACCCACCCAGCTGCGTTCCCCACCCACCCAGCTGCGTTCCCCACCCACCCAGCTGCGTTCCCACCCACCCAGCTGCGTTCCCCACCCACCCAGCTGCGTTCCCCACCCACCCAGCTGCGTTCCCCACCCACCCAGCTGCGTTCCCCACCCACCCAGCTGCGTTCCCCACCCACCCAGCTGCGTTCCCCACCCACCCAGCTGCGTTCCCCACCCACCCAGCTGCGTTCCCCACCCACCCAGCTGCGTTCCCCACCCACCCAGCTGCGTTCCCCACCCACCCAGCTGCGTTCCCACCCACCCAGCTGCGTTCCCCACCCACCCAGCTGCGTTCCCCACCCACCCAGCTGCGTTCCGCACCCACCCAGCTGCGTTCCCCACCCACCCAGCTGCGTTCCCCACCCACCCAGCTGCGTTCCCCACCCACCCAGCTGCGTTCCCCACCCACCCAGCTGCGTTCCCCACCCACCCAGCTGCGTTCCCCACCCACCCAGCTGCGTTCCCCACCCACCCAGCTGCGTTCCCCACCCACCCAGCTGCGTTCCCCACCCACCCAGCTGCGTTCCCCACCCACCCAGCTGCGTTCCCCACCCACCCAGCTGCGTTCCCCACCCACCCAGCTGCGTTCCCCACCCACCCAGCTGCGTTCCCCACCCACCCAGCTGCGTTCCCCACCCACCCAGCTGCGTTCCCCACCCACCCAGCTGCGTTCCCCACCCACCCAGCTGCGTTCCCCACCCACCCAGCTGCGTTCCCCACCCACCCAGCTGCGTTCCCCACCCACCCAGCTGCGTTCCCCACCCACCCAGCTGCGTTCCCCACCCACCCAGCTGCGTTCCCCACCCACCCAGCTGCGTTCCCCACCCACCCAGCTGCGTTCCCCACCCACCCAGCTGCGTTCCCCACCCACCCAGCTGCGTTCCCCACCCACCCAGCTGCGTTCCCCACCCACCCAGCTGCGTTCCCCACCCACCCAGCTGCGTTCCCCACCCACCCAGCTGCGTTCCCCACCCACCCAGCTGCGTTCCCCACCCACCCAGCTGCGTTCCCCACCCACCCAGCTGCGTTCCCCACCCACCCAGCTGCGTTCCCCACCCACCCAGCTGCGTTCCCCACCCACCCAGCTGCGTTCCCCACCCACCCAGCTGCGTTCCCCACCCACCCAGCTGCGTTCCCCACCCACCCAGCTGCGTTCCCCACCCACCCAGCTGCGTTCCCCACCCACCCAGCTGCGTTCCCCACCCACCCAGCTGCGTTCCCCACCCACCCAGCTGCGTTCCGCACCCACCCAGCTGCGTTCCCACCCACCCAGCTGCGTTCCCACCCACCCAGCTGCGTTCCCACCCACCCAGCTGCGTTCCCCACCCACCCAGCTGCGTTCCGCACCCACCCAGCTGCGTTCCCCACCCACCCAGCTGCGTTCCCCACCCACCCAGCTGCGTTCCCCACCCACCCAGCTGCGTTCCCCACCCACCCAGCTGCGTTCCCCACCCACCCAGCTGCGTTCCCCACCCACCCAGCTGCGTTCCGCACCCACCCAGCTGCGTTCCCCACCCACCCAGCTGCGTTCCCCACCCACCCAGCTGCGTTCCCCACCCACCCAGCTGCGTTCCCCACCCACCCAGCTGCGTTCCCCACCCACCCAGCTGCGTTCCCCACCCACCCAGCTGCGTTCCCCACCCACCCAGCTGCGTTCCCCACCCACCCAGCTGCGTTCCCCACCCACCCAGCTGCGTTCCCCACCCACCCAGCTGCGTTCCCCACCCACCCAGCTGCGTTCCCCACCCACCCAGCTGCGTTCCCCACCCACCCAGCTGCGTTCCCCACCCACCCAGCTGCGTTCCCACCCACCCAGCTGCGTTCCCCACCCACCCAGCTGCGTTCCCACCCACCCAGCTGCGTTCCCCACCCACCCAGCTGCGTTCCCCACCCACCCAGCTGCGTTCCCCACCCACCCAGCTGCGTTCCCCACCCACCCAGCTGCGTTCCCCACCCACCCAGCTGCGTTCCCCACCCACCCAGCTGCGTTCCCCACCCACCCAGCTGCGTTCCCCACCCACCCAGCTGCGTTCCCCACCCACCCAGCTGCGTTCCCCACCCACCCAGCTGCGTTCCCCACCCACCCAGCTGCGTTCCCCACCCACCCAGCTGCGTTCCCCACCCACCCAGCTGCGTTCCCCACCCACCCAGCTGCGTTCCCCACCCACCCAGCTGCGTTCCCCACCCACCCAGCTGCGTTCCCCACCCACCCAGCTGCGTTCCCCACCCACCCAGCTGCGTTCCCCACCCACCCAGCTGCGTTCCCACCCACCCAGCTGCGTTCCCCACCCACCCAGCTGCGTTCCCCACCCACCCAGCTGCGTTCCCCACCCACCCAGCTGCGTTCCCCACCCACCCAGCTGCGTTCCCCACCCACCCAGCTGCGTTCCCCACCCACCCAGCTGCGTTCCCCACCCACCCAGCTGCGTTCCCCACCCACCCAGCTGCGTTCCCCACCCACCCAGCTGCGTTCCCCACCCACCCAGCTGCGTTCCCCACCCACCCAGCTGCGTTCCCCACCCACCCAGCTGCGTTCCCCACCCACCCAGCTGCGTTCCCCACCCACCCAGCTGCGTTCCCCACCCACCCAGCTGCGTTCCCCACCCACCCAGCTGCGTTCCCCACCCACCCAGCTGCGTTCCCCACCCACCCAGCTGCGTTCCCCACCCACCCAGCTGCGTTCCCCACCCACCCAGCTGCGTTCCCCACCCACCCAGCTGCGTTCCCCACCCACCCAGCTGCGTTCCCCACCCACCCAGCTGCGTTCCCCACCCACCCAGCTGCGTTCCCCACCCACCCAGCTGCGTTCCCCACCCACCCAGCTGCGTTCCCCACCCACCCAGCTGCGTTCCCCACCCACCCAGCTGCGTTCCCCACCCACCCAGCTGCGTTCCCCACCCACCCAGCTGCGTTCCCCACCCACCCAGCTGCGTTCCCCACCCACCCAGCTGCGTTCCCCACCCACCCAGCTGCGTTCCCCACCCACCCAGCTGCGTTCCCCACCCACCCAGCTGCGTTCCCCACCCACCCAGCTGCGTTCCCCACCCACCCAGCTGCGTTCCCCACCCACCCAGCTGCGTTCCCCACCCACCCAGCTGCGTTCCCCACCCACCCAGCTGCGTTCCCCACCCACCCAGCTGCGTTCCCCACCCACCCAGCTGCGTTCCCACCCACCCAGCTGCGTTCCCACCCACCCAGCTGCGTTCCCCACCCACCCAGCTGCGTTCCCCACCCACCCAGCTGCGTTCCCCACCCACCCAGCTGCGTTCCGCACCCACCCAGCTGCGTTCCGCACCCACCCAGCTGCGTTCCCCACCCACCCAGCTGCGTTCCCACCCACCCAGCTGCGTTCCCCACCCACCCAGCTGCGTTCCCCACCCACCCAGCTGCGTTCCCACCCACCCAGCTGCGTTCCCCACCCACCCAGCTGCGTTCCCCACCCACCCAGCTGCGTTCCCCACCCACCCAGCTGCGTTCCCCACCCACCCAGCTGCGTTCCCACCCACCCAGCTGCGTTCCCCACCCACCCAGCTGCGTTCCCCACCCACCCAGCTGCGTTCCCCACCCACCCAGCTGCGTTCCCCACCCACCCAGCTGCGTTCCCCACCCACCCAGCTGCGTTCCCCACCCACCCAGCTGCGTTCCCCACCCACCCAGCTGCGTTCCCCACCCACCCAGCTGCGTTCCCCACCCACCCAGCTGCGTTCCCCACCCACCCAGCTGCGTTCCCCACCCACCCAGCTGCGTTCCCCACCCACCCAGCTGCGTTCCCCACCCACCCAGCTGCGTTCCCCACCCACCCAGCTGCGTTCCCCACCCACCCAGCTGCGTTCCCCACCCACCCAGCTGCGTTCCCCACCCACCCAGCTGCGTTCCCCACCCACCCAGCTGCGTTCCCCACCCACCCAGCTGCGTTCCCCACCCACCCAGCTGCGTTCCCCACCCACCCAGCTGCGTTCCCCACCCACCCAGCTGCGTTCCCCACCCACCCAGCTGCGTTCCCCACCCACCCAGCTGCGTTCCCACCCACCCAGCTGCGTTCCCCACCCACCCAGCTGCGTTCCCCACCCACCCAGCTGCGTTCCCCACCCACCCAGCTGCGTTCCCCACCCACCCAGCTGCGTTCCCCACCCACCCAGCTGCGTTCCCACCCACCCAGCTGCGTTCCGCACCCACCCAGCTGCGTTCCGCACCCACCCAGCTGCGTTCCCCACCCACCCAGCTGCGTTCCCCACCCACCCAGCTGCGTTCCCCACCCACCCAGCTGCGTTCCCCACCCACCCAGCTGCGTTCCCCACCCACCCAGCTGCGTTCCCCACCCACCCAGCTGCGTTCCCCACCCACCCAGCTGCGTTCCCCACCCACCCAGCTGCGTTCCCCACCCACCCAGCTGCGTTCCCCACCCACCCAGCTGCGTTCCCCACCCACCCAGCTGCGTTCCCCACCCACCCAGCTGCGTTCCCCACCCACCCAGCTGCGTTCCCCACCCACCCAGCTGCGTTCCCCACCCACCCAGCTGCGTTCCCCACCCACCCAGCTGCGTTCCCCACCCACCCAGCTGCGTTCCCCACCCACCCAGCTGCGTTCCGCACCCACCCAGCTGCGTTCCCCACCCACCCAGCTGCGTTCCCCACCCACCCAGCTGCGTTCCCCACCCACCCAGCTGCGTTCCCCACCCACCCAGCTGCGTTCCCCACCCACCCAGCTGCGTTCCCCACCCACCCAGCTGCGTTCCCCACCCACCCAGCTGCGTTCCCCACCCACCCAGCTGCGTTCCGCACCCACCCAGCTGCGTTCCCCACCCACCCAGCTGCGTTCCGCACCCACCCAGCTGCGTTCCGCACCCACCCAGCTGCGTTCCGCACCCACCCAGCTGCGTTCCCACCCACCCAGCTGCGTTCCCCACCCACCCAGCTGCGTTCCCCACCCACCCAGCTGCGTTCCTCACCCACCCAGCTGCGTTCCCCACCCACCCAGCTGCGTTCCGCACCCACCCAGCTGCGTTCCCCACCCACCCAGCTGCGTTCCGCACCCACCCAGCTGCGTTCCCCACCCACCCAGCTGCGTTCCCCACCCACCCAGCTGCGTTCCGCACCCACCCAGCTGCGTTCCCCACCCACCCAGCTGCGTTCCCCACCCACCCAGCTGCGTTCCCCACCCACCCAGCTGCGTTCCCCACCCACCCAGCTGCGTTCCGCACCCACCCAGCTGCGTTCCCCACCCACCCAGCTGCGTTCCGCACCCACCCAGCTGCGTTCCCCACCCACCCAGCTGCGTTCCGCACCCACCCAGCTGCGTTCCCCACCCACCCAGCTGCGTTCCCCACCCACCCAGCTGCGTTCCCCACCCACCCAGCTGCGTTCCCCACCCACCCAGCTGCGTTCCCCACCCACCCAGCTGCGTTCCCCACCCACCCAGCTGCGTTCCCCACCCACCCAGCTGCGTTCCCCACCCACCCAGCTGCGTTCCGCACCCACCCAGCTGCGTTCCCCACCCACCCAGCTGCGTTCCCCACCCACCCAGCTGCGTTCCCCACCCACCCAGCTGCGTTCCCCACCCACCCAGCTGCGTTCCCCACCCACCCAGCTGCGTTCCCCACCCACCCAGCTGCGTTCCCCACCCACCCAGCTGCGTTCCCCACCCACCCAGCTGCGTTCCCCACCCACCCAGCTGCGTTCCCCACCCACCCAGCTGCGTTCCTCACCCACCCAGCTGCGTTCCCCACCCACCCAGCTGCGTTCCGCACCCACCCAGCTGCGTTCCCCACCCACCCAGCTGCGTTCCGCACCCACCCAGCTGCGTTCCCCACCCACCCAGCTGCGTTCCCCACCCACCCAGCTGCGTTCCCCACCCACCCAGCTGCGTTCCGCACCCACCCAGCTGCGTTCCCCACCCACCCAGCTGCGTTCCCCACCCACCCAGCTGCGTTCCGCACCCACCCAGCTGCGTTCCCCACCCACCCAGCTGCGTTCCGCACCCACCCAGCTGCGTTCCCCACCCACCCAGCTGCGTTCCCCACCCACCCAGCTGCGTTCCGCACCCACCCAGCTGCGTTCCGCACCCACCCAGCTGCGTTCCCCACCCACCCAGCTGCGTTCCCCACCCACCCAGCTGCGTTCCCCACCCACCCAGCTGCGTTCCCCACCCACCCAGCTGCGTTCCCCACCCACCCAGCTGCGTTCCGCACCCACCCAGCTGCGTTCCCCACCCACCCAGCTGCGTTCCCCACCCACCCAGCTGCGTTCCCCACCCACCCAGCTGCGTTCCGCACCCACCCAGCTGCGTTCCCCACCCACCCAGCTGCGTTCCCCACCCACCCAGCTGCGTTCCCCACCCACCCAGCTGCGTTCCCCACCCACCCAGCTGCGTTCCCCACCCACCCAGCTGCGTTCCCCACCCACCCAGCTGCGTTCCCCACCCACCCAGCTGCGTTCCCCACCCACCCAGCTGCGTTCCGCACCCACCCAGCTGCGTTCCCCACCCACCCAGCTGCGTTCCCCACCCACCCAGCTGCGTTCCCCACCCACCCAGCTGCGTTCCCCACCCACCCAGCTGCGTTCCGCACCCACCCAGCTGCGTTCCCCACCCACCCAGCTGCGTTCCGCACCCACCCAGCTGCGTTCCCCACCCACCCAGCTGCGTTCCCCACCCACCCAGCTGCGTTCCCCACCCACCCAGCTGCGTTCCCCACCCACCCAGCTGCGTTCCCCACCCACCCAGCTGCGTTCCCCACCCACCCAGCTGCGTTCCCCACCCACCCAGCTGCGTTCCCCACCCACCCAGCTGCGTTCCCCACCCACCCAGCTGCGTTCCCCACCCACCCAGCTGCGTTCCCCACCCACCCAGCTGCGTTCCCCACCCACCCAGCTGCGTTCCCCACCCACCCAGCTGCGTTCCCCACCCACCCAGCTGCGTTCCCCACCCACCCAGCTGCGTTCCGCACCCACCCAGCTGCGTTCCCCACCCACCCAGCTGCGTTCCCCACCCACCCAGCTGCGTTCCCCACCCACCCAGCTGCGTTCCGCACCCACCCAGCTGCGTTCCGCACCCACCCAGCTGCGTTCCCCACCCACCCAGCTGCGTTCCGCACCCACCCAGCTGCGTTCCGCACCCACCCAGCTGCGTTCCGCACCCACCCAGCTGCGTTCCCCACCCACCCAGCTGCGTTCCCCACCCACCCAGCTGCGTTCCCCACCCACCCAGCTGCGTTCCCCACCCACCCAGCTGCGTTCCCCACCCACCCAGCTGCGTTCCCCACCCACCCAGCTGCGTTCCCCACCCACCCAGCTGCGTTCCCCACCCACCCAGCTGCGTTCCCCACCCACCCAGCTGCGTTCCCCACCCACCCAGCTGCGTTCCCCACCCACCCAGCTGCGTTCCGCACCCACCCAGCTGCGTTCCCCACCCACCCAGCTGCGTTCCGCACCCACCCAGCTGCGTTCCCCACCCACCCAGCTGCGTTCCCCACCCACCCAGCTGCGTTCCCCACCCACCCAGCTGCGTTCCGCACCCACCCAGCTGCGTTCCCCACCCACCCAGCTGCGTTCCCCACCCACCCAGCTGCGTTCCCCACCCACCCAGCTGCGTTCCCCACCCACCCAGCTGCGTTCCGCACCCACCCAGCTGCGTTCCCCACCCACCCAGCTGCGTTCCGCACCCACCCAGCTGCGTTCCCCACCCACCCAGCTGCGTTCCGCACCCACCCAGCTGCGTTCCCCACCCACCCAGCTGCGTTCCCCACCCACCCAGCTGCGTTCCCCACCCACCCAGCTGCGTTCCCCACCCACCCAGCTGCGTTCCCCACCCACCCAGCTGCGTTCCCCACCCACCCAGCTGCGTTCCCCACCCACCCAGCTGCGTTCCCCACCCACCCAGCTGCGTTCCCCACCCACCCAGCTGCGTTCCGCACCCACCCAGCTGCGTTCCCCACCCACCCAGCTGCGTTCCCCACCCACCCAGCTGCGTTCCCCACCCACCCAGCTGCGTTCCCCACCCACCCAGCTGCGTTCCCCACCCACCCAGCTGCGTTCCCCACCCACCCAGCTGCGTTCCCCACCCACCCAGCTGCGTTCCCCACCCACCCAGCTGCGTTCCCCACCCACCCAGCTGCGTTCCCCACCCACCCAGCTGCGTTCCCCACCCACCCAGCTGCGTTCCTCACCCACCCAGCTGCGTTCCCCACCCACCCAGCTGCGTTCCGCACCCACCCAGCTGCGTTCCCCACCCACCCAGCTGCGTTCCGCACCCACCCAGCTGCGTTCCCCACCCACCCAGCTGCGTTCCCCACCCACCCAGCTGCGTTCCCCACCCACCCAGCTGCGTTCCGCACCCACCCAGCTGCGTTCCCCACCCACCCAGCTGCGTTCCCCACCCACCCAGCTGCGTTCCCCACCCACCCAGCTGCGTTCCCCACCCACCCAGCTGCGTTCCCCACCCACCCAGCTGCGTTCCGCACCCACCCAGCTGCTTTCCCCACCCACCCAGCTGCGTTCCCCACCCACCCAGCTGCGTTCCCCACCCACCCAGCTGCGTTCCGCACCCACCCAGCTGCGTTCCCCACCCACCCAGCTGCGTTCCCCACCCACCCAGCTGCGTTCCCCACCCACCCAGCTGCGTTCCCCACCCACCCAGCTGCGTTCCCCACCCACCCAGCTGCGTTCCCCACCCACCCAGCTGCGTTCCCCACCCACCCAGCTGCGTTCCCCACCCACCCAGCTGCGTTCCGCACCCACCCAGCTGCGTTCCCCACCCACCCAGCTGCATTCCCCACCCACCCAGCTGCGTTTACCTCCCAACCACCGCTTTTAATACCCCACCCAGAGTCACCTCCCCTCAATCCCACCCACCCATTACGCCCCCCCTCTCTCACCCCCACCCACCTGCATCATGTAAGTGATGTTGTGGATGGTGAGCAGGTGGTGCGATTTGTGCCTCATCCCACCCACCCATACCCCGCCCCACCCACCTGCATCATGTAGGCGATGTTGTGGATGGTGAGCAGATGGCAGCTTTCTTCCCCTCATCCCCATCCAAACATACCCTCCCCAACCCCCTCTCCTCCCACCCACCTGCATCATGTAGGCGATGTTGTGGATGGTGAGCAGATGGCAGCTTTCTTCCCCTCATCCCCATCCAAACATACCCTCCCCAACCCCCTCTCCTCCCACCCACCTGCATCATGTAGGCGATGTTGTGGATGGTGAGCAGATGGCAGCTTTCTTCCCCTCATCCCCATCCAAACATACCCTCCCCAACCCCCTCTCCTCCCACCCACCTGCATCATGTAGGCGATGTTGTGGATGGTGAGCAGATGGCAGCTTTCTTCCCCTCATCCCCATCCAAACATACCCTCCCCAACCCCCTCTCCTCCCACCCACCTGCATCATGTAGGCGATGTTGTGGATGGTGAGCAGGTGGCAGCCCACGGGGTCTTTGGTCACCAGTGAGTGCAGATAGGCGCGTGAGAAGCTGCGGCAAGCCTGGCGGGGTGCAGAGAGATGTAGTGTGGTGCAGAGGGGTGTCGAGGGTGCAGTCAGGAGTGGGATGCGGTGGAAGGTTGAACCCGAGACGCCTCAAGTGAGCAGGTGGCTGCCCACGGGGTCCTTAGTGACCAGCGAGTGCAGACAGGCCCGTGAGAAGCTGCAGGAGGCCTGGAGTGGTGTAGAGGGATGTAGTGTGGGGGATGTAGTGCAGATTCACAGGAGTGCAGCAGGCAGCAAGGCAAACCAACAGAGACCCAGCAGGCAGGGCAGTAGTGCAATCCACCAGGCAAGAGGAGGAGGCGTCGATGGAGTGGTGGTCATGGGCCATGGGGGCATGGGAACACTGACACAGACGCAACAGGAGCAAGGAGGGCGGCAGGGAGACGCACCAGGCAGGCAGCAGAGGGGCAGTGAAACCCACCAGGCAGGCAGCAGAGGGGCAGTGGAACCCACCAGGCAGGCAGCAGAGGGGCAGTGAAACCCACCAGGCAGGCAGCAGAGGGGCAGTGAAACCCACCAGGCAGGCAGCAGAGGGGCAGTGAAACCCACCAGGCAGGCAGCAGAGGGGCAGTGAAACCCACCAGGCAGGCAGCAGAGGGGCAGTGAAACCCACCAGGCAGGCAGCAGTGAAACCCACCAGGCAGGCAGCAGAGGGGCAGTGAAACCCACCAGGCAGGCAGCAGAGGGGCAGTGAAACCCACCAGGCAGGCAGCAGAGGGGCAGTGAAACCCACCAGGCAGGCAGCAGAGGGGCAGTGAAACCCACCAGGCAGGCAGCAGAGGGGCAGTGAAACCCACCAGGCAGGCAGCAGAGGGGCAGTGAAACCCACCAGGCAGGCAGCAGAGGGGCAGTGAAACCCACCAGGCAGGCAGCAGAGGGGCAGTGAAACCCACCAGGCAGGCAGCAGAGGGGCAGTGAAACCCACCAGGCAGGCAGCAGAGGGGCAGTGAAACCCACCAGGCAGGCAGCAGAGGGGCAGTGAAACCCACCAGGCAGGCAGCAGAGGGGCAGTGAAACCCACCAGGCAGGCAGCAGAGGGGCAGTGAAACCCACCAGGCAGGCAGCAGAGGGGCAGTGAAACCCACCAGGCAGGCAGCAGAGGGGCAGTGAAACCCACCAGGCAGGCAGCAGAGGGGCAGTGAAACCCACCAGGCAGGCAGCAGAGGGGCAGTGAAACCCACCAGGCAGGCAGCAGAGGGGCAGTGAAACCCACCAGGCAGGCAGCAGAGGGGCAGTGAAACCCACCAGGCAGGCAGCAGAGGGGCAGTGAAACCCACCAGGCAGGCAGCAGAGGGGCAGTGAAACCCACCAGGCAGGCAGCAGAGGGGCAGTGAAACCCACCAGGCAGGCAGCAGAGGGGCAGTGGAACCCACCAGGCAGGCAGCAGAGGGGCAGTGAAACCCACCAGGCAGGCAGCAGAGGGGCAGTGAAACCCACCAGGCAGGCAGCAGAGGGGCAGTGAAACCCACCAGGCAGGCAGCAGAGGGGCAGTGAAACCCACCAGGCAGGCAGCAGAGGGGCAGTGAAACCCACCAGGCAGGCAGCAGAGGGGCAGTGAAACCCACCAGGCAGGCAGCAGAGGGGAAGTGAAACCCACCAGGCAGGCAGCAGAGGGGCAGTGAAACCCACCAGGCAGGCAGCAGAGGGGAAGTGAAACCCACCAGGCAGGCAGCAGAGGGGCAGTGAAACCCACCAGGCAGGCAGCAGAGGGGCAGTGAAACCCACCAGGCAGGCAGCAGAGGGGCAGTGAAACCCACCAGGCAGGCAGCAGAGGGGCAGTGAAACCCACCAGGCAGGCAGCAGAGGGGCAGTGAAACCCACCAGGCAGGCAGCAGAGGGGCAGTGAAACCCACCAGGCAGGCAGCAGAGGGGAAGTGAAACCCACCAGGCAGGCAGCAGAGGGGCAGTGAAACCCACCAGGCAGGCAGCAGAGGGGCAGTGAAACCCACCAGGCAGGCAGCAGAGGGGCAGTGAAACCCACCAGGCAGGCAGCAGAGGGGCAGTGAAACCCACCAGGCAGGCAGCAGAGGGGCAGTGAAACCCACCAGGCAGGCAGCAGAGGGGCAGTGAAACCCACCAGGCAGGCAGCAGAGGGGCAGTGAAACCCACCAGGCAGGCAGCAGAGGGGCAGTGAAACCCACCAGGCAGGCAGCAGAGGGGCAGTGAAACCCACCAGGCAGGCAGCAGAGGGGCAGTGAAACCCACCAGGCAGGAGCAGGAGGGGTCGATGGGGCGGTGGTCATTTGCCATAGCAGCGTGCTTGAGCTTCAACACGCCCTCTGGTATCAGCGCCGTGCCGAAACGAGCCGTGCGCGTGGGGTAGACACAGTCGTACATGTCTGCTCCCAGGGCTGAACACACCACTATGTCCAATGGGTACCCCACTCCCTGCGTGTTTGGAGGGGAGAGGGTCAGAGGCATACTTGAGACGCATGATATACGTCCTTTCCATGTCACGCCATACCACGCCACGCCATGCCATGCCATGCCATGCCATGCCATACCATACCAAGCCACACTATGCAGCACCATACCACACTATGCAGCACCGTACCACACTATGCAGCACCGTACCACACTATGGAGCACCGTACCACACTATGCAGCACCATACCACAATCTGCCGTACCATGACGTATCGTGGCTTGTTGGCCGGCAGAGCTGCCGTGCACTGCGCCACTACGCGCCAAAACGAATCCTTGTCCTCGCCGCCCGCCAGCCCACCAATTGCATAGCTGGAAGTAATCAACGGTGTTGAATGGAATGGTTGGGGTGGGGTGGGATGAGATGGTGGATGGGATGAAACAGATGCAGTAAGAGGAAATGAGACAGGGATGCAATAGAGCAACGTAGGCTGAAGCCAAGAGGCTGAACAACATCATGTGCCCAAACAGAACAACCGTAGCAGAACAACATCATGGTGACTCTGCTGCAGACCATTCACACTCCTGTGAGACTGTGGCATCCCCAGTCAGCTACCACACTGCTACATCCCCACTCAACTGACAGCTGCCACACTGTTACATACCCGGGTAGGTCTCTGTCAATGAGCCCCTTGAGGCAGATGTCCCTGCATGTATCAAGGGGGAAAGAGAGTGGAGGGAGCAGGCGGCAGGCAACAGAGAGAGGAAGATGGGAGAGGCAGCAGCAGAAACAGGCTGAGGGAATGCAGGAGACGGGGAGTGTTTTCCAGTGAACTTTACCATTTCCCAAAAGCGAATCGAAATACTGGTGGCGGAGAAAGCAGCAGAGGAAAAGGGAGAGGAGACGACGAGGATGTGCCTTGCAGTGCAGGCAACAGGACTGTCATGTTAGACTGTCAATTGAACTCACTCATCCGAGCCTGTTATTCTAATTCTAGTTTGTGCTTCCACCTGAGCAGCTACCACCTGGGTTTTCACCTGAGCTTAGGGTCCAGCCCTCCCTGCACGATGCCAAAGAGGTTCTGATCGTGCGGCCGGCTGTGGGCTGCGGGGGAGGGGGGAGGGGAGGATGCAGAAAGGCACAGCAAGCAGGAGACTGGGATGGTAGGAACAGGGAAGCGGGTGAAATAAAGGAATTTCCAGCATGACGTGATGCAATGTGATGTGCTTCTACGTTATTCTCACAAGGAGGTCCATATCCCCACAAGCCTTAACCCACTGATCTTTTGGACTAGTACATGCCTCATGCGTGCATGCTCTGCATGCATCCCCATTCATGCATCTACCATCCCCCTCACCCTGCATGCATCGGTCCATCCCTCTCACCCCCCCTTCTCAGGTTCACCCCTTCTCAGGTTCACCCCCTTCTCGGTCCATCCACCATCCCCCTCACTCCACCTCACCCTGCATGCATCGGTCCATCCACCTCAGCGTGCGATGAGTCGCCTCCTCAATGCGCGGGCCAGACACCAGGCTGCTCACCACGTCATCCAGAGCCATGATGATGTCAGCACCGATCTTGTTCTGCGCTCCTTCCAGGAAGCAGCCCACGGGTCACAGCAGAACAAACATGGGGGAGGGCTTGAAAGGGGTGTGATGCCTTGAAACGACAGTGGATGATGGAGGAGACCTAAATCTAAACGCAGATAGTTGTTGATGAAGCAAGATGTGGCTGATGTGCGCAGGGGGATTGGGAGCAGGGGGATTGGGAGCAGGGGGATTGGGAGCAGGGGGATTGGGAGCAGGGGGATTGGGAGCAGGGGGACTGGGAGCAGGGGGACTGGGAGCAGGGGGACTGGGAGCATCGTGAGCACCGGAAGCAAGATGTGGCTGATTCTCCTGGCAGCTGAGTTCAGCATACTGACAGGGGGATTGGGAGCAAGAGGCACCTGACATGGGCGTGGGGGGCACCTGAGAGGGGAGTGAGAGGCACCTGAGAGGGGAGTGAGAGGCACCTGAGAGGGGAGTGAGAGGCACCTGAGAGGGGGGACGAGGGGCACTTGAGAAGGGGATGGGGAGAGGCACCTGAGAAGGGGATGGGGAGAGGCACCTGAGAAGGGGATGGGGAGAGGCACCTGAGAAGGGGATGGGGAGAGGCACCTGGATGGCGATGGACTCCTCTGGGGTGAGCAGCATGCGCGTGCCGTCCACAGGCGACTGGAACTCCACCCCCTGCTCTGTGATGTCCGCCAGGTGTAGCAGCGACACCTGCCATGGTGCAGAGCGGTGGAGCGGGGTGCAGGGTGGTGTGTAGTGGTGTGGGGTGGTGTGGGGCAAAAGCAGGCAGTGAGTGAGTGGCAGCAAGCAACAGCACGTGGTGAGGGCATGGCATGGGATGCAACAGCGCAATGTGACAGCCGTCACCTGTGACTGCTATTTGCGCATTGCGTATTTCCCACGTCGATTCCCCGCATCATCAGCCTCCCCTCAAGACCTGGAATCCCCTCGAGTCAGTGAGCAGCCTGCATGGCCAGTCCATGGAGGCATGCAGCCCACCCGCGCCATCTTAAAGCCCCACCCCCCTTGCCATCTTAAGCCGCTTCTCACCATCTGGAATCCCCCCGAGTCGGTGAGCAGCCCGCGCGGCCAGTCCATGAAGGCATGCAGCCCGCCCGCCTCAGCGATCACGTCAGCGCCAGGGCGGTTGGCGAGGTGGTAGGTGTTGCCCAGCACCACCTGGCAGCCCAGCTCGCCTAATTGCTGTGCTGTCAGCCCCTTGATGGTGCCTGTTGTGGCGGCAGCCGGAACAGGGAGGGGACATGGGAAAAGCTGTGAGTTGACTGTCATGAGACACATGGTCAGAGCCAGAATGGCTGGCGAGATGGTGAGGGGACTGTAAAAGCACCACCTGCCACCCCAGCTCACGCAGCTGCTGCTCCGTCTAAACCCCCTTTAACCCCTCTCAAACCCTCTCAGCCACTCTCAGCACTCGTCAACCATGGCAGGCACCCACCTTGAGTGTTCACGGGCATGAACATGGGCATGAGGCAGCTGCAGCACCATTCTCGCTACATGCTGTCTAAGCCCCTCTCAGCCCATCTAAGCCCCCCTTCAACCCCTCTCAAAACCTGTCAACCGCTCTCAACTCCCGTCAAGGTCCCACCTTGCGTGCCCACGGGCATGAACATGGGCGTGAGGCAGCTGTGGTGCGGCAGCGTCATTCGCGCCGCTCGCGCGCGCTCGTGAGTCGCCAGCACCTGCCGGCGCGGGCGGGGGAAGGGAGGGGCGGACGCGGGGGAGTTCGAAGGCGCAACAGTTCCGCGCGTATGCGTGGCAAATAGCGGTCGCGGGAAGACTCACCAGGGGAAAGCGGGGGGCGGGGAGGAAGAGGGGCGGGGGGAACGGGGGAGTGGGAGCGGGGGAAGGGAAGGGAAAGGTACAATAGGCGGAAGGCATGCATTCAGTTCAGTTGGCGAGCGCGCACCTCGAATTCTAGCGCCATGCTGCTGCTGCCGCCGCTGCTGCTGATGCTGCGGCTGCCGTCGTTAAAACTGGCGTCGCTGCGGGCGACGGCATTCAGCCCGTTTGCTGCACCATGCGCTGGGGACTGGCTGTGGAGGCGTCGCTGTAAGGAATGGTACCGGCAATGGCGGCGGCGTGGCGGGGATAGACGAGGTGTCGCGACGGGTGACAAGACGAGACGGAGTGACCAGCGGACACTCGCAAGCTGCGACATTTACGATCGCACAGCGAATCGTGCTCGTGCTGTGGAGCTGCCGGAAAAACCAAAAAAAAAAAACAAAAACAAAATAATAATCCCATTTTACCAGCCGCCCTAGCTCAGTCGGTAGAGCGCAAGGCTCTTAACCTTGTGGTCGGTTCGAGCCCCACGGGCGGCGAACCTTCCGCGGAACGTGCGCTTTTGCCGCTTCCTGCTGTAACTGTTATGTGGTGGTTGTGTATAACGCGGATACGAACACGACACCTCAATGCTTCGACGTGGAACATCCTCGTTGGTCAAGAAACAGTTGCACGTTCCAAATCCATTGCCCCTCCACAGACGCGCGCCAAATCGCTTTCGCCATCGCAGGGGCAAGCAGAGCCGCTTGCGAGCCGGAATTTCAAAAATCGCACACGGTGGAACATCGCGGCGCGGCAAACCAATCACAAATTGCGCCCCTTTCACAACGCAACTTGTCAATTCCATTCCACGTTCTCATTCCTTGCTTTTTCCCCACCGCATCTCCAGCACAGCATTTTCCACCTCGCTTGTACGACGAGCTCTGCTGCTAAACTGCTGAGCTCAGCTATGCCGTCACTTGACAGTCGCAACCGAAGCGCGCCAGTCGTGATCCGCTGACAAGTCAGCAAGGGTGTGCTGCGTTATGTCCCGTGGCGAGCGAGTAGCCGAGCAGCCGAGTAGCCGAGTCCCTTTCTGCCAATAGCCACTCCACCGACAACGCCAAAACCCCTCTACACCGTGCCCTCCTTCAGTTGTTTGTCGCCATATCGACCCTCGCTTCAGTCCCGCGTGATACGATGTTAGTTCCATTCGTTAGTGTGAAGCCGCGCCCCTAGAAACCGCAACGCAGGAATGGACCATAGAACTGAACGTGCGGCGCGACAGGAAAGCGTTCAGCAATACGTTCTTATTAACCGGCTAAAACAGGTACAAGGCACGCCACTCCTGCATCGCGCACAAGTCTAACCAGCAATCCCATTAGCGCCTAACAAACTTGAGATAAGCTATCACAAGAGGACTGACTATCTCCAGCGTAAGAGTCTACTACCAGCAGCAGCAGCCTCTGCGCGAGCTGCGGTCGCGGGGATGAACTCTGCCGCGCTGCTGCTTCTCCCGCTCCTCACTCGCCTCCTTCCGCGCCCGCTCGGCGCGCTTCCCGCCGAAGGGGCCTCGAGTGCCCTCGTGCTCGTTCCTGATTGGCAGGCGGACGCAGGAAATGGGGGAAGGGCTGTGGGGGAGCAAGGAGGGGCAACACGGGGGGAGGGCGGGGTCGACGTCCGGGAAGAAAAGAGACAATGGGGGGAAGGCCGCCAAGGGGGGAGAGGGGCAGCGGCGCACCGGTTGCTCGTGATGAATGGCGGGAGAAATCAGAGTGGCGCTGGGAAGCGGGGGAGGGGGAAGGGGAAGGAAACGGCGGCCACGGTAGCGGAACGAAAAGGGGCGAGAGGGGCGAGAGGGGCGAGAGGGGCGAGGGGAGTGGCGGGAGGAAGACTAGGAGCTACTCCGTCGGAAACGTCGCCGCCTCGCAAGCGCGTTGCAGGTCGCGCCAAGGGGAAAGGGCACAAGAGGGTGAAGAGGCATGGGAGGGGCGGAAGGAGCGGAGCTAGGCGGGCTGGTGGAGGGGGGGCCGTGCGAAGGGGGAAAGCATTGACAGGTCGGAAGCCGCACTCTCAGAGGAGGCCAGCTACGGTGCAAGCAAATGGGGAGCGAAATCAGAAAGGTGCGAAGATGAAACTGAAGAGACGAGGCCCGAGAGGGGTTGTGAGTCTGCAGGACAACGCAAAGCAGAAGCCAGTCAGGGGGAGACAGCGCAGGACTGGAGCAGCAGCGGGCAGGGGGCAAGGGGGAGGCAAGGCAGCGAAACGCCCTGGCGGCGGCCGTGGAGAGGAGCAGTTGCCGGAAGCACAGCTCGTGCGCGGACAGACGGGGACAACAGGGGGGGGAGGAAAGAGGGGGGGCGGAAAAGGAAATAGCAGACGCCACGTGGGATCGGTGGAGCTGCCTACACCCTTGGGTTATGTTCCCACATGAAGCTGACCTAATTGTCTTCGTTTCTGCTACCAACTAACTGCCTAACAAGTGGAACTAACTAGTGGATTCAACTAGTTGAGCGTCATTTAGTCAGGTTATGTCTTGCTGTTGAAGGATCTTGTGCTGCTGTCGATGGAATGCATTTGTCCTGACATGATTGCATAAATACACTGCAGCCCAGCAATTACTCAAGAGCATTACCACATGCAAGTAAGGCTGAGAGATCTAGACTAACAGGGGTGAACTAGTATGTGACCACTACAGCAAAGGAACCTCCAGGCTTACTTCAATGAGAACCCCACTGAAGCAAAGCAGGGGTGCACAGTAACACACACAAGCACCTCGCTAGCCTAGCCTGATCACTGCTACCGGCATCTGCGACCCCAAGGGTGTGGTGGGGCAGCTTTGTCTTGCTCTTATACACTCCTAGGAGCGAGTAGCAGAGGGAGCACGGGAGGACATGGGCGGCGACGAGAGGGCGGCAACGGCCGAGGCGACGGTGGGCAGGGTGGAGGTGAGCGATGGGAAGGAGGACAGTGTGGGGTCGGTGAGGGGCGTGACTGAAGGGGAGAGCCATGGCATGACTGCTGAGGCAAATGTTTCAAAGCGCGATGAGAGAATCGCCTCCCAGTCCACCTGCAGAAGTTTTGGAAGAGCAGGGAAGGGGGGAAGGGGGAAGGGGATGGGTGGGGCGAGGAAAGGTTTCGTGAGAACATGCGAGTTTACAAGAGGAAGGATAAGAATGGTGGACATAAGTGTGGGCAGGCAGAAGCGGTGAAAACACATGCAGAAATGCCACGCGTATCTCTTGAGACGTCTCAAAACGCATATCTCTTGCTCCCTTCCACTGTTCTGCTGGGGTGCATGCCTAACCCCAGACACATGCAACAGGCCTGCACATCACCACAACCCCAACGCTCCCAAGTACCAAATTAGAAAGTCACAGCCGTGAAACTGCACCGTTTCCCACAAACCTGCAGTTTGGGTGGGATGGTGGCGGTGACTTGCAGCTGGGCTGCGAGGAAGAGAGCCAGCGTCACCACGTACCCCACCATGGCCGTTCCCCGTGCCAGTGGCATGAAGTTGTACCTGGCGTGGGTTGTGCACGCATGGTGCAGAGTGGTGCAGAGTGGTGCAGAGTGGTGCAGAGTGGTGCAGAGTGAAGCAATCAGAACGTGCTGACTTACAGCTACAGTAGCAGGCAGCTGATCGCAACCTGCTGCGTCAGCCACCAGCGTACATGCAGCACGACGAGTGAACCGATGCCATCCAGAAAAAGAGCAGAGCTTTACGAGGTGCGAGAAAGAGTCACGAGTGGCGTCTCGAAAAAGGGTGTTGCTAGAGAGAAGAGCGAGAGGGCACCAGTAGTAGGCGAGGCGCAGCACAGCTCGCTGGAATCGCGCCATAGAGGGACCCAGAGGCGGCCTCCATGCCCCCCCTTGCATCTTCTCCCCCACCACTGCGCACACGTCCTGGTGTGGGTGATTGGGGTCATGGGAGGGGTTGGGGACGGTTGGAGGGACGAGAGGGGAGCGTGGGGCAGGGAGGGATAGAGACAGAGGTGGAATTAATACCCTTGTTTTTGTCTCTTGCTGAACTCAATACAAAGAACCGTTCGAGGTGGAGGGGAGTAGATGTTGAAGATGCTTGCACCCCACCCTTCCCCCCCTCAGCAGCCACACAATGCATTAGGGAGATATTTCAAAGGGCGAGGGAGGAGCGGGCTTTAGAGGGGGTTGCCTAGAGGGGGCGTCACGCCACATGACCACACACATGTGGGCCATACAATGGTTGCTTCCAGCAGCACACACCCTGCCACCATCCCACTGCTCACGCCACCCATCTCTGTTCACCACCCCACCCACTCACCTCCCATGCAGCCGTCAGCTCTGCATCGTAGTCCGCCCACCATGAGGGCCTGCCAGGTTTTGAGACATCTCAGAACTCCCCCACCCCACCCCACCCCACCCCACCCCACCCTACGCCACCCCACGCACCTCCCATGCAGCCGCCATCTCTGCATCATAGTCCGCCCAGCGTGACGGCGTGCCGGGCGTGCGGATGGCAAAGTCAAACCCCGTGGGACTGCGGGCGAGGGCAGGGAGATGGGCGAGTGCAGGGAGATGGGCGAGTGCAGGGAGATGGGCGAGTGCAGGGAGATGGGGCGTGAGAGAAACAGCGTTATTAAGGAAGGGGCATGAAAGGAAAGAGGTTGAGGAGGACAGTGTGAGTATGCTAGGGTGATTCATGGGAGACGAGAAGAGGACAATGGAAGCGAGATAGCGAAAGGGACTGAGAGAGCAAAGGGGGCTGAGAGAGCAAAGGGGGCTGAGAGAGCAATGGGTTGGGCTGCTTACGTCTTCACAAGGGTGAGTCGTGTGCCCTCGAGAACCTTCCTGAAAGGGTGAAGAATACGGCAAGTGACACATGCAGGCAGAAAGAGGAACGGACAAAGGGGGTTTGAGCAGCCGAAGCCGGAAGTAGATGGAGGAGACTCAGTGAGACAAGATAGGGTCACAACAAGAATGGCAGGCCACTCATAAACAATAACTCAAGCTCAAGCCATGCTCAGCCACTCACCCGGGGTCACCCATGCTGTAGCAGCCACTCACCCCAGGTCAGCCATGAAGACGGGCGAGCAGCAGTTAGAAAGATACTTTTAGCAAAAGAAAGACAGTGATACTCTCTGTGTGTTGTACCCTGCTTAAGTGCCAAGGACTCTGGTAATCCGAACTCTCAAGTCCACTATAGAGATTAAAACGCAAACCAGTTTCGGCTGACTGGGACAGGCCCCACGTCAAACCTTCATCAGTGCTAGTGGAATGAAGAAGAGAGTGAGAACGAAGCATTTAGACAAACACTTCGTTTCGGAAAACAAAATTCAAGGTTGGAGCAACCGTGGCTGGAAATCTGGTCAGCCAATCCCGAATCACCTAGAAAGCCCAAGTGGTCCAGGTCTTCATTCATCGGGGCGTGTCGTTGAAATTGCACCATTTGCCAGCTGTAACTCATGCTGTAGCATGCTGTAGCAGCCACTCACCCCGGGTCCACCATGCTGTAGCAGGGCGTGACAATCCAGAAGTCCTCCCCAACCACCCGGTACAAATCCTCACATGCCTTTGCTGCCGCCACCTGGCACAGCGGAAGAGCAAGCGCCAGACAGAGGGTGGAGCAGAGGTGGGGAATGGGGAAAGGAGAACACGAGAGTGACAAGGGGGGCGTAAGAAAACTTTCGGCAACATCTAGTCAGAAGCTGCAACTGATTCTCAATCCATGTGCGAACAGGGAAGGGGTTGGGAAGAGGGGGACTAGAATGTGAGAGCAGAGGGGCTGAGAGAGAGGGTAGAACTGACAGCTGCTTTTGAGGCGCCTCAAAAGAGGAGGACTAGAATGTGAGAGTAGAGGGGCTGAGAGAGAGGGTAGAACTGACAGCTGCTTTCTGGGCGGGTGCAACGACGGACACTCGGTTGTTGGCAGCGTTGTGCACCGCACCCGACTGCAGCATCTCCTCCTTCATTATCGCAAACGCCCTGCACGCACCCCATGCACCCCATGCACCCCACACACAGACACACACACACACAGTCCTTAGGCACCCCAGAGTCTTTCACCATAGCATTGTGATGCACGCGGTTGAGTCAGAGACAGACAATGCCAGGGAATCTGCTAAAGCGAATGATACAGACACACTAGTGTGGAGAGCCTCATGCAACAAAGAGACCCGCACTCATGGCCGCACACAGCAGTGTATGTGCCTGGTGAGAGAAGCGACTCAACAGGGCACAGGTAAGCAGTGATCACTGCATGATGGTTATGCAGGGTGAGTTGTGGAATGGCAAGGTGGCAAGAAGCGTATGCAGTGAGAGGGAACCTACCGGTCGAAGTTGGCATGGTAGCGCACCACCTTGGTCTGCCCAATGAGAATGGGCGTGCGGCTTTTGGGGCACTTCAAAAAGGTATGAGGTGAGAGGGAGCACAGCACAGTGAGGGGGTGCCTACCGGTCGAAGTTAGCATGGTAGCGCACCACCTTGGTCTGGCCGATCAGAATGGGCGTGTGCGAGCCAAAGCCCGCTCGAAACTCCTTCTCCCTGAAACACGAGGGACGCGAGGAGAGGTTGCATTGCACGCAACAGGAGTGGTCACTGATACAATCACACCATTCTTTACTAGTCATCCTCGATAGTCACATCCAGCATCCTATGCGACCATACTACACCCACATCTTCCTTGCAAGCAACCTGCAAGTCCACCTAGACTTGTCGTAGACTGGAGTCAACAGTCATAGGTCACAGGTCACAGGTCACAAGCCACATTAGCGTGTTCACCAAACAAAAATGTTTGACGCACCTTAAAAAAAAAAAAAAACATAGTTCACAAGTCAGCCATCACACACACTACTCACGTGAGCATGTCCACCCATACAGCCGGGTCACACGGCTCTGACAGCTGCCTCCACCGTACAGCAATGGAATACGCGTCCCGCCACCCCTTTATTTGCACCCCCTTTGCTGCCACACCCCCCTTCCCTTGCCCTGCGCCTGAGCCTGCCCCAACCCCTGCTGCGCTTGCAGAGACACCTTTCCCTCCGCTTCCACCTCCCTTCCCCCGCCCTCCTCCCTTTCCGCCCTTGCTCTTCCCTCCTTTTCCCCCACCACTTTTCCCTCCCTTCCTCCTCTCCTCCTGACTTCTGCTTCCTCCTGCCACTGCCTCGCTTCCACTGCTGCTACCCCCGTCATCCATCAAAGAATCGTCCAAATGAAGTGATGACACGTCATCAGAGGATGGCACGGGAGACAATGACATGTCAGCAGATGATGACTTGGAGAAGGACGACATGTCAGCACCTCCATCCTCCAGCTCAGCAAGGACGGCGGCTGCTGCAGCAGAAGCAGGCGATGCGCCACCAGCGGCTGTAGCAGCAGCGGCAGAGGCGGCAGCTGTAGCAGTAGCAGCCTCTTCCTCGCGCTGCTCCCAGGTGGCTGCTACAGCCTGGGCTATTTCTATGGCAGCAAGGCCCGCCATGCGATACTGGCAGGGGATAACATGCATCACAAGTGGACAGGGCAATGCAAGGGTCCAAGAAGACAGGCATGAAGGTATAGGAGGAGAGGGGGGTGGGGGGGGGAGATGGCGGGGGAGCAGATGTGCATGCCTATGTATGGTTGCTCAAGCAGACAGGCATCACAGGATATGCAGGATAGCTCCATGTGATATCTTTGTGTGGAGGCATATTTCGTTTACCGAATGGTTCAAAAGGCACCTCTGAGACCCACCTGGCGGACGTTGGCATGGAAGCCAGGGCACGAGTACTGCGTGAGCCGGCCTATCCGATCAGCCAACTCCAGCAGCCTCTGCACCTCGGGATTCCCACTGCTCTTGCCCACACCACCACCGCCACCACCACCACTGCCGCCGCTGCCACCACCGCTGCTGCCCCCTGCAGATGAGGAGCCTTTCTTGCCCAGACGCACGGCGATTGAGGGAGGGACTGGCTGGGTGGTGTAGCCTGGGAAGAGGAGCGTCGGGGGCAGCTTCTTGCACCAGGCTTCCTGGGAATCGAAATTAGGCAGTCGCAGGGAGGGGCGTAAGAAACGGGATAACACAGACCATGTTCGTCCATGTATTGTGCAACAGAACAGATACCAAACGAAAATTGGCATGTAGAATAAGATTGCAGCATAGATGGAGACACAATGAGCAAGCGTGGCCTGAACTTGAACAAGGGGTGAATGAAAGTCCCTGTCGAGGCTCAAGTGAGAGAGAGGCTGGGAGTGCTTGGAGAGGGCGTAGCGGGCAATCTTTGCCAAGCCTCAAAACACAAATAGAGAAGAGTCCACTGGGTGAGTTGTGGCCTGACCTTGAAAAAGGGGGTCGAGGTCCCTGTCGAGGCTGAAGTGGGCGAGCGGCTGGGCGTGCTTGAAGCACGTGTAAAGGGCAAAATTTGCCAAGTATCAAAACACGGATAGAGAGGGGTCAAGTGGGTGAGCGTGGCCTGACCTTGAAGAAGGGGTCGAGGTCCCTGTCAAGGCTGAAGTGGGCGAGCGGCTGGGCGTGCTTGGAGAGAGTGTAGAGGGCGATCTCGCGCTGGTAGAAGCCCAGGAACTGCAGCAGCTTCGACTCCGAGTCTGTCTCCACGCCCAACATCTCATCGTATGTGCGCACCTGGTGGGGGGAGGGAGGGGGGGGGGGGGGGGAATGAGGGAAGGGGAAGGCGAAAGGTGCTGAAGTGGAAAGCATTCCATTGAGCAATGAGCTGGAGAAAAATCTGAGCATAAGACAAGGCGTGAGCATGGATAATTGACCTTGATCTGCACTGCAAACGATGCACTGTCGCATTTTCACACACACTCTTCATCTCGCAGCCGTGACTATTGCCCCACATGTCACACTCATCGGCCTTGCATATCCTCCCAAGGACCTACTCACTCACCACAGTGGCGGAGCTCGATGTTGCTCCTGAGGCAGTTCAAAACACGGCCCACTCACAGTGGCAAATTCATTCCCCCTCTCAACACACTCACCGCAGTAGCGTACTCTCCAACAGCATGCTCGGAGGAGGCATAGGAGTACATGAGCTCGATGTTGCTCCTCTCCAGCCTCAGCCCCTTCTGCGCCATCTGTGACGCGCCTCTGGTGCAACCGGGGAAGGGGGGGAGGGGGAGCAGTGAGGGGAGGGAATTGGTGGGGGGAGCCACAGCACAAGACGCACACAAGGGAGGTGGACGCTGTTTCAGGAGGGGTGAAGAGGTGGGATGCGAGTGGTGGTGAGAGAGTGCGAGCAAGAGAGACGAGGTGCCAGGTAGTTACTCATGTCCTTGCATACCTACCTACCGAGTACTGTGGCACTCCTTGTTTTGTGCAACGACAAGGAACACTTGCGCTCACCTGTGGTCGCCCACCCCATGCTTGAGCAGCGCCCAGTAGCGGTACACCGTCGCAAAGCTGCAGTGCCGAGAGGGAAGTGGTGAAGAGCGAGAGGGGGTTATGGCGGGAGACACTGAAGGGCGAGGAGACAGAGGAACTGGAAAGGAGGGGAGGGCAAAGATACACTAGAAGTGTCCACTTTCCCACCACCCCTTTGCTTGGGCAGCAAAACAACTCACTTTGAATCCGCGTCCAGCGCCTTCTGGTAGCACTTGGCTGCGTTTTCTGCATCGCCGTACTCCTTATAAGCCTGCCCCATGTTAACCCACGCGTCCTTGAAGTCCGGGCGCAGGGCCACAGCCTTCTTGTACGCCGCAACGCCCTCCATGCACGCTCCTGTGCCTGTCAGCGCCAGACCCTGCAGCAGAGATGCCATGGCATGGAGGGTGAGAGTTACAGCAGCAAGAAGCTGGAGTAGTATGTGCCTGTCGTGGTGAGAGCTACAGCCGTCCTGTGTCATAGCAGGACGTGAGAATGTGGCACAAATGGCAGCCGCACCATCCAACAGTGGTGGTTACTGCCAGTAAGAGACGCCTTACCAGGAAGTTATACGCGTTGGCATCCTTGGGATTGGAATCCAGAGCGGTCTTTAGATCCGAAATGGCTGCACGGTAGTTGCGCTGCTTCACATACACCACTCCTGCACGCACTCACACAGCACAGCAGCACAAAGACAGCAGAACCACCACAGCAGCATGCAAGTTAGAAACTTGCACTGTTGACAAATCAATGTGTCCCCTTAAGACAGTTGAAACAAGCAATTGACCCCATCCTTTCTGCACAGCCAGCCACTTACCCCTCTCAGCTAGCACATCCGTAGACGAGGGATCAATGGTGAACGCTCGAGTGAAATCCTCAATCACCTGAACGTGCAGCAAGGACCACATAAATACATCAGTACCTCACACGGAGTAGACCGAGGGGGGCGGAGCGAGGGAGAAGGCGAACAAAGAGGGGCATTCACTCGTTAAATATCACTCAGTTCGGCGGCCCAGTTCCTTTCTCACCTCGTCCATCTGCCCCAGAGCAGCCCTGGCCTGAGCTCGCCGCTTCCACGCTTCTGCTGCTCGCGGCTCAATCTCAATCGCCTGAAAGATAGAATAAGAGGGAGGCGAAGAGAGCACGCGAAGAAACATGCATTAGCTAATCGTCAATTGGAGGACGAATGCAAAGGGTCTCCCCTGAAGAATCACGAAAGCATGTGCAGCTTACAGCAGTGAAATCAGCAACGGCCTCTTTGAGCTTGCGCTGCAGAGCCCGTGCTGTGCCCCGTCCCACCAGCGCACCCAATGCCCGCCCGTCTGTCTCCAGAACCTGCACGCAGTTCAGAAGGAATGGATGGGCTCGGGAGAAGCAGCATCCATTGTCCAGAAGAAACAGTGATCGAACCAACAAGACACAGGTTCTTGATAAGAACGACGGGTTCTTGATATTTACGTGGTTGTGTTGTGACAGACAGCTATGTACCTGATTGAAGGTCTTGACAGCATCGTCAAGCTTGCCGGAATTGACCTGCCAAGGGAAACGGAACGAAACCAATCATTAAAAAGAATAACAGGAATCAACATGCTCAATCTATAACGCACCACTTACATGTTCAGCTTAGAACATGTTGAATACAGGCAAAGTAATGGAGAAGCACAGAAATCTCATCTTCTCTTACCTGGTTAATCCCAAGGGAAATCAACAAATCCAATGCCAGGCTGCCGCGTGCTCCTCCCAACCCCTTCCCTCCGCCACTGCTCCCTTTCCCTCTGTCATCTCCTCCGCCGCTCCCTTCTCCTCTACTCTCTCCTGCTCCACCCCCCTTCTTCTTCCCCTCTTTCTTCTGCTCCTTGGGTGACGCACCTCCCCGCGTCTCCCCAGTTGCAACCTCCCCATTGACCCCCTTCTCTTTGGCACTGCGTGGCGATGCATCTCCAGATCCTGTCTCTACAATCACACATCCGTTCTGGGCGGCAGAAGTAGCAGCAGGGGCAAGATGTGAGGACGAGGGGGACGGTGTGCGAGGTGGATTCGCAGAGGAAGGAGACGCAGGCAGCGCGTTTGCAGAGGGAGTCTGCTGAGAGGGAGAAGAGAGCTTGGGCGTTGGGGATAGGGGGGAGGAGGGGTCGATGGAGAGCGAGTGCAGGCGCAGAGCGAATTCAAGGTCAACGCAGGAGGACGCAAGGGGAGTGGTGGTAGCGCTACTGCCTGTGGTGGTGGCGGCTTGGTAGCCTTGGGTGAAGGCGGCCTTGGCTTCGTCCTTCTTGCCCAACGCCAGCCACGCAGCACCTGCATCGCCAACACGGCCGGCACGAGAAAGACGGAAACGGATACGCTGTCAGCTGAAAGACCGCGCAACGGCCAAAGATGTAAGAAGTAGTTAACTGAGAGGAGCAACAGCAGTGAAAAAATACAGAAGAGCGGCCAGCGGGGTGGAAGCGCGGCGAGCGGGGTTTGAGAGCGGGTCACCTTGGCGCATAAAGGCAAGAGGCTGATTGGGAGCGAGCTGCGTTGCCCTCATGGCGTCCTTGAGCGCATGCTTGTTGAGATCCAAGTGCAGATAGCACCACGCGCGATTGCTGCACCAAAGGGATTGACAACGGTTGGGAGGAGTGGTTCATACGAAACGAATCGGTTTTGAAATTTCTCAAGAACCCCCTCGTGGCGTCCCTGAGCGCGTGCTTGTGAAGATCCAAGTAACGATGACACCACGTGCGATTGCTGGACCAAGGAAGTGGAAATTGGGGGGAAAGTCGGTCATACGAGACGAGATGTTTCATGATCATTGCGACTAAATCACAAATTCATTAATAAGGCACCCCTTGAAGTGGATAACGGTGTGGTGAATCGAACAAGGGAGCAATCGCTGACAGACCGAGAGTCAACCATGTTTGCGCTACTCATAATCGATTTGAGGGCGATCAAGATGCAACGAGGTCTGAAACCCACCAGAGCGACATCGCAACCTCCGCTGCACTCCTGTTAGCCTCTTCCGCCTCGGTTATTTGCGCCGTCAGCAGCTTAACGGCGCGCGACCACTGCTGCTGCGCGCAAGCCTCAACCACCTCCTGCGCCATACCGGTGACGAGACGTGTGGCAGGAATTGACTAAGCTATGAAACAAAGAAACAAAAGCTTAAGAAGGCTCAGTCTGTGCATCAACCCTTGTCGATCAGCAGTCGCCGGGGCCCTCGCAACCGCACCACGGTCGAATCGTGGCTAGTCCAAATCCGATCTACGGCTACTGATACTATTATGCTCAAAGCCAAATTGACAGATCTATCCTCGAAGCCTGCTAACGAGAAGGCCAGCCTGACAATCGATGTCAGTGAATCCCATTCGTTGCGACCAGGTTTGCAAGGATGGAGGCCTGGACAGGATAGCTGCTGCCTAATCTCTGCAAGGTGTTGACGACATCTGGGCGGTGTTCGCCAGCACATCTAAACAAATGAAGGGCACGGAATGGCCGTGGGATCAGGAACCAGAGGAGGAACCTTTCGAATAGGTGTGGGGGGAAGGCCAAATCGCGAAATTTCGCGTCAGAAAGGGGGAGGGTGGCAACGGGATCAGGAACCACCTTCCCCACCTTCCAATTCCCCGCCCCCAACCTCTACACTTCCAATCCCAAGGCGATTCTGCTAGGGGAGGTGAATGGCGATAGAATGGCGACAGGATTTGCGTTTGCCTGTAGAGGAAGCTCCCAACCCACTTTCCTATCCTCACGATTCCATTCGAACTGAATGAAAAAAGAGGGCGTTCGACAGGCCAACATGATTCCGTTTGGTTCGGACGGAATCATAGGTTCGGCAAGAATTTCGCGGGCTGACCTGCCTGACGGACCCTAACGAACTCTGACGGACGGGATCAGGAAGCCGAGGCTGACCTTCCTGATCCCGTCATTTTTGTTGTTAAAAGTGCTGGCGAACACCGCCCTGCTGTCTGACTTTCTGATGATACCTGCCTGACATCAGTCAAAACCTTTGAAGGCTCGTGGATCTGGGCGTGATTTTGGCGAACGTAAAATGTTAGGGCGCTTCACCTGGGGGGCGGAAGGCCAAAATCCGAACCGACGTATCAGTTTTACTGTACGAACAGTATCCCAAATGAGTTCGAACACAAATTCGTACAATGTGCGAATGTGACACAGGCACATCACAGGTGACGCCATCGCTATTCGCACATGCGGTCTGTTCGAACACAGCGACGTCGCCCACAAAAGAGCGACGTCGCCAAACATTGTGTCCCTCGCTTGTGTGTTTCCTCGAGCGCTGCGACCACCAAATGCGGAGCCAACTGGATTGCTAGAAATACAGCCAGCCACGAGCCAATCGCATGCACTTCATTCCAATTTCTTGGTTCCTGTCACAATGTCTCCAGTTGCGCTACTCCTCCTGCTGACCTGGTTGTTTCACGGATTCACTACTCTGTTCGAGGAGCCAACAAACCTCCTCGTAGTAGTCTGGCTATCAGAGCTAGCAGCAGCTGAATTCAGGACTTGGGATCGTCAAAACCAGAGAGAGATATGGCACGCACGCCTTGAGCATTTCCAACCAGTTCCATTTTATGAATACCTGCGCGTCGACCGTGAAGTGTTCTCTTACATCGTAGATTCTTACCGTACATGCTTTCCCGGCTCCAGGCTGCACGTCTCTGTAGAATGTCGCGTTGCTTTAGCACTAATCCGTTTCGGGACCGGGGCTACGTATAGCCAGCTAGGACTCGCTCACGGCGTCTCGACATGGCATGCTTATCGTATAACACAGCTTGGAGACTGGAGCTGCAGTCCCAGCCTTGGGACTGGAGCTGCAGTCCCAGCTTGGGGACTGGAGCTGCAGTCCCAGCTTGGGGACTGGAGCTGCAGTCCCAGCTTGGGGACTGGAGCTGCAGTCCCAGCGTGAGGACTGGAGCTGCAGTCCCAGCTTGGGGACTGGAGCTGCAGTCCCAGCTTGGGGACTGGAGCTGCAGTCCCAGCTTGGGGACTGGAGCTGCAGTCCCAGCTTGGGGACTGGAGCTGCAGTCCCAGCTTGGGGACTGGAGCTGCAGTCCCAGCTTGGGGACTGGAGCTGCAGTCCCAGCTTGGGGACTGGAGCTGCAGTCCCAGCTTGGGGACTGGAGCTGCAGTCCCAGCTTGGGGACTGGAGCTGCAGTCCCAGCTTGGGGACTGGAGCTGCAGTCCCAGCTTGGGGACTGGAGCTGCAGTCCCAGCTTGGGGACTGGAGCTGCAGTCCCAGCTTGGGGACTGGAGCTGCAGTCCCAGCTTGGGGACTGGAGCTGCAGTCCCAGCCTTGGGACTGGAGCTGCAGTCCCAGCTTGGGGACTGGAGCTGCAGTCCCAGCTTGGGGACTGGAGCTGCAGTCCCAGCTTGGGGACTGGAGCTGCAGTCCCAGCTTGGGGACTGGAGCTACAGTCCCAGCGTGAGGACTGGAGCTGCAGTCCCAGCTTGGGGACTGGAGCTGCAGTCCCAGCCTTGGGACTGGAGCTGCAGTCCCAGCTTGGGGACTGGAGCTGCAGTCCCAGCTTGGGGACTGGAGCTGCAGTCCCAGCTTGGGGACTGGAGCTGCAGTCCCAGCTTGGGGACTGGAGCTGCAGTCCCAGCTTGGGGACTGGAGCTGCAGTCCCAGCTTGGGGACTGGAGCTGCAGTCCCAGCTTGGGGACTGGAGCTGCAGTCCCAGCTTGGGGACTGGAGCTGCAGTCCCAGCTTGGGGACTGGAGCTGCAGTCCCAGCTTGGGGACTGGAGCTGCAGTCCCAGCTTGGGGACTGGAGCTGCAGTCCCAGCTTGGGGACTGGAGCTGCAGTCCCAGCTTGGGGACTGGAGCTGCAGTCCCAGCTTGGGGACTGGAGCTGCAGTTTCAGCTGGGGGACTGGAGCTGCAGTCCCAGCTTGGGGACTGGAGCTGCAGTCCCAGCTTGGGGACTGGAGCTGCAGTCCCAGCTTGGGGACTGGAGCTGCAGTCCCAGCTTGGGGACTGGAGCTGCAGTCCCAGCTTGGGGACTGGAGCTGCAGTCCCAGCTTGGGGACTGGAGCTGCAGTCCCAGCTTGGGGACTGGAGCTGCAGTCCCAGCTTGGGGACTGGAGCTGCAGTCCCAGCTGGGGGACTGGAGCTGCAGTCCGAGCTGGGGGACTGTGGCGGATGGGACTATGGCGAGGTGAGTCAAGAAGCAGTTTGGCAGAGAGAGCACAGAGCTGTGCTTTGGTGACTGCACGATAAAGCAGCCGTGCACCTGGAGAGTGGGGTTGTGGCACCTGGTGGTCGTGCATAACCCTTCGTATTAATGAGCAAAAAGATGAGAACAGAATGACTCCGTATAGGGACCCTTGTTGCACAGGCAAGGTGAAAACAAGGGTGGCCTGGTGATGATAGTGGTAAAGCGAAGGAGCAGTTGAGCAGAGGGAGCATAATGGTTTGAGTACCATGAGGCAACCTCCAGTTCTCAACGCTGCACCGCACCCTCATACGCTGCATGTCAGATTACCATCCTCATTGTAACCTACATCAACCCTAAAAGCTTAGGATAGAGATAGCCACCCAAACTTAGTTTGGGTGTAGAACTAGGACTAACCCTAGTTGGGGGTTGGAACTCAAACCTTGGCCTCCAAGGCTGGATTGGGAATTATTGGCCCCCCCAATAATGTTGAACCACCTTTGGTCAACATTATTGGTCCCCCCAATAATCCCTCAAACCAACTTATTGGTGGGGGCCAATAATGTTGGCTTGGTTCCAACCAAACCCCCCCTAGCACTACTATGTATACCCCCATCTCTCCTAATGAAACCAATGGTTCTTCCTCACGTTTTCTCACATGGTATCAGAGCTACAACGGTTAACATCGTCTCTCGATCCTAAGGACCACACCTAACGCGTGCCGTATCACGGCCCCCTCTCTCACACGTCTCTTTGCCACTTCGCGAGTTGCGCTATTACGCCTTCACGGCCCCCCTCCCCCCTCGTACTCACGCACTCTCCCGTGCCTCCCCCGCACAAGTTACGATCGGCAGCCCGCTCCCTCCCCCCCCTCCCCTCCCCTCCCTCACCGCGGCGCATCCCGCCAATGGTTGGGGGCGACAGGGGCGTTGCCGGCGAGTGCGACAGGAGCCGCTGCTGGCCTACTGCCGAACAATTCGTCGAAAATGGGGTACCATGACGGCAGATTCCGCGCACTCCCATGGCACCGCTCCGGTTGACCGTCTGATCGCGCCAACGCCTCCAAGAGTCCTTCATGCGGAAAATTTTTGCACGTATGGCAGCTGCGTCGTGACGCCAAAGCGGATGGCACACACGCATCTCGTCATACATGGCCGAGTACCAGTTGCGACCTTGCTGTCTTGTCATTTGACGGATTTCAAGGTCCATATCTTGACGGGCAACGGCGAGGTTGAACTCCTCCTGCCGAGTCCATCGAGCGTGAGAGCGAGCATCGCTCCTACGCCGCGAGGTCGACGCCGTACCGGCAGCGGAGGTGGTGTTCGTGGGGTCAGGGTCGTCATCTATCTCTGGCTGCTCGGCCTCATCAAGGTTTGCGCCCACCTCGTCGGAAGTATATGGAGCAGTCGGCGATGGAAGGTTGTTTCCCCACTAGTCAGGGTCATTTGTGAGATCAATGCTCACCGTAGCCGTCGCGCCGGTTGGAGCATTCGTGGCTACTTGAGCAGTTGTGTTTGCTTGAGCAGCGGTCGTGCGTGCAGGAGCAGTCGTGCCTCCAGGGGTGTTTGCGCCGGCTGGAGCTTCCGTGCCTGTTGAGGGAGCACGTGTCTGCGACTCCTGGGTGTCAAGGTGGTTGGTCTCTGGCACGACGGTTGAGCTGGGACTAGGGGCTCGGGGGGGAGGTGAATCGTTTGCCATGCTCGGCGAGTTTGGTTGGTTGGGCATTGAGTGGGCTCCATTTGTATTGGTGGGTTGAATTGGCGACACGAATTGGCCTTTGGGCAAGAGGCATGCGATTCGTGCTGAACGTGCGAGCACATTCTCGTTCATGGCGACGTCTGGCCGGGTCGCAAACTTTCATGTGCGACCCGGAAGACTGTGGACCAATCATATCAGTCGTTTGTGCGGAATTGTGTGTCACCTATCCCAACCCGTTCGAACAAACGTGTTCGAACGTGCGGAATGATGAAATTCGTGCTTGAGGTGACAGCTCTGTTCAAATTGGCGAAAATTGTGCTTCGCGACGTCACGAAAACCACTACGAACATAGGCGAAACGAGTAATGTTTCGCCTGTTCGAACGAGTGTGTTGTTCGAACCGAGAGGTGAAGCGCCCTTAGCACCGTCGACCTTAGAATCTACGACATTCACGAATCCTGGTAACAAGTGAATGGACCGGGAAATTCCTTCGCTTCCTCGTCAAGTGCATCGTCCACATCGCATCCTGAACACCATGAAAATTGGAACCCCCGTAAAAGTGCAGCCCTTACAGCATGAAATTTTCGTCACTGTACAGTATACGTTCTTTCTCCCACCAGGCTCGTCTAATAACGTGTACTAGAGAGAAGTGGGAATAAGGGACAAATGCTTCAAATGTAGTCCAGAAGCCATTGTTGCTACCCATTCACAGAACAAGAGGAAACTGTACGCCATTGCACCTACGTTGGAGGCTTCTGACGATGACCAGTCTACGTTATGACGCAATGGTTAAATAATCACCACGTCTTGACGGCCGATTCGAAGTCCACGTGCATCACATTTCCATGCAACACGTCCGCATAGAATGGCTCCTTCCGTTCGTGCCATTCGTGCGACGTTTGTATGCCTTTCGTTGAACGTGACTCTTTGCACGGTCTTCAATGGTCGATACTACACGGCTCCTCCGTTACCAAACCATGCCGTTCCAGTCAATATAGCCGGCTCGAACAAGGGTGGAGGTAGTACGAGAGGTGCGGAGACGGTAGACCAGACAGCAGGGTTCGTGCTTCCAAGCTCGGCGCGCAGGTGTAATGCGGAGGAACCGACTGATGCCGCTGCAGGGCTCATCTCGTCTCTTGAAAAGCTGAGCTGGTGAGATTGCCAACCAACATTTGAGAGCGCCAGAACATTGCTGGATATCGATGCACTGACACTTGGTAAATTAAATTCGTCATTTGCACTGCGATTGACGCAACGACGGGTACGGGAATTTCATCTGACATTTCTTCAGCGTCGCGCGTCATCGTCATGCCTCTCGTCCAGGAGCCCCTATCTTTGCGATTGGGAGGCGCATCTGATAGCGTCAGTGCCAGCCCGGGTAGATCATCACTCTCTGACCAGTCGGCCCGCCTGCATCACTCCATTCATCAGAAAAGGTGATGAAAACAACACAGCGAACAAAGGTGCGGCTGCTGCAGAACCTTCCGACTTAGGCTAAGCAGCATCTGAGCCCAGCAGCCAGCACACTCAATGAGCCTCGGCCTCTGGGCCTTTTACCAATTACTTTTCCCCCTTTAAAAAAAAAAAATCAAAGCTCCTCTTCTCCAGTTTTTGTCGCTTCTTCACATTCTGTGCATGCGCCAAAATGCTGGGAGCTCCCCTCGTTGTATTTCCCTCCCTCATTCCATCACAGCAACCAAAGTGTATCGCCTGCAGCAGCCACCGATATCAGCAATCAACGACTCTCCCACTAGGGTCTTGATAGGCCAAGAAGGAAGCAAGGGAGGTTACAGCCAGGGCCTGCGGTGTGAGGAAAGCTCCGTGGGGCGGTTGAGACAGCTGGAGAGCACTGAGCTGTGTGGCTTGCTGCTGCTGGGCGACGGACCTGCTAAAGCTGCAACGAGCGATCAAAGAGGGGTGCATGAGAATAAGCATGGAAGGGGAAGTCCAGGGGAAGCAGCAAAGGGCCGGTCGCAGAAGACAAGAACAAGGGTGAAGCGGGACGGAAGCAGAAAGAGCAGCGGAAGAAGGGGGGGGGAGCGCAGGTGACGAGCAAGCAGCTTGAGATGCTGCAGCAGGCGAACGATGAGGTGGGTGACGTGGTGGTTTTTGAGGCGCCTCAAAAAGGTGACGAGCAAGCAGCTTGAGATGCTGCAGCAGGCGAACGATGAGGTGGGTGACGTGGTGGTTTTTGAGGCGCCTCAAAAAGGTGACGAGCAAGCAGCTTGAGATGCTGCAGCAGGCGAACGATGAGGTGGGTGACGTGGTGGTTTTTGAGGCGCCTCAAAAAGGTGACGAGCAAGCAGCTTGAGATGCTGCAGCAGGCGAACGATGAGGTGGGTGACGTGGTGGTTTTTGAGGCGCTTCAAAAAGGTGACGAGCAAGCAGCTTGAGATGCTGCAGCAGGCGAACGATGAGGTGGGTGACGTGGTGGTTTTTGAGGCGCCTCAAAAAGGTGACGAGCAAGCAGCTTGAGATGCTGCAGCAGGCGAACGATGAGGTGGGTGACGTGGTGGTTTTTGAGGCACCTCAAAAAGGTGACGAGCAAGCAGCTTGAGATGCTGCAGCAGGCGAACGATGAGGTGGGTGACGTGGTGGTTTTTGAGGCGCCTCAAAAAGGTGACGAGCAAGCAGCTTGAGATGCTGCAGCAAGCGAACGATGAGGTGGGTGACGTGGTGGTTTTTGAGGCGCCTCAAAAAGGTGACGAGCAAGCAGCTTGAGATGCTGCAGCAAGCGAACGATGAGGTGGGTGACGTGGTGGTTTTTGAGGCGCCTCAAAAAGGTGACGAGCAAGCAGCTTGAGATGCTGCAGCAAGCGAACGATGAGGTGGGTGACGTGGTGGTTTTTGAGGCGCCTCAAAAAGGTGACGAGCAAGCAGCTTGAGATGCTGCAGCAGGCGAACGATGAGGTGGGTGACGTGGTGGTTTTTGAGGCGCCTCAAAAAGGTGACGAGCAAGCAGCTTGAGATGCTGCAGCAAGCGAACGATGAGGTGGGTGACGTGGTGGTTTTTGAGGCGCCTCAAAAAGGTGACGAGCAAGCAGCTTGAGATGCTGCAGCAAGCGAACGATGAGGTGGGTGACGTGGTGGTTTTTGAGGCGCCTCAAAAAGGTGACGAGCAAGCAGCTTGAGATGCTGCAGCAAGCGAACGATGAGGTGGGTGACGTGGTGGTTTTTGAGGCACCTCAAAAAGGTGACGAGCAAGCAGCTTGAGATGCTGCAGCAAGCGAACGATGAGGTGGGTGACGTGGTGGTTTTTGAGGCGCCTCAAAAAGGTGACGAGCAAGCAGCGTGAGATGCTGCAGCAAGCGAACGATGAGGTGGGTGACGTGGTGGTTTTTGAGGCGCCTCAAAAAGGTGACGAGCAAGCAGCTTGAGATGCTGCAGCAAGCGAACGATGAGGTGGGTGACGTGGTGGTTGTTGAGGCGCCTCAAAAAGGTGACGAGCAAGCAGCTTGAGATGCTGCAGCAAGCGAACGATGAGGTGGGTGACGTGGTGGTTTTTGAGGCGCCTCAAAAAGGTGACGAGCAAGCAGCTTGAGATGCTGCAGCAAGCGAACGATGAGGTGGGTGACGTGGTGGTTTTTGAGGCGCCTCAAAAAGGTGACGAGCAAGCAGCGTGAGATGCTGCAGCAAGCGAACGATGAGGTGGGTGACGTGGTGGTTTTTGAGGCGCCTCAAAAAGGTGACGAGCAAGCAGCTTGAGATGCTGCAGCAAGCGAACGATGAGGTGGGTGACGTGGTGGTTGTTGAGGCGCCTCAAAAAGGTGACGAGCAAGCAGCTTGAGATGCTGCAGCAAGCGAACGATGAGGTGGGTGACGTGGTGGTTTTTGAGGCGCCTCAAAAAGGTGACGAGCAAGCAGCTTGAGATGCTGCAGCAGGCGAACGATGAGGTGGGTGACGTGGTGGTTTTTGAGGCGCCTCAAAAAGGTGACGAGCAAGCAGCTTGAGATGCTGCAGCAAGCGAACGATGAGGTGGGTGACGTGGTGGTTTTTGAGGCGCCTCAAAAAGGTGACGAGCAAGCAGCTTGAGATGCTGCAGCAGGCGAACGATGAGGTGGGTGACGTGGTGATGGAGTGGATGGACGGGTCACGGGTGGGAGGGGGGAAGGAGGGGGGGAAGGGGGTGTAAGGGATGGGCAAGGGAATGTGATTACGGAGGATTGTTAGTTTATAAGGAGTGGTGTGTGGAGGTGGGAGGTGAGGATAATGAGAGTTGAAAGCACTTCAATGGATTGGTCAGGTCGATGATTTTTTTCCTCCCGAATGCGTTTCACTCTAATAGCAGGCACGGAGGCAGGGCATTGTGTGTGTCCGTATCCACCATGTCGGCACGACCAACAGTTCAAGAAACCACCGTGCGAGCTCAAGTCCCATTCATATTCAACTCCCGATCTTTTAGTCTAGTGCACCCACTCAGTCAATTAATCTGCTGCTGTCTGCTCCCGTTTCATGCAGATGGCACGAGGGCGATACACGGAGGCAATCGCTATCTACAACAAGGTCAGACATGCAGCCTCATCCTTCTTCTCTTCCTTCTTCCTTTGTCTGGTTTCTACTTTTGATCGACCAAGCTTCATCCTTCTTCCGTCTTCCTTTGTCTGGTTTCTACTTTTGATCGACCAAGCTTCATCCTTCTTCCGTCTTCCTTTGTCTGGTTTCTACTTTTGATCGACCAAGCTTCATCCTTCTTCCGTCTTCCTTTGTCTGGTTTCTACTTTTGATCGACCAAGCTTCATCCTTCTTCCTCTATTCCGATCATGTATCATACCGCCCTTCTTCCCCTCACATGCCTCCCCCTGCCTGCCTTCCATGCATGGCTCCTTCCGGTCTGTTTTGTCCACTGATCGTCCAATCACTGCTTGACAGCTGGCGTCGACTCCCTCTCTGAAGGACCGAGTGCTAGTTGGCCGGGGCTCCTGCTACGGTGCACTGGGGCAGTTCGACAAGGCACTCGCTGACCTGTCCGCTGTAAGGGCTACATGTCTTGTGTCCTCTCCGCTTCATCCCTTCTTATGTCCCCCATCGACCACTTATTTTCTATGTTTAAGTTAACCCATCAAGTTTTTGTGCTATGCTACACTGGCAGGCTCTCTCAATAAACCCAACAAGCAAAGCCGGCTTCATGGCTCGAGCAGGCACTTATTTCAAAATGAACAAGCTTGTCGAGGTAGGCGTCAATGCGTCATGATGCATGGTGACATCCGCCATTGACTGTACTATGCTGCCAGCAGGCGTCCTGCAGTGACACAGCTGCTGCCATACCTCACTACGTCTCGCCCTTCTGCCCTCTGTTTGTAATCCACACCACACCCACATGCCATCCATTGAAGGCCATAGTGGACTACTCGCGAGTCATTGACCTGGACCCCTCCGATGCCGAAGCAGTCAGGTGGCGAGGTAAGGAGAGGTGGTGGCCAAGGCAGCGTGCTGCACATCCTTCCAACTCTAACCATCTCCCCCTGCTTCCAACTCTAACCATCTCCCCCTGCTTCCAACTCTAACCATCTCCCCCTGCTTCCAACTCTAACCATCTCCCCCTGCTTCCAACTCTAACCATCTCCCCCTGCTTCCAACTCTAACCATCTCCCCCTGCTTCCAACTCTAACCATCTCCCCCTGCTTCCAACTCTAACCATCGCCCCCTGCTTCCAACTCTAACCATCTTTTCCTGCTTTCAACTCTAACCATCTCCCCCTGCTTTCAACTCTAACCATCTTTTCCTGCTTCCAACTCTAACCATCTCCCCCTGCTTCCAACTCTAACCATCTCCCCCTGCTTTCGACTCTAACCATCTCCCCCTGCTTTCAACACACTCGCTCTCGCTTCCCATCTCCATCTTCAGCCCCACCTCTCTCCCCTCCAATCTCCTCTCTATTCCACTACCAGGCATCCTCTCCTTCAATCTCAAGTACTACTATGCAGCTGAGAAGGACTTTCAGCAAGCCATTCAGCTCGACCCCTCTCTTCCCTTCGTCTTTAAAGGCCTTGTAAGTTATCTCTCACTCATGATGCTTCATTCTCCTGGGGCTTTTTACATCCTTATTCCTTTGCAGTCATTCTCGATTGCTTCTTCCCTGCAACCATATGTCCAACATGCATTACCTGTTCATGAGCTGTTCCTCCCAGCACCCATATTCCACTCTCCTCGTCTCCATTCCGCTCCATCCCTCTCTCTCCTCCGCTCCCTTCTCTCTCTCCTCACTCACTCCCACTCCCTCACACTAGGGTCTCGCCATAGGAGGCAGTGGGAGGTGGCGGGAGTCGTTGGCAGTGTTTGCGGAGGGTGTAAGGCGGCATTCCCAGGATGCGGACCTGTGGCATTCCAAGGGGCGCGCGCACAAGGAGGTGGGCGAGGTGGCGAACACTATAGAGGCACTTGAGCGGGCGCTGCAGATCAGAAAGTGAGTGCCATGGATGGGATTGCAGAGGGTGTGTGTGAGGCGGCATTCCCAGGATGCGGACCTGTGGCACTCCAAGGGGCGCGCGCACAAGGAGGTGGGCGAGGTGGCCAACGCTATAGAGGCACTTGAGCGGGCGCTGCAGATCAGAAAGTGAGTGTGGTGGATGTGACTCAATGCAGCTGTGGTGAGTTTCCGTAGTGTGAATGCGCCAACATTCCGGACGTACCTTGAAAACAGCCCTGCATCCTTTCTATAGTACTTGCATGTTTTCTGCATGTGCTCAAGCGTGCATGTGCAAAGCTGTCAAAGCACGCTCTCTGCTCACATCTGTGCTTTTCTGCGTGCACTGCACAGGGCAGTGGCGACCTATCAGGAGCTCGTGTCTGTCAGCCGATTCGTGGGTGACTACAGGTGAGCTACCCGTACTTGCTCAGTCACTGTGGTTTGTTCTCGATAAGCTTTGTGTTCTCTCTTGCATCTTTCCCGCTTGCTACTTTCCATCACGTCTTCAACCCTCTCTCCCTCCGTCTCTCCACAGGGCCGCCATACGCTATGCAAGAGAGGGGTTGGAGCTGGACAGGGGAGACATGGAACTCGTTCATGCCCACGCCAGCAGCCTGCATGCTCTGGGAGACCTCTACCCACTTTCCCTCACGTCTTCAACCCTCTCTCCCTCTCCCCATCAGGGCCGCCATACGGTATGCAAGAGAGGGGTTGGAGCTGGACAGTGGAGACATGGAGCTCGTCCATGCCCATGCCAGCAGCCTGCATGCTCTGGGAGACCTCGCCGAAGCTGTGAGCATTGCACATCCACACCCCCCCACGCTGTGCTGTTCCCGTTCTACCTAATTGTGATCCGCCACATACTGTGCTGTTCCCGTTCATGTGACTTCCATGATGTCCTTTCCAATCACATTCTTACAGCGCACCACCCTCATCAAAACCCCCTGCCACCCATGTCTCTGCGTTCCCTGTGCTGTGCTGCCCACAAATGCTCAAGTACCAGTCAGCACTGACACTGCAGCCCAGGGACCAGGAAGGGCAGGCACTCCAACACTCCATGTTCTACCAGGCATGTTTCTCAAGTTCAGTTATCCTGTTGTGCTTTTTTGTTGCACAGCTAATGCCCTACCTGATCTCTCTCGAATCTGTTTCTCATATGCTCCCTTTGGGCCCATAAATGCCATTACAGCTGAGCGATTTTTTAGAACTCTCAAGTATGCTCCCTCCTGCCCATATTTGCCATTTCAACTCCCCTCTTCCTCTCAGAGGGAGGTACTGGCCGACACCATTGCTTCCTTGCAGCAAGGTGACTTTTGAGTCGACTCAAAAGTCTCATTACAATGGCACACGACTCATATGCTCTCTCCTTCCCATATACGCCATCAAAACTCCCCGCTTCCTCTCAGAGGGAGGTACTTGCCTACACCATTGCTCGCTTGCAGCGGCCACTCTCCTCTATCCGCTTCGACTGGGACTTTACTCCGGAGTTTAGAGTATGGCCACCTCTTACCACCCCCAACACAGCCATCCTCATCACCTGTTGCGTCTATTTCCATCAGTACAACAACCATACTAAGTGGCCTTTTTTTGTGCGTGCAACCATAGCAACGCTCAGCCATACGCATGACAGCTGCATGCTGTCGAAATATTTTCCCACCACATCCCTCCTTGTTTCTTCCCGTTCACTCTCTCCTGATCTTTCCTCCTCAACCGTACCTCCTCTCATATCCCCCCCCAATGCAACAGGAGGCCTGGACCGAGAAGGACCCCATAGCAACGCTGCCAGGCTACCAGCCCCTCTCGGTCACTGCACGCCAATCACAACGCGCCACGTTGCAGTCCCTGCCCAAGCTGTCACGAGAATCGTTGGATCTGATCGAAGAAGCGGACAGGATCGGCCAGCGGGCCCACTACCACTGCGATGCCTTCATGCCAAACAGGCAGCAGGTAACAGACAGCAGAGATTTGAGTTTTGAGGCGCCTCAACGTGCGCTTAGAGAGTGTCGCAGCACCCTCTCACTCTTCCATCCCGTTACCCCTCCCATCCCTCACCCCAACCCGACTCTCCCATCCCGCCCTCCCTTTCTTCAGCTGCGGATGGCAGGGCTGGCTGCTTTGGACGTGATGCAGCAGGTTGGTCCGTCCAGCTCTCATTAGCACTGCTCCTGTTCTCTCTCCACTCCCCTCACCCTCCCTTCACCCCTCCCAGCTGCGCATGGCAGGGCTGGCTGCTTTGGACGTGATGCAGCAGGTTGGTCCGTCCAGCTCTCATTAGCACTGCTCCTGTTCTCTCTCCACTCCCCTCACCCTCCCTTCACCCCTCCCAGCTGCGCATGGCAGGGCTGGCTGCTCTAGACGTGATGCAGCAGGTCAGTCATTTCTGCCCTTTTCCAATGCTTGTCACTGGGGGCGTTGTAGGTGTGAAGTCTTTTGATGCAAGGCACGGTAGTCACTGGCTAGTAGTGCTGTGTGATTGAAGGGGTTGTGGTCAATATGTAAGCGTACACTTGTGAATATGTATGTGTGCCGTGCCTTTCACTTGTCGCTCCATTTGTGCGCGTGCCATGGCACAGGCAAGGGCAACGTGGGATGCTTTGGCACAAGAGCAGCAAGAGGGGGAGGAGGCAGGAGGTGGTGACAGCAGAGTGACAGGCTCCAAAAAAAACAAGGAAACAAATACACCAGGAGGAGGGGGAGGCGGCGGAGAAGTACAGAGCAGGGAGAAGCAGAGGCAGAGGGGAAGTGACAGCTCCGACAAGAGCAGGCGGAAAAGCAGTAGCAGAAGCAAGAGGACAGGCAGTGGGGTGCTGAAGGGGTGGAGGGATGTGTACGAGGTGATCACGAGATGGAGGCAGATCTCCGATCCAACGGATGCTGTGCTCTGGAAGGACCAGCTCAAGTACGTGCCACTGCCATCGCTCGTTGTGGTCGGATGCCACAATAACCACAATGCCGTGGGACTGCCATTATGACCGCTCTTCTCATTCACGTTCTCAACTGAGTATCACTGTTCGAAAGCATCGCTCATTCTCTCGAACTCAGTATATGTTCCTGGTGTGGGGGATGGTATGCCGTCTGCTTTCCTGTCCTCTGCAGGAATCGCTTTGCGCAGGGCTTTCGGTCGTCCACGCCCATCAAGGTGTGGGATCTGCAGACTGTCAAGTACTACCCCGTCTTCAACAAGTGAGTCAATCAATATCCACTCACTTTCTCACCCATAGAGACGACTTTTGCGACGTCTCAAAAGTTTTCGGACTGTCAAGTATTACCCCGTGATCAACAAGTGAGTACAGCTCACCTCTTCTGCACTGCCTCCGCTTCTCCCCTGCAGCCACGTTTTCCACTGGTCAGGACACTCCCCTGCAGCCACGTTTTCCACTCCTGAACTCCGGTTCAATGTGTGGCAGGTCGTTTGAGGCCATGCGTGAGGCGCTGCTGGAGTCCGAGCAGGCCTTCACAAACAACCAGCCCATCGCTGTGCCGCGCAACACACGTGGCGACATGGTGAGTGGGGTGCGCATGTCCCATGAAACACACATGGCGATATGCCGAGTGAAATGCGCATGTCTCTTGAAACACACGTGGTGAGCACCAGCATGTGAGCACCAGCATGTGAGCACCAGCATGTGAGCACCACCAGCACCAGCACGTGAGCACCAGCACGTGCTAGCTTGGGGACTGGAGCTGCAGTCCCAGCTTGGGGACTGGAGCTGCAGTCCCAGCTTGGGGACTGGAGCTGCAGTCCCAGCTTGGGGACTGGAGCTGCAGTCCCAGCTTGGGGACTGGAGCTGCAGTCCCAGCTTGGGGACTGGAGCTGCAGTCCCAGCTTGGGGACTGGAGCTGCAGTCCCGGCTCAGGGACTGGAGCTGCAGTCCCGGCTGGGGACTGGAGCTGCAGTCCCAGCTTGGGGACTGGAGCTGCAGTCCCAGCTTGGGGACTGGAGCTGCAGTCCCAGCTTGGGGACTGGAGCTGCAGTCCCAGCTTGGGGACTGGAGCTGCAGTCCCAGCTTGGGGACTGGAGCTGCAGTCCCAGCTTGGGGACTGGAGCTGCAGTCCCAGCTTGGGGACTGGAGCTGCAGTCCCAGCTTGGGGACTGGAGCTGCAGTCCCGGCTGGGGACTGGAGCTGCAGTCCCGGCTCAGGGACTGGAGCTGCAGTCCCGGCTCGGGGACTGGAGCTGCAGTCCCAGCTTGGGGACTGGAGCTGCAGTCCCGGCGGGGACTGGAGCTGCAGTCCCAGCTTGGGGACTGGAGCTGCAGTCCCAGCTTGGGGACTGGAGCTGCAGTCCCAGCTTGGGGACTGGAGCTGCAGTCCCAGCTTGGGGACTGGAGCTGCAGTCCCAGCTTGGGGACTGGAGCTGCAGTCCCAGCTTGGGGACTGGAGCTGCAGTCCCAGCTTGGGGACTGGAGCTGCAGTCCCAGCTTGGGGACTGGAGCTGCAGTCCCAGCTTGGGGACTGGAGCTGCAGTCCCGGCGTGGGGACTGGAGCTGCAGTCCCTGGCTTGGGGACTGGAGCTGCAGTCCCAGCTTGGGGACTGGAGCTGCAGTCTGCAGTCCCGGCTCGGGGACTGGAGCTGCAGTCCCAGCTTGGGGACTGGAGCTGCAGTCCCAGCTTGGGGACTGGAGCTGCAGTCCCAGCTTGGGGACTGGAGCTGCAGTCCCGGCGTGGAGACTGGAGCTGCAGTCCCGGCGTGGGGACTGGAGCTGCAGTCCCGGCTTGTGGGACTGGAGCTGCAGTCCCGGCGTGGGGACTGGAGCTGCAGTCCCAGCTTGGGGACTGGAGCTGCAGTCCCAGCTTGGGGACTGGAGCTGCAGTCCCAGCTTGGGGACTGGAGCTGCAGTCCCAGCTTGGGGACTGGAGCTGCAGTCCCAGCTTGGGGACTGGAGCTGCAGTCCCAGCTTGGGGACTGGAGCTGCAGTCCCAGCTTGGGGACTGGAGCTGCAGTCCCGGCTTGGGGACTGGAGCTCCAGTCCCGGCGTGGGGACTGGAGCTGCAGTCCCAGCTTGGGGACTGGAGCTGCAGTCCCGGCGTGGGGACTGGAGCTGCAGTCCCTGGCTTGGGGACTGGAGCTGCAGTCCCGGCGTGGGGACTGGAGCTGCAGTCCCTGGCTTGGGGACTGGAGCTGCAGTCCCGGCGTGGGGACTGGAGCTGCAGTACCGGCTTGGGGACTGGAGCTGCAGTCCCAGCTTGGGGACTGGAGCTGCAGTCCCAGCTTGGGGACTGGAGCTGCAGTCCCAGCTTGGGGACTGGAGCTGCAGTCCCAGCTTGGGGACTGGAGCTGCAGTCCCGGCGTGGGGACTGGAGCTGCAGTCCCAGCTTGGGGACTGGAGCTGCAGTCCCAGCTTGGGGACTGGAGCTGCAGTCCCGGCGTGGGGACTGGAGCTGCAGTCCCGCTTGGGGACTGCAGACTGGAGCTGCAGTCCCTGGCTTGGGGACTGGAGCTGCAGTCCCAGCTTGGGGACTGGAGCTGCAGTCCCTGGCTTGGGGACTGGAGCTGCAGTCCCAGCTTGGGGACTGGAGCTGCAGTCCCAGCTTGGGGACTGGAGCTGCAGTCCCAGCTTGGGGACTGGAGCTGCAGTCCCGGCTCAGGGACTGGAGCTGCAGTCCCGGCTCGGGGACTGGAGCTGCAGTCCCAGCTTGGGGACTGGAGCTGCAGTCCCAGCTTGGGGACTGGAGCTGCAGTCCCAGCTTGGGGACTGGAGCTGCAGTCCCAGCTTGGGGACTGGAGCTGCAGTCCCAGCTTGGGGACTGGAGCTGCAGTCCCAGCTTGGGGACTGGAGCTGCAGTCCCAGCTTGGGGACTGGAGCTGCAGTCCCAGCTTGGGGACTGGAGCTGCAGTCCCAGCTTGGGGACTGGAGCTGCAGTCCCGGCTCAGGGACTGGAGCTGCAGTCCCGGCTCGGGGACTGGAGCTGCAGTCCCAGCTTGGGGACTGGAGCTGCAGTCCCAGCTTGGGGACTGGAGCTGCAGTCCCAGCTTGGGGACTGGAGCTGCAGTCCCAGCTTGGGGACTGGAGCTGCAGTCCCAGCTTGGGGACTGGAGCTGCAGTCCCAGCTTGGGGACTGGAGCTGCAGTCCCAGCTTGGGGACTGGAGCTGCAGTCCCAGCTTGGGGACTGGAGCTGCAGTCCCAGCTTGGGGACTGGAGCTGCAGTCCCAGCTTGGGGACTGGAGCTGCAGTCCCAGCTTGGGGACTGGAGCTGCAGTCCCGGCGTGGGGACTGGAGCTGCAGTCCCTGGCTTGGGGACTGGAGCTGCAGTCCCAGCTTGGGGACTGGAGCTGCAGTCTGCAGTCCCGGCTCGGGGACTGGAGCTGCAGTCCCAGCTTGGGGACTGGAGCTGCAGTCCCAGCTTGGGGACTGGAGCTGCAGTCCCAGCTTGGGGACTGGAGCTGCAGTCCCGGCGTGGAGACTGGAGCTGCAGTCCCGGCGTGGGGACTGGAGCTGCAGTCCCAGCTTGGGGACTGGAGCTGCAGTCCCAGCTTGGGGACTGGAGCTGCAGTCCCAGCTTGGGGACTGGAGCTGCAGTCCCAGCTTGGGGACTGGAGCTGCAGTCCCAGCTTGGGGACTGGAGCTGCAGTCCCAGCTTGGGGACTGGAGCTGCAGTCCCAGCTTGGGGACTGGAGCTGCAGTCCCAGCTTGGGGACTGGAGCTGCAGTCCCAGCTTGGGGACTGGAGCTGCAGTCCCGGCTTGGGGACTGGAGCTCCAGTCCCGGCGTGGGGACTGGAGCTGCAGTCCCAGCTTGGGGACTGGAGCTGCAGTCCCGGCGTGGGGACTGGAGCTGCAGTCCCTGGCTTGGGGACTGGAGCTGCAGTCCCGGCGTGGGGACTGGAGCTGCAGTACCGGCTTGGGGACTGGAGCTGCAGTCCCAGCTTGGGGACTGGAGCTGCAGTCCCAGCTTGGGGACTGGAGCTGCAGTCCCAGCTTGGGGACTGGAGCTGCAGTCCCAGCTTGGGGACTGGAGCTGCAGTCCCGGCGTGGGGACTGGAGCTGCAGTCCCAGCTTGGGGACTGGAGCTGCAGTCCCAGCTTGGGGACTGGAGCTGCAGTCCCGGCGTGGGGACTGGAGCTGCAGTCCCCGCTTGGGGACTGCAGACTGGAGCTGCAGTCCCTGGCTTGGGGACTGGAGCTGCAGTCCCAGCTTGGGGACTGGAGCTGCAGTCCCTGGCTTGGGGACTGGAGCTGCAGTCCCAGCTTGGGGACTGGAGCTGCAGTCCCAGCTTGGGGACTGGAGCTGCAGTCCCAGCTTGGGGACTGGAGCTGCAGTCCCAGCTTGGGGACTGGAGCTGCAGTCCCAGCTTGGGGACTGGAGCTGCAGTCCCAGCTTGGGGACTGGAGCTGCAGTCCCGGCTTGGGGACTGGAGCTCCAGTCCCGGCGTGGGGACTGGAGCTGCAGTCCCAGCTTGGGGACTGGAGCTGCAGTCCCGGCCCGGGGACTGGAGCTGCAGTCCCTGGCTTGGGGACTGGAGCTGCAGTCCCAGCTTGGGGACTGGAGCTGCAGTCCCAGCTTGGGGACTGGAGCTGCAGTCCCAGCTTGGGGACTGGAGCTGCAGTCCCAGCTTGGGGACTGGAGCTGCAGTCCCGGCGTGGGGACTGGAGCTGTAGTCCCGGCCTGGGGACTGGAGCTGCAGTCCCAGCTTGGGGACTGGAGCTGCAGTCCCGGCGTGGGGACTGGAGCTGCAGTCCCTGGCTTGGGGACTGGAGCTGCAGTCCCAGCTTGGGGACTGGAGCTGCAGTCCCGGCGTGGGGACTGGAGCTGCAGTCCCCGCTTGGGGACTGCAGACTGGAGCTGCAGTCCCTGGCTTGGGGACTGGAGCTGCAGTCCCAGCTTGGGGACTGGAGCTGCAGTCCCAGCTTGGGGACTGGAGCTGCAGTCCCAGCTTGGGGACTGGAGCTGCAGTCCCAGCTTGGGGACTGGAGCTGCAGTCCCAGCTTGGGGACTGGAGCTGCAGTCCCAGCTTGGGGACTGGAGCTGCAGTCCCAGCTTGGGGACTGGAGCTGCAGTCCCAGCTTGGGGACTGGAGCTGCAGTCCCGGCGTGGGGACTGGAGCTCCAGTCCCGGCGTGGGGACTGGAGCTGCAGTCCCAGCTTGGGGACTGGAGCTGCAGTCCCCGCTTGGGGACTGAAGCTGCAGTCCCCACTTGGGGACTGGAGCTGCAGTCCTGGCTTGGGGACTGGAGCTGCAGTCCCAGCTTGGGGACTGGAGCTGCAGTCCCGGCTTGGGGACTGGAGCTGCAGTCTCGGCGTGGGGACTGGAGCTGCAGTCCCAGCTTGGGGACTGGAGCTGCAGTCCCAGCTTGGGGACTGGAGCTGCAGTCCCGGCTTGGGGACTGGAGCTCCAGTCCTGGCGTGGGGACTGGAGCTGCAGTCTCCGCTTGGGGACTGGAGCTGCAGTCCCAGCTTGGGGACTGGAGCTGCAGTCCCAGCTTGGGGACTGGAGCTGCAGTCCCAGCTTGGGGACTGGAGCTGCAGTCCCGGCTTGGGGACTGGAGCTCCAGTCCCGGCGTGGGGACTGGAGCTGCAGTCCCAGCTTGGGGACTGGAGCTGCAGTCCCGGCGTGGGGACTGGAGCTGCAGTCCCTGGCTTGGGGACTGGAGCTGCAGTCCCGGCGTGGGGACTGGAGCTGCAGTACCGGCTTGGGGACTGGAGCTGCAGTCCCAGCTTGGGGACTGGAGCTGCAGTCCCAGCTTGGGGACTGGAGCTGCAGTCCCAGCTTGGGGACTGGAGCTGCAGTCCCAGCTTGGGGACTGGAGCTGCAGTCCCGGCGTGGGGACTGGAGCTGCAGTCCCAGCTTGGGGACTGGAGCTGCAGTCCCAGCTTGGGGACTGGAGCTGCAGTCCCGGCGTGGGGACTGGAGCTGCAGTCCCCGCTTGGGGACTGCAGACTGGAGCTGCAGTCCCTGGCTTGGGGACTGGAGCTGCAGTCCCAGCTTGGGGACTGGAGCTGCAGTCCCTGGCTTGGGGACTGGAGCTGCAGTCCCAGCTTGGGGACTGGAGCTGCAGTCCCAGCTTGGGGACTGGAGCTGCAGTCCCAGCTTGGGGACTGGAGCTGCAGTCCCAGCTTGGGGACTGGAGCTGCAGTCCCAGCTTGGGGACTGGAGCTGCAGTCCCAGCTTGGGGACTGGAGCTGCAGTCCCGGCTTGGGGACTGGAGCTCCAGTCCCGGCGTGGGGACTGGAGCTGCAGTCCCAGCTTGGGGACTGGAGCTGCAGTCCCGGCCCGGGGACTGGAGCTGCAGTCCCTGGCTTGGGGACTGGAGCTGCAGTCCCAGCTTGGGGACTGGAGCTGCAGTCCCAGCTTGGGGACTGGAGCTGCAGTCCCAGCTTGGGGACTGGAGCTGCAGTCCCAGCTTGGGGACTGGAGCTGCAGTCCCGGCGTGGGGACTGGAGCTGTAGTCCCGGCCTGGGGACTGGAGCTGCAGTCCCAGCTTGGGGACTGGAGCTGCAGTCCCGGCGTGGGGACTGGAGCTGCAGTCCCTGGCTTGGGGACTGGAGCTGCAGTCCCAGCTTGGGGACTGGAGCTGCAGTCCCGGCGTGGGGACTGGAGCTGCAGTCCCCGCTTGGGGACTGCAGACTGGAGCTGCAGTCCCTGGCTTGGGGACTGGAGCTGCAGTCCCAGCTTGGGGACTGGAGCTGCAGTCCCAGCTTGGGGACTGGAGCTGCAGTCCCAGCTTGGGGACTGGAGCTGCAGTCCCAGCTTGGGGACTGGAGCTGCAGTCCCAGCTTGGGGACTGGAGCTGCAGTCCCAGCTTGGGGACTGGAGCTGCAGTCCCAGCTTGGGGACTGGAGCTGCAGTCCCAGCTTGGGGACTGGAGCTGCAGTCCCGGCGTGGGGACTGGAGCTCCAGTCCCGGCGTGGGGACTGGAGCTGCAGTCCCAGCTTGGGGACTGGAGCTGCAGTCCCCGCTTGGGGACTGAAGCTGCAGTCCCCACTTGGGGACTGGAGCTGCAGTCCTGGCTTGGGGACTGGAGCTGCAGTCCCAGCTTGGGGACTGGAGCTGCAGTCCCAGCTTGGGGACTGGAGCTGCAGTCCCGGCTTGGGGACTGGAGCTCCAGTCCTGGCGTGGGGACTGGAGCTGCAGTCCCAGCTTGGGGACTGGAGCTGCAGTCCCAGCTTGGGGACTGGAGCTGCAGTCCCGGCTTGGGGACTGGAGCTGCAGTCTCGGCGTGGGGACTGGAGCTGCAGTCCCAGCTTGGGGACTGGAGCTGCAGTCCCAGCTTGGGGACTGGAGCTGCAGTCCCGGCTTGGGGACTGGAGCTCCAGTCCTGGCGTGGGGACTGGAGCTGCAGTCTCCGCTTGGGGACTGGAGCTGCAGTCCCAGCTTGGGGACTGGAGCTGCAGTCCCAGCTTGGGGACTGGAGCTGCAGTCCCAGCTTGGGGACTGGAGCTGCAGTCCCAGCTTGGGGACTGGAGCTGCAGTCCCGGCGTGGGGACTGGAGCTGCAGTCCCCGCTTGGGGACTGGAGCTCCAGTCCCGGCGTGGGGACTGGAGCTGCAGTCCCAGCTTGGGGACTGGAGCTGCAGTCCCAGCTTGGGGACTGGAGCTGCAGTCCCAGCTTGGGGACTGGAGCTGCAGTCCCAGCTTGGGGACTGGAGCTGCAGTCCCGGCTTGGGGACTGGAGCTCCAGTCCCTTCGTGGGGACTGGAGCTGCAGTCCCAGCTTGGGGACTGGAGCTGCAGTCCCAGCTTGGGGACTGGAGCTGCAGTCCCAGCTTGGGGACTGGAGCTGCAGTCCCAGCTTGGGGACTGGAGCTGCAGTCCCAGCTTGGGGACTGGAGCTGCAGTCCCAGCTTGGGGACTGGAGCTGCAGTCCTGGCAGTGCAGCGTATGAGCGGGCGGTGCAGCGTATGAGCGGGTGGTGCAGCGTACGAGCAGGCGGTGCAGCGTATGAGCGGGCGGTGCAGCGTATGAGCGGGCGGTGCAGCGTATGAGCGGGCGGTGCAGCGTATGAGCGGGCGGTGCAGCGTATGAGCGGGCGGTGCAGCGTATGAGCGGGCGGTGCAGCGTATGAGCGGGCGGTGCAGTGTATGAGCGGGCGGTGCAGCATATGAGCGGGCGGTGCCGTGTATGAGCAGGCGAAGCAGGGTATGAGCGGGCCTCCTCGTCTCAACATTTACTCCCCCCCTCCCTTCTCGCCTTCTCCAAGGATCCCAGTCGCCCTCAGACTCGTTACCTTCCTCCCTTCTCCCATCCACTCCTCTCATCTCTCCCATCCCCGCCACGCCCTCTTTTCCCCATCCGCATGCAGATTACCAGGGCAGCTGATCTCCAGGCCCTTCATCAAGCCGTGGGAAAGGACTTTCTCGTCCAAGCACCCTGCTACAGCCATGCAGTTCCGGGGTACGTTTTCCGTGCGACCGTTGAGCATTTGCACGGCAATGTATGTCCTGTTCCATGCTCCAGCCATGAGGTCTCAAAGTGCATGCCACGCCACATCATCTCATATGTATTCTCATCTCCTCGTCTTTGTAACCTCCTCACATCTTCCCATCTTTTGCTTGCCCATGCAGGAAGGACCTCACCGGGTCAATGTTTCAAATCCATAAGACGTGAGCCATTGCCTCATGCGCTCTCAGTTCTACCACTTCCCCCACGCATCAGCCAGACAACACTGTTAACCACCCACTTCTCATCAGCTCACTTTGCTTGCACACTCTCATAATTAGCCGCTCGTTGAATTCATGACAGGTGAGGCCATTTGCTAATTGAATTTTGTCTTTCACGCACCTATCCTCCCTCTCTTGTTCTGCATGCACCATTGAACCACCCACTCACCACATTCACTCGCTCCTGTTTGTCCGCTGACACCATCCCACCACCCACGCTTATAGCTTCTACACACACACACCAATTAGCCCGCGGCGGTGGCACGACTTCGACCAGGAGCTCACTGCTGCATGGCAGGTCAGGCATGCAGGCCTCATCACGTCAGGCATGCAGGCCGCATATGCATTAGCATCTATCTTTATGGTGTTCCGTTTAACAATTCTCAAAAGATCTCATGCGTGTGAGCGTCCACTTATGCCAGTCGGCCCTTCTCTCTGGAAGAATCGCCTTTTTCTCCTGTTGGTCCTTTCCCCTTATCATGCAACCTATCCGTCTACTCTTCAAGCCCAGACGCCCAAACCTTGCTTTGTCTGCTGCTTCTGCCGTTTCAGTTTGATCTGATTGCTGCATATTCGCAAGGATGTGTGTGTCTCCTATCTCCATCTTCTCCTCTGCCGCCATCCTCCCTTTCACCACCCCCTGTGTGCGGCAGTGCTTCAGGCACGGATGCCTCTGATGCAATCGTCCATCCATTCCTGCTTCCCCGTCCTCCCTCACACCAGGCGCTGTGTGTTGCAGTGCTGGACGCACACACAGAGGCAGCGGACCCGCATCGCTACCGCCAGAGGATTCAAGACGCCATCCTCCGCCTGGGATACTTCTGGTCAGTGGGGTACTTCTGGTCAGTGGCTGCTTATGCATGCATGGGATGCTCTCCATGCTCCTGGCTGAAGCACTTCTGGTCAGAAGGTTAAACTGTTACAAGTCCATGGCTGTTTATGCATGGTGGTATTTCAATGTGCAATCATGGCAGGGGTCATGCGAGCATTTGCCGTGCACAGTGATAAGCGGTACAGGTTCACTCATGTTTAAGATATGCATCTCTGTTCATGTACTATGGCTGCATCACCCTCATACACTTCACATCTGCGCCTCCCCACAACAGGTTCCAGCTCATGCTGCTGTCCCGCGAGTCCGCCATGGTAGGGCTAGTGGTTACTTTTGAGCCGACTAGAAAATCAACCCCATTGTTACTCGTCTCCCTCCCACCCTCCACTCCACCAGGTTCCAGCTGATGCCGTTGACTCGCGGGTCCGCCATGGTTGGGGTGGTCTCCATCCTCGGCCTCTCCATGGCTGCTGACATGCAGACCACTGTGCTCATCCCCCATGGGGTGCAGGTAGGCTAAGATGTTGTCTTGGAGGCGTGGTTGCACTTGGAGGCGTGGTTGCACTTGGATGTGTGGTTGCACGCACGTGGCACTGCTTCCAGCAAATCGTGCCTTGGAATTGGAACCAACCAGCCCAGTGAAAATCACATTCTTTGACTCTCGAGTTTTGAGTCACCTGACGGGCCTTTCTTTGGAGTTAGGATTAGTCATCATACGATTGATTGTGTGTTTTTCATTCAAACCTCCATGACTTCCCTTCCATTCAGGTGGACTGGGAGGCTTTACTCGTTTCTCGCTTCGAAGACTTCAATGCCTCTATCGCTCCATGGCTCTTCGCCTCCACTCAAAGCTCGCCATGGGATCTAGCTCTTATCGAAAGTGCCTTACCCACCACACACCACGTGATTGCGGCATTGAGCTATCATGTGAAGCGTGAAAGGTGACCAAGTTACGGTATGCTTGCCTTGCTTCACCATGTTCCTTGTTTTATTGTTTCTTAGTGTTTCAAATTCAGTGGATGAATCATTGCCGGTTTTGTGGTTGTGGGTTGTTTTTTTTATTCCCCCCCGCACGCACTTTGTTTGCTCTAATTTAGTTGATGCATGCACATCTGTACGTTTGCAAGTGTTGTCTTTAAGCAATGCCTACCTTCATATACCAGTATACCCAACAACAAAGGTGAATGTAGCAAATGGATGCCTATACGGTATGAGGAAGCTTGTAGCTTGGCGAACTGTCCGATCCCCGTTCCACCCAGAATATTCGCAGTAGTGCAGCCACCTTCCTCCCTCTCTCGCTTCACAGCAGCCAAACATAATTGGCGAGATGATGCGCGACGACGGGGTAACTGTAATCTCTGGTTTCGCGAGCTTTGTAGAACCGCGGCGCCGTCATGGTGGTACAGTACTATTTGTCACAACCCACATGAGTCCCCTCTTATCCCCTGCCCTCCCTCCTTTCCCCTCCTCTGGCCTGTGGTCCTACAGTATTTTTCCGGCGCTCGAGCACCATGCACATCCAGCGTTGCGGTCCGTCGTCGTGCCACGATGGATTCCTTCTAATCTAGAAGCACCATCCGCCAATCAAACAAGCCCCGAAGCGTGACCAATCGAGACCCCATCTTTACCACAAAGTCTCGTTCTGAAGGTTCACACTGAACGTTCACCGTGAAACGGTTCTTGAAAAATGAGGTCGCTTCATACTATTTATTCTCGCATCAAACCGTCACCTCATTCAACAGCCACAGCTTCGCAACCCTCGGTGAACCCCTCATTCCCGTCCAACGCGTCCCCTTCCTCCGAGCCTCTCTGAGCCATGGCGTTCAGGCCGCTTCTGGCCGTTGTGCTGCTTGCCCTAGCGGCGTGTGCGTGCGACGCGCAGTACCTCGGTCGGCGTGTCGGTAAGCATCCTTGCTCGCCTCCCCCGTCCCGTTTCCAAAGTGAACGCCTTTATCTTCCGACGCATCCTGTTTTTTTCTTTCTTTCTTGTTTTTCTTATGCTCTGATTGTGGCGCGTTTCAGGTAAAGTGGCGTCAGCGATGCGAGCCTCGCAGATCACGGGCAGCAGGGGCGACTATAACTCCACGGGCACTATCGCCCTAGCTCTTTTCAAGTAAGTCCCCGCGACTCGGACGCGTCATTTCTGACACGACCGACGGAGACCGTTATTATTTACTCCACAGGGTCCTCTCGCGCCGCTCGCCGCCTGTTCAGTTACCCTGCTTTTCGCGCCGCTCGCAATGCCAGTGCGCGGCATGGCTTCCCTGCCATTTCAAAAAGGTGGTTTTTGTCGTTAGTACTTGTTGCGTCCATGAATATCATCTTCTGAAAAATCCGCCCGCTGCCATCAGCAGTGCTACCTGCCATCCTCACTGCTCCTGCTAATGCGTCGCTCCCTCGGTCATTCCATCATGCAGGTATGGTGAGACCTACAACATTCGCTACTCCGTGCACGTCTGGCGGCTCGACCGCCCTGAAATTCCCAAGAAGGCGACCGTGCATTACGGCACGCGCTTCACCACCGGCCCTGTGCAGATTGAGTTCTCCGATGACAAATGGGTCAACATGACCAGCAACTACCAGCGCCCCAACCGCGCCAAGCTGTACGCCTACGTGATTGCAGGCGTGTGGCGCGACGTCGCGAAGATCAAGGCTGCCACGGGGAAGTCCCTCGAGGTGACAATGAAGGCGATTATTGCAGCGCCGAGGCAGTTCTACGGGCTTGTGACGGCGCCTTCCCACCCGGACGGCGCCATTCGCGCCCAGTTTCATCGCTCCCACTAGCAATTCGACTATGGCTTTAGTGGTTATGCAATTTTTCTATGCAAGAGGGGGACTGATCCATTGAGGGGGCAAGTTATGAGGAGAGTGAATGTGGGCTGTAGAAGATCGAGTGAGGTGATAATCGAGCTGAATTGTTTCTGTCCTGAGGCATCTAAATGATGCAAAGAGGTGTGTGTGAGTCCAAGAGCAGGTGCAGGTGATAGGTAGCTGTTGCGCCAATGGTGGTTTGTACTTTAATGTCAGATGGAAATAAAGCTTTTACCGGTACTAGGGAAGGGAACATGCTTTTTTGGGAGTAAGATTGATTGAGAAAGGTTGCTCTCTGTTTCTTGCAAGGCAACGTGCTTCATTTCAATTGGGTAATTACAACATTCTCGTCCAACTAAAACAACACATAGAGATCAATTAGGGGTGGGTGGGGGGGTGTTAAACTGTATTATGTTGGTAGGCTGTAGTGGGGTAGCCAATATGGGGTACAACTCCAACTAGGGTTTGCTACTTGTACCCAATTCTTCCATTCAATGCATCATTCTTGCCTAGTTCTTCTGAAATGGTATTCAGAGCAGGAGGTCCCTAGGACCTACCGACCGTTTTTTTTTAAGGGCCCACCACCGCTCGCATGCGGTTACCACGCTACCCCGTGCCCTAGCCTCGTAGCGCCCTCGTGCGCCCTCGTTAGCGCCCTCGTGCGCCCTCGTTAGTGCCCTCGTGCGCCCTCGTTAGTGCCCTCGCGCGCCCTCGTTAGCGCCCTCGTGCGCCTCTCGTTAGCGCCCTCGCGCGCCCTCGCTAGCGCCCTCGCGCGCCCTTGTTAGCGCCCTCGTGCGCCTCTCGTTAGCGCCCTCGCGCGCCCCTCGCAGCGTCGCCCGCCCGCCGAGCCGCCCGCTCGCAGCGTCGCCCGCCCGCCCGCTGCCCGCTTCGCAGCGTCGCCCGCCCGCCGTGCTGCCCGCTCGCAGCGTCGCCCGCCCGCCTCGCTGCCCGCTTGCAGCGTCGCCCGCCCGCCCGCTGCCCGCTTCGCAGCCCGCCCGCCGCGCTGCCCGCTCGCCGCGTCGCCCGCCCGCCCCGCTGCCCGCTTCGCAGCCCGCCCGCCGCACTTCCCGCCTGCAGCGCCGCCTGCCCGCCGCGCTGCCCGCTTCGTAGCCCGCCCCCCGCACTGCCCGCTCGCCGAGTCGCCCGCCCGCCGCGCTTCCCGCCGAGCTACCTACCTGCAGCGCTGCGGCAGCTTCCTTGCTCAGTCGCACTGTCACTATGGCTTCCATCCGCGTGCTGTCGTTCGATGCTGAGGGCCGCCCTGTGAAGTTCGCCACTTGGCTGGATGACCTGCAGCTGTTCCTTCTGAGCGATAGCAAGGAGCATGTGTCGCTCTATGATTACGCGTCTGGTGCTGCACCTGCCCCTCCTGCCACAGCTGAGCTTAGTGTTCGTTCCCACTGGCAGACTCGTGACGCAGCTGCTCGCCTAGCCATTCGCAGTCACCTGCCGCTAGCTGAGCTCGAGCATTTTGGCGACTGCAAATCCGCTAAGGCCCTGTACGATGCTGTCGTTGCTCGCTACTCCTCGCCTGCCACAGCCGAGCTTAGCCGCCTCATGCTGCCGTACCTGTTCCCTGAGCTGTCCACCTTTGCTACAGTCGCCGATCTTATCACCCACCTTCGCACTAGTGATGCTCGCCTGCGTGCTGCCCTTCCCACCGAGTTCTGCGCTAAGAACCCCCCTCCACTGTACTGGACACTCCACTTCATAGTCACCCGACTCCCTGACACCCTCAGCTCAGTTCGAGACCACTTCCTTGCTCGCTGTCCCACTGAGCTCACAGTCGCCCTCCTAGAGGAGCAGCTGCTAGCGGCCGAAAAGAGCATTGTAGCTGTCGGTGCTGCTCGTGGCGCTCCTCGCACCCCCATCTTTGAGGGGTGTTCTCCCTCTCCCCTCGCTCCCTCCTACGCTGCTGCTGCTGCTGTTGACTTCCTTGGTGCTGAGTCTGCTGGCGCTGCTTCTGCTCCTGGTGGGAGGCGCCGCACCGGCAAGGGCAAGGGGGGCAAGGGTGGCGGGGGTGGCGCTGGGGGGGGAGGAGGTGGGGGAGGTGGGGGGGGAGGCGGTGCTGGAGGGAGCGGTGGCGGGAGTGCTGGTGGGAGTGGGGTCGGCAGCGGAGGCGGGGGCGGCGGAGGGAGCGGTGGCGGTGGTGGCGGCGGCGGCGGTGGCGGCGGCGGCGGCGGTGGCGGCGGCGGCGGTGGCGGTCGGAGCGGAGGTAGTGGTGGTGGCGGAGGTCGGAGTGGAGGCACTGGCTCGGGCCAGAGCTCCCAGCAGCAGCAGCGTCCCCAGACGACCCAGCAGCTTCGTGAGTGGCTTGCTCAGCGTGGGACGTCGGGGGGCAATGGCCGCTGTTCCTATGTCATTCGCACAGGTGACCGCAAGGGACAGACGTGTGGGAGGTTCCACACCCCGTACCGCTGCTTCTCCCGCCTTGACGACGCTTGGCGTGAGGAGATGGGCGAGGATGTTGAGCGCCCCCGCTGGGCTGAGCTCATGAGGGCTGGTGTTGATATCTTTGCTCTTGACTATGATGCTATTATTGCTGCCATGTATGCATTGACTGTTAGTGCCGAGGGAGACTGTTACTTGTGTGTGCCGCCTGACCCAGGTATAGAGCCCGCTGCCCTGGGTACTAGTGAGTCTGCTCTCTCCGGTATGGTGCCCCCTGTACTTGCTCCCTCCAGTGCTGTCCCGGCTGTTTGCGAGTCTGCTCTCTCAGGTACAGCACCCACAGAGACTGCTCTCTCAGGTACCGCACCGGCTGAGGCCTGTCACACCTTCACCCTTGACTCAGGTGCTTCCCGCTGTTTCTTTCGTGACAGTACTGAGCTCACACCGCTTCCTGCACCGGTCCCAGTCTCCTTGGCTGACCCCTCTGGGGGCCCAGTCCTTGCCCAGTCCACCACTGTGCTCCCTTGTCCGGCGGTTCCGTCTGGCTCGTTGTCGGGTTTCCACCTCCCCTCGTTCTCGACGAACCTGGTGAGCAACGCTGTCATCCAGGATCAGTGGGTTGACACCTTTACCCCTGGAGGACAGCGTGTGGCGATCTGCACGTGCTCCAGGACCGGCCGTCACCTGGCTACGTTTACCCGTCGGCCGGGGTCGAGTCTCTACACACTGACCACTGCGTCTCCTCAGGTCGCTGCTGTCGGTCAGGTGTCCGCGTCAGGTCTGGTGGCCCACGCCTGTGAGTGTCGTTCCCTGTCACACCAGACTCTTCTCTGGCACCACCGCCTGGGTCACCCCTCCTTGCCACGCCTCCGTGGCATGCACCGTCACCGCCTTGTGTCTGGTCTTCCCAGGTCTCTCCCTCCCCTCCCTGCCTCGCCTGCGCCGCCTTGCCTTCCTTGCATCGAGGGGCGGCAGCGCGCCGCCCCTCACTCCTCCTCGTTCCCCCCGACAGAGGCTCCTCTGCAGACCCTCCACCTGGACGTGTGGGGCCCAGCCCGCGTTCGTGGCCAGGGCGGTGAGCGGTACTTTTTGCTGGTTGTCGACGACTACTCGCGTTACACCACGGTCTTCCCCTTGCGCACCAAGGGTGAGGTCCCTGCTGTTCTGATCCCTTGGATCCGCACAGTTCGTCTCCAGCTCCGCCGCCGTTTCCGGACGGATCTTCCTGTCCTGCGTCTGCACTCTGACAGAGGTGGTGAGTTTTCCTCCGATCTCTTGAGGACCTTCTGTCAGGCGGAGGGCATCGAGCAGACCTTCACGCTTCCGGACTCCCCACAGCAGAATGGGGTTGCTGAGCGCCGCATTGGCCTGGTCATGGAGGTCGCTCGTACCTCCTTGGTCCACGCGGCGGCTCCCCATTTTCTGTGGCCGTTTGCTGTCTGGTACGCCGCGCATCAGCTCAACCTCTGGCCCCGTGTCTCCTTGCCGGAGACCTCTCCCACACTGCGTTGGACGGGGGAGGTTGGCGATGCGTCGCGCTTCCGGGTGTGGGGTGCTCGTGCCCTTGTCCGCGATACGTCCGCGGACAAGCTCTCCTCCCGCACACTTCCCTGTGTCTTCCTTGGCTTTGTCCCTGACGCGCCGGGCTGGCAGTTTTACCACCCCACCTCGCGCCGGGTCTTCGCCTCTCAGGACGTCACCTTTGACGAGTCGGTCCCTTTTTACCGTCTCTTCCCCTACCGCACTGCCCCCCTCCCTCCCCCGCCGCTTTTCCTTGCTCCTGGTCCCCCTCCGGTAGACCCCCTTCCCCCTCAGGGTCCTGCTCCTTCAGGTGTCTCTCAGGTAGACCCTCCTCCCGTCGCTGAGCCTGTCGAGGTCACAGGTGACTCAGGTGCTGCTGCAGGTGGTGCTGCTGGGAGTGCTGAGCCTGGGGGTGCTGAGCCTGCGGGTGCTGGGCCTGGGAGTGCTGGGACTGCGGGTGCTGGAGCTGAGGGTACTGTGCCTGGGAGTTCGGCGCCTGGGGGTGCTGAGCCTGGGGGTGCTACGACTGGGGGTGCTGAGCCTGCGTGTACGGAGTCTGGGGGTGCTGAGCCTGGGGGTACTGCGCCTGAGGGTACTGGGCCTGGGGGTGCTGCTGCTGAGCCTACGGAGCCTGGGGTTGCTGCGTCTGGGGGTGCTCTTCCTGACGGTACTGGAGCTGCTGGAGCTGACGACACTGGAGCTGACGGTTCTGGACACGGTGGTCCTGCTGGTTCTGGAGGTGCTGGCGAGGGGAGGTCTGACGCTGCTGGGGCCTCTGGTGCTGACGTCGCCGACTCGGGGGGTGCTGCGGCGGAGGGTGCTGGTCCAGGTGCTTCTGGTGCTCCGGGTGCTGGAGGTGCTGGCGGAGCTCCGCCGTCGCGCCTGTTCTTCGCTCCTCCGTCGCCGTCGGCTTTGCCGCCGCCTGACACGGTGCTTCGCCAGGTTCTTTCCCTCCCGTCTTCCACTGGCCTTCCCCTTCAGCCTGGCTCCCCCCTCCCTGCTCCTGTGCCTTACACTGCACAGCCGGACTCGCTTACGGAGCGTCGTGAGCCTGCGTCTCGTCCTGCCTCGCCTGTTCGCGCTGCTCGCGCTGCTCGCACTGCGCGCACTGGTCCCACTGGTCGTCGTGTCGCGCGTCCGCGTCCTCCTCCTGTTCCTGGCACGCATATTATGGCCCTTCGTCCTTCCACTGGTCCACAGCGTGTCCCCCTACCGTCTCCTCCTGCGTCTTCTCTTCCTGACGTTCCCGACCCTGAGTCTGACAGTGTTCGTGCTGCCCACCCTACTGTTACGCGTCTTCTCGCCACTGTTGTCACTGACCCGTCGTTTGAGTCTGCTGCTGCGTCTGCCCTGGTCGCTGAGCTTGTCGACTTTGCTGCTGCCTGTCGTCTAGACTACGCCGCCAGTCTTGTTACTGAGTCTGAGTCTGTCTGTCCTCCGTCCGTCGGGGGTGAGTGTGCTCTTGGCACGGACGTCCTTGAGGACAGGCAGGAGGACTTTGACTCTCTTGCGGCTGCTGTACCTCATCTCGTGGCCTGGTTGCTTGCCCCTGAGGGAGACCCGGATGCACTAGACATCCCCACTCCGCGCTCTTACGCAGAGGCGATCTCGGGTCCCTACTCCTCTCAGTGGCAGACAGCCATGGACGCAGAGATGGCATCCTGGAAGTCCACAGGCACCTACGTCGACGAGGTTCCCCCTCCTGGGGCGAACATCGTCGATGGCATGTGGATTTTCAGGGTGAAGCGGCCGCCAGGTTCTCCACCTGTCTTCAAGGCTCGTTACGTTGCTAGAGGCTTCAGTCAGCGTCAGGGGGTTGACTTCTTCCAGACCTTCTCCCCCACCCCGAAGATGACCACTCTTCGGGTTCTGCTACACGTTGCTTCTCAGCGTGACTACGAGCTTCACTCTCTTGACTTCAGCACAGCGTTCCTGCAGGGCAGCCTGCACGAGGAGATCTGGCTGCGCCGCCCACCTGGCTTCACTGGGTCGTTTCCTCCTGGTACCCAGTGGAGCCTCCGCCGGCCAGTCTACGGTCTCCGCCAGGCGCCACGTGAGTGGCACGACACACTGAGGACTACACTTGCAGCTCTTGGGTTCGCGCCGTCTACTACTGACCCGTCACTGTTTCTACGCACAGACACGTCGCTACCGCCGTTCTACATTCTCGTGTACGTCGACGACTTGGTCTTTGCTACTGCTGACACTGAGGCACTCGCTCGTGTGAAGTCGGAGCTGCAGAAGAGACACACCTGCACTGACCTGGGTGAACTGCGTAGCTACCTTGGCTTGCAGATCACCCGGGACAGAGCTCGCCGCACCATCACCCTGACTCAGTCACACATGGTGCAGCAGGTCCTTCAGCGCTTCGGCTTCCAGTTCTCCTCACCACAGGCCACACCTCTGGCTACCAGCCACTCGCTCTCAGCTCCACCTTCGGACGAGTCCGTAGAGCCGAGTGGCCCGTACCCAGAGCTTGTAGGCTGCCTCATGTACCTGATGACTTGCACGCGACCTGACCTCGCGTACCCACTTAGCATCCTTGCTCGTTACGTTGCGCCTGGGAGACACAGGCGAGAGCACTGGGAGGCTGCTAAGAGGGTGCTGCGTTACTTGTGCAGTACATCAGGCATGGGGCTGGTGCTTGGAGGACGCGACAGAGTTGTCCTCACTGGTCACTCGGACGCTTCTTGGGTGGACGACCTGGCTACGCAGCGGTCGTCACAGGGTTACACCTTCAGCCTTGGCTCTGGTTCTGTCTCGTGGCGGTCCACCCGCTCTTCTTCTGTTCTCGGCTCTAGTTGTGAGGCTGAGATCTACGCCACAGCCATGGCTGCACAGGAGTTACGCTGGCTCACCTACCTGCTGACTGACTTGGGAGAGCGGCCTAGTTCTCCTCCAGTTCTGTACGGTGACAACAAGGCGGCCCTTGCCTTGTGTCAGGAGCACAGACTGGAGCACAGGACGAAGCACATTGCTCTTCGCTACTTTCTTGCTCGAGAGCTTCAGCAGCGCGGTCAGCTTCGGCTTGTGTACGTGGACTCGAAGGCCAATACTGCTGATATCTTCACCAAGGCGCTCCCGCCTAGTGATCATCAGCGGCACTGTACTTCTTTAGGCCTTGTGTCCACATTCCCTCATTTGCTTACTGCTTGACTTTCTTTGTACTGTACTTTATATATATATCTTGTTGCTTGCTTGCTAGGTTTTGATCACTGTGTTGCTTGTCTTGTACTATATCTAGCACTGCATGTGAACTGGCCTTGTGGCCTTTACTTGTGCTCGGAGTGTGGTGACGTTGTGATCCACCCTGGGCTTGCGTTGCTTTGCTGGACTGGTCTTGTGACCCTTTGTTCTCCCCCACTTTGCCTATGGGGGTGTGTTAAACTGTATTATGTTGGTAGGCTGTAGTGGGGTAGCCAATATGGGGTACAACCCCAACTAGGGTTTGCTACTTGTACCCAATTCTTCCATTCAATGCATCATTCTTGCCTAGTTCTTCTGAAAGGGGGAAGCGGAACTGTAAAGTTCCGAAATGAAGACGTGGGTGGAGGCCAAATGGCCTCCAACCCTCGTTATGTACTCGGAAATTTGCATTTGCAGTTGCCTTGCTTCACTACAGTCAGCTGCGCTTTCAAAATAATCATTTTTAGAAAGTGTTTCACACTTTCAAAAAAAATCATTTTCTGATTGCTGTCTACAAATTCACCAGGACATACGGCTGGTGGTGGCTTCCAGAATCTTCATCGCTAGTTTTTAGTACCAGTAGTAAGAAACAGCGAACTCTGTAAGCATGTTCTGGTTTGCTAACTCGACAGTGCAAGCTTGTGCAGGTACACGACGCAAGGTGTAGCTGTGGTTTCCAGTTTCGCAGTTTCAATCGCCAATTTCGCAACGCAGCTCGCAACTCCCAGTCGTGATGGTGCCCCTTTTTTTGGTCACCTCTTGGCGCCGCAAATCACAATGGCGGTCCGTTTACGTGGTTTTTCAAAAATTGGGGGCCCCTGCGGGGGAGCGCGGGTCATCATGCCGCCGCTCCGTCAACGACCAGAGTACAAAGATCCCCTTACGTCAGACGACAACTCATTCTCATGATTATTCGCCCCATTTACCTAAACACTCTGTTGTCCTGCTGCACCTCAACTTAAAGCCAGGGTCTCAAGTAAGCAAAGCAGCCATCAACTGCAAAGCAGTTGAAGATAGGTTACCTTGTTAGTGCAGGCGAATTTCTCTTTGGTTGGGTTGGAAACCTTCTCCCGTCAGTGCCTCAAAAGCAATTGCACAACAAGTTTTGAGTACGTGAGACTTTCGACGAGTCTGGGGCATTTTAGGTTTGGTTCCGAACCAAATTTACAAACCTAGGAGGTTCGGCTACACCTAGCGATTTGGATTCGTTTCGTACCCCTCGCTTCACCCCTCTTCAAACTTCACAACTCGCCAACCAATCACACACAAACTTGCACTGTCGACTGCAAAACACTTGTAGTACATAAGACCCTGGCTTTAACCATGGCTTCCAAGCCGTTTCTCGCCCTTGTTCTCGTCCTTTTGGCGTGCGCCTCTAGCGCTAGCGGGAAGTGGATCGGTACGCCCTCCGTTCTCGCCTCAGCATTTCCGCGAATGCCGCTGGCATCTTGCCGTGCGCCGCTTTATTTCTCTTCTTTCTTCTTCCAGCTGGTATTTCTCGTCACGAGTCGTTCGTCTTGCTCCGGATGCTGATTGCTCGTTGCAGGTCGCGTGGCGACGTCGTTGAATGGTGCGCAAGTCGTGGGCACCACGGGTGATTTGAAGTCGGCGGGCAACATGGCTCTGGGGCTTTTCAAGTGAGTGCTTCTATCCCGCCCTCGCCGCCATCGCCTCGCATCGCTCGCTCGTACCGTCGCATTGGCCACCGATTGGCCGCCGTCGCATTGGCTACCGTCGCATTAGCCGTCGTCGCATTGACCACTAACAAACGCTCCTCTGTCGCGGCGCGCCGCGCCGCGGCTACGCAGATACGGAACGACGTACTGGGTGCGCTACTCCGTGGGAGTCACGCAGGCCGGCAATTTCGCCTTCCCCACCAAGGCCACCATCAACGCCGGCAAATACGGCGCCAACGGCGCTGTGCAGTACGAATTCCCCACCAACTGGCAGAACCGAACGGTCACCCCGCAGCCCCCGACGCGCCGCGTCAAGATCTACATTTATGTGCTGGAAGGGTTGCTGAAAAACGCGGAGAGCATCACCACGGCTTCGGGGAAGACGCTGAATGTTCTCGTGATGGATATTCTCAAAGCGCCGCGCAGCTACTACGGGCTCGTCACGTCTCCGTCGTACCCTAACGGCGCCATTCGCGGGCAGCTCTATAAGAGCTGAGCGTGTTGGTGTTTTTGTGACCGCAAAGGATGTGCTTGCAGTGTCTGTTGGTGTTGTAGCAAGTCGGCCAGTAGGGGGTTGTAGCATTGTGTGTGCGATGCAGTAGGATGAGCTGTCGTTGCGCCTGTGACATGACCACACCCGTGGCGTCAGCTTCAGCGTGCTTGTAGAGTATCCTAATAATGCAATAAGCGTGCCTTTGTCGGTGCTTTGGTGTATTCAGGCGCAATGGGTGATGGTTGTGGCAGTAGCTGGCAGCCTGGCACTCAAGAGTGAGCACTGAGCAGGATTGCATTTGCATGTGTCCTTTCCCCATCAGCAGAAGCTATTACGGTACGGTAGCAGATATTTGCTGATTAGGTGGTCTGCTGTTTTGCTGGATGTGGAATAGCGCGTTTGTTTTGAAACTCGAAATTCTGTGCTTCTGTGCCGTGTTCCCAGATGCACATTACATGTATTCACGTTAGTGGATGTATGAATGCAAGTGTTTCTTTTTGTTCACTCAATGGAAGGTGTAGCTCCTTACCACACTTCCCAGCCACATAATTGTACGTATCAGCTGCGAGGAAACCTTTTGAAGCGGATTTTTGAGTCCACACCACACCGCCGAGCAAACCGCAAAACAGTGCAGTGCTCCCCGCCTCCCTCTCCTGCAAACCCGAACTCATTGACGAGACGGTGGGGAGTAACAAGGATTCGTGCTTTCGCGAACTAGGGTCTCAGCCATCGTGCGGTCCTTTCCAATCCATGGTGGTACTATTTGACCTGTGGTCTTTTTTTTTTCGGCGCTGGGGCGCCACGAACATTCAGCCTGCGGTCCGTCGTCGTGCCACGATGGATCCCTTCTTATCAACAAGCATCATCCGCCAATCAAACAAGCTCCCCAAGCGTGACTGCTTGATACCACCTCGCCACCACACGTCTCATCCTGAATGCTCACCCAGAAAGTTCACCCTGAAGGTTCATCGTGGAATGAGGCCGCTCGTATATAAACTCGCGTCAGACCGTCTCCTCATTCAACAGCCACAGCCTCGCAAGCCTCCTTGAACCTCCAGGGACGCTTCTTGCTCAGGCATCATTTCTCGTTTCCATACTTCCATATTCCGGTTCGGCATCTCAGCGATGGCCTTCAAGCCGCTTCTCGCCCTCGTGCTTCTCGCACTTGCGGCGTGCGCCTGCACTGCTGCCGAACCTATTGGCCGGAGAATCGGTAAGCACTCCTTTCTCGCCTCAACGTTTCCTCAAATGCCGCTGGCATGAAATCTTGCCGTACGATTCTTCTCTCGTTCTCCTTCCTTGAGCTGATATCTGTCGTCGTGAGTCGCTCGCTTTGGCCCGCCGGGCTTGCTTTGTCGCAGCGCGCGTGGTGACGAAGATGAATGGCGTACGGGTCGTGCCCCGCAGAACGGGCGACACCAAGTCGAGGGGCGATTTCGCTCTCGCGTTTTTTAGGTGAGTACTCTATCGTGCCCTCAGGGACATTCGCCACCGTCGCATTCCATTTCGAGTCGACCAATTCAACGCTCCTCTTTCGCGCGGCGCAGGCACGAAGACACGTTCAACGTGCGTTACCGCGTGGTCGTCTCGCAGCGCGGCAAGGCCGCGTTCCCCACCCTGGTCACCGTGAACGCCGGCAGATACGGCATCAACGGCGCGGTTCACATCGAGTTCTCGACCGCATGGCACAACATAACGGTAAACCCGCAGCCCCTGCGCGGCACGAAGGTCTACGCCTACTTACTCGAAGGGGAGTGGAGGAACGCGTCTGGCATCACCGTGGCGTCGGGCAACACTCTGGAGAAGGAGATTAGGGTTATTTTCAAGAGGCCGAGCGCTTACTACGCGCTCGTCACGTCCCCGTCGCACCCCAACGGCGCCATTCGCGGACAGCTCTATTTTGGCTGAGAGTGCTCGTTGCGGCAAAGAACGTACGAGTCGCGGTTTGGTTGCTGGTTTCCGCCGTGGCATGCAATGGTGTTCGTTGGAGGGTTAGTTGGGGTGTTAGCATTGTGCATGCAGTTGGAGGAGGTGCCAGCATTGTTGTGCGCCTCTGGACTGGACTGGAATCTGTGTCTGCTCGAGTGCTTGCTCGCTTGCAGTGTTTCTAGCCTTGCAATTTGTTTTAGTGGGGCGGTTGTGGTTGTGTAATGAGGTAGATGTGTAAATCCCTTTGGTGAAAGTGAAAGCGTGCAATTCTTGAATGGACTAGCGTAGTTAGATCTGCGAAGTGTCCCACCCAATGACCACAGTTCGCACTCTGGGAAAAATATGATAGCCTAATGTGTCTGCCACACTTGTGTTGTGTTGTGGTTTGTGATGTGCGCGGCTGTGGGTGGTGAGGTGGTGTGCTGTGGGTGGTGAGGTTGTGTGCTGTGGGTGGTGAGGTTGTGTGCTGTGGGTGGTGAGGTTGTGTGCTGTGGGTGGTGAGGTTGTGTGCTGTGGGTGGTGAGGTTGTGTGCTGTGGGTGGTGAGGTTGTGTGCTGTGGGTGGTGAGGTTGTGTGCTGTGGGTGGTGAGGTTGTGTGCTGTGGGTGGTGAGGTTGTGTGCTGTGGGTGGTGAGGTGGTGTGCTGTGGGTGGTGAGGTTGTGTGCTGTGGGTGGTGAGGTTGTGTGCTGTGTGGGATGGATGCGTGGCTTGGCTTCTCCCACTGTTAGGAAATGGGTGGTTGGTAGTGTGTGATTTCATGAGTTGGATGTGTGGGTGGGTGTCGATTTTCAAGGAGAGTACCACCGTATGATGCACAGGTGCATGTGAGTGGCCTTTCTGCCCCTCCATTCTCATTTCAACCTGACCTGACACTGGCTTGACTTCATTCACAATACATGAGCATCATGCACTATCAGTATCCCTCACCCTCCTCCCACTAGCATCACTCAACGCAGCTATCACGTGCCGCATCGTGGGGAGCGTGTCTCGCACACTAGGCAGGTGGAACGGTGATCGCTGTGTCCTCTCAAACAGCCATGGATTCAAACACTCTTGAACTCATCAAAGCTAGTCGCTAATAGCCCTTCCCAATCCACCTGCCGTGGTCCGGTCAGAGGTGGAGTGGGGTGAAGTGGGATAGGATGAGTCTGTCAGAATGTGTTGTTTGTCTAGCCTGCAGTGGGGTACTCTATAGCGAGTACAGCCCAAATTAGGGTTTGCTATATGTACTCAACTGCCTGCTAGTGAAAACCCCTCTTTCCTGTTTCTCATTCCTGCCTAGACTTTTGACACAGTCAGCCACAGGTTTACATGCAGAAGGGGAGAGGTGAGTAATGAAGGCTGTTTCTAGCAGCATTCGTGCAAAAATGCCATCTCAAACAAACAGCGAAAATAGGAGACTAGGAGCGGAAGCAAGGAGGTGGTACGAGCAACACCAGACAGCTCTCACCAGGAGGTCTTGAGGAACGTGCGAGGTGGTTTCATGTAGACAGCCACGAAGAGGCCGAGGGTGGAGACGAGATGAAGGAACAAGGTGGCAACAACGGCACCAGACGGGACTCACCAGGATGTCCCAAGGAACGTGCGTTGTGGTTTCCATGTCAGCAGCCATTGATAGGCCGAGGATGGACATTAGACCCACCATGGCTGACCCACGAGACAGCGGCATGAGCTGGAACCTGCGCGGCACAAAGAGGGGTGAGTGGACGGGGTCGAGGATGCACAAGAACAACGGGAGGCATGCCAGCAGCCAGTGAGAGGCCGAGGATGGAAACAAGCCCCACCATGGCTGACCCGCGAGTCGGCGACATCAGCTGGAACCTACGGGTCACAAAAGCCATGATGTGATCCTGGATGCGCTGCTGATATCCATGTGGCGGGCAGCAGGCGGAACCACCAGTAATATGCAATGGCGATGATGTGATCCTGGATGCACTGGCGGTACGTGTGCGGGTGGGCAATCTAATTTTGGATGCGTTAGTGACATTTTTAGAGGTGGGTGGCAACACCCACCAATAGTAAGCGATTGCGATGACCTGATCCTGGATGCGCTGGCGGTACGTGTGTGGTGACGTGGCCTGGTGCGGTGGTCCAACGCTGCTTCCATGTATCAAATGCCATGCTGCTGTGAGCTCCGAATCAAATGCATTCCACCGCCCCGTGTCGATGGGGGTCACCGTGTCAAAGTCCACTGCTAAGGGACTGGGAGGAGGGAGGGTGATAAGGGGGGTGTGGTGAATTGGTAAAGGAGGGAATGGAAGGGCATGGTCTAGTGCGGCTTCCATGTATCCCTGCCATGCCGCTGCGAGCTCTGAGTCAAACGCGTTCCACCGCCCCGAGTCAACCGTGGTGAACACTGCCAACGGGCTAGGCCGGGGAATGGGGGAATGAGGGAGCGGGGGAGAGTGGGGAGGAAAAGGTGGGGCGTGTGATGTGAATGGGAGACGAAAGAGGGGAAATACGGGTTAGAGAAGCAAGGATGAGGAGTGAGCGGGTGGTGTGGGGCGTGATGTGTGTGTGCAAAGGGGAGGATTCGAGAGTGCATTGGCATTCATGGACATAAATTTGATTATGTATGCATATGTGTGCATGCGTGCATGCATGTACGTGCGCATGTGTGTGACAGAGGCAACAGACTCACCGTTTCCGCAATCTAAACTCGGTGCCACCAAGATCCTTTCTGCAGAGGGAAGTGGGCGGGGAGGGGGATTCACAATGCGGACTCAGAAGCAGCACAGGTGTAGGGAGCAGGAAGAAGAGTCAACAGGCAAGGAGGAGTCATGAGGCAAGAAAGGGCTGAAATGTGATGGAGGGTATGATTCGTCAGGGCTCTAAGGGCGAACCAGGTGACACATTTCAAGGGCGTGAGGTAGCGCTATGAGGCGTAACATAGCACGGCAGGCATACTAACCCTGGGAATGCCCGGCTGCAGCACGGCAGGCATACTAACCCTGGGAATACCCGGCTGTAGCACGGCAGGCATACTAACCCTGGGAATCCCTGGCTGTAGCACGGCAGGCGCGCGTAGAAGTCCCGGCCAATCACGTTGAAGATCCCCTCGTGATCCTCCGCTGCCTCCAGCTGTTGGAATGTTCAGAGAACGTTAGGGAGCATTGGTGGTAGCACTTTAGTCCCACTGTTACACCAATCACACTAAACAACTCACCATGGCCCTCATGAGGAGATGGGGAGTATAGAGGCATGGAAAGCATTGGGGCATGGGGAACATGGGGTACATGGGGAACATGAGGTACATGGGGTACATGGGGTACATGGGGGCATGGGGTACATGGGGTGGGGGCATGGGGAACATGGGGTACATGGGGGCATGGGGTACATGGGGTACATGGGGTACATGGGGGCATGGGGTACATGGGTTACATGGGGTACATGGGGGCATGGGGTACATGGGGGCATGGGGTACATGGGGGCATGGGGTACATGGGGGCATGGGGTACATGGGGGCATGGGGTACGTGGGGAACATGGGGGCATGGCAGGCATGGGAAAGGGTGGTGTGGTTGAGCTGAGAGCACACACCTGGGCGCCGAAGGAGGAGCGAGGCGCGTCAAAGGGCTGGTGGGTGTTGGCGTCAAACGCCCTCTCATAGTGCAGCAGGCCCGTATGCGTCATCTCAACATCTCCATGGCCTTTTGAGAATTCTCAAAAGTGATTTCACACCAGCGCTGTGTGTGTTTCAGTTGACTCAAAACTCACTTGGGATATACGGCGAGGTAGCGAGCAGTGACCATGACCCAGGTGAAGATGGGTGTGTCGGTGCGATACAGCATGTCAGCCGGCCATCTCTGCCCCTTGGCGAACGCCTTCCATGCGATGGGCTCCTGGGCCTCTGACACCTGCCTCCACGCCACCAGCACTCGGAACACATGCCGCTAGCTCGTCACCAGGTCAGACCGGTCCAACAGACTCCGCCCACCCCCGCTGGTGCTTCTGCCGCTGCTGCCGCCGCCGCTGCCACCGCTGTTGCCACCGCTGCTGCCGCCGCTGCCGCTGCTGCTGCTGCTGCTTTGTCGGCTGCGGCCCGTGCGCTGCCCGCCTTGCCTGTCCAGAAGCGCTTGCTCCAGCTGCCCGCCGTGCCTCTGCTGCAGCGCCTGCTCCAGCTGCTGCTGCCAATGCTCATCCGCCCTATCCGGCCCGTGGGTGCCAAAGAGCCGAGGGGCGATGCGCATCTGATCCGCTATCAGCAGCAGCGTGCGGCGCACCTGCTGCATCACGTCCATTGATGCCAGCCCTGCAATGCGCAGCTGGGGGGTGGGAAGTGGTATGAAATGGTTGGGGGGAATGATTGGGACGTGAGGAAGAATGGGTGGGAGAGGGCGCTCCCATGTGCCTCTCACCTGCTGCGTCACGTCCAGTGCTGCCAGCCCTGCCATGCGCAGCTGAGGGGTGGGAGGGAGGAGGAAAAAGGCAGGGGGTGGGGAAAGGAGAGAATGGAGTTGGAGGTGAGTGGGCACAGGGGAAACAAGGTGAGCATGTAGCGCTGCAAGCAAGCCTTGCATGCCCAAGGGTTGCCACATAGGTGTGCTGTGCTAGAGTCGACTCAAGAATCTTTCGAGTCGACTCAAGACACACGTGACAACCAGTATCATACCGCCTGTGCAATGCCATGCCACGCCACGCCGCAACATGTCATGCCATGCCATGCCACACCAAGCCACCATTTCAAGCGCACCTGCTGGGTGTTATGCAGCATGCCATCGATGTCGTAGTGCGTGCGAGCACCAATCACGTCCGCCGCTTCAGCTGCACTGCCGTCCAGGACACGCGCGGCAGGTGCTGCAACGTGGCAGTTTGCAATTGGTCCTCGGGGATCTCCAGTGGGACGAAGCCCGGCAGATCCTCTTTCCGGCCCCATGTGGCCCACTTGCCCTGGCGCCCATGCGTGGAGAAGAGGGGGGAGAGGGAGGTGGAGAAGGGATGAGGGGAGAGGGAAACAACGAGAGGTGGGGAGGAGAGGGGAAGAGCAGGGAGGAGTGGGGGGAAGTAAGGGGGTTGGGCTATTGCCATGAAGTCGGAAACCGTTACGCTTGACAAGCAGAGCAAAGGGAAACACTTGCCCGTAAAGCTTGACAGAAGGGCAAGCCTTCCATTCCACCACCCCCATCCCGCGTCCCTGATGCCTCGCCCAACCTTCTCCCCTCTCCCACCCTCTTCCCCCCTCTCCCTCCCGCCCTCTTTCTCTCCCACACTCTTGCCCCCTCTCCCTCTCACCCCAACCGCTCACCCGCCACTCCTCGTCAAGGTCATCGTCAATACGGAACAATGTTTGAGTCCACTAGAACATACCCCCCCCCCCTCCCCTTCCCCCCCAACTCCCTCACTCTCCCTCCCCCCCTTTCCCTTGTCTCACCCGCCACTCCTCGTCAAGGTCATCGTCAATCCAGAAAGCAGAGAAGGGCTGGTCGAGGCGCGACACCGTGTAGGCCAGCAGGTGGCGCTGGAAGAAGGTTGTGTGGCGGTAGGACGTCTGCTCGTTCGGTTGAATGGGAGATGACAGGAACTCATTGTATTGACGCATCTGGTGGGGTGAGGGTGAGGGAGGGAGGGGAGACGAGATGGCACGGCGTGTTGTGTACATGGCATGGTGCGGCGAGCAGGTGGCACTGGAAGAAGGTTCTCTCGCGGTAGGAGGTCTGCTCGTTGGGTAGGACACGTGAGGAGAGCAGTCCGTCGTACAGACGCATCTGATGGGTAAGGGAGGGAGGGAGCCATCTGGTGGGTCAGGGGGGGGGGGAGTGGAGCATGTAGCAGATGTGGGTGCATGGCATGGTGCGGCCAGCAGGTGGACGCCTACTTGCCAGGCTGGACGGGTGAGGAGAGCAGCTCGACGTACAGGCGCATCTGATGGGGTGCGGTGGGGCCAGGGAGGGTAGTCGAGCAAGTGGCGGACGTTGAGTGCATGGCATGTCGTGGTATGGTATGGTAACACATGGCAGGGCATGGCGTGGCGTAACATTGCTGCATGTGGGGGAGAGGGACGGGGGGCTCACAGCAGCAGCATGGTCCCCCAGCACGTGCAGGCTGGAGGACTTAGTGTGCCATAATCTCCAGGTCGCCCGGTCAGGGAGGCATGCACGTGTATGCAGGTGAGAGTTGGCATGGGCATGGTATGTGCGAGGGAGGGAGGGGCAACACGAATGGCCTACCGCAGCAGCATGTTCTCCCAGCACGTGCAGGCTGGACGCCTTGGCATTCATGATCTCCAGGTCGCCTGGGAATGCTTTCAGCCCCGCGTCTGCCATGCAAATCACTCCCCTGGCGCGGGAACGAGGAGACAAGAAGAGACAAGGTGCGGAAGAGAGGAGAGCAGTTTAGGGGGCAGAAGTCGAGACGTGCAGACTGGAGGCCTGTACGTGCATGCAGGATTTCGAGCTCGCCTGGGAACGCCTTGAGCCCCGCGTCTGCCATGGGTATCACTCCCCTGGCGCGGGAACGGGGCAAAGGGACGGAGGGGCGGAAGGGTGAGTGGTGGGTGGTGAGTGGTGAGTGCTCCAGGTCGCCTGGGAACGCCTTGAGCCCCGCGTCTACCATGGGAATCACTCCCCTTGCGCGGGATCGAAGAGAAGAGAAGAGACAAGGTGCGGGGGAGGGGAGGAGAGCAGTTTAGGGGATAGAAGTCGAGACGAGGCAAGGTTTGGGGAGGAGAGGGAGAGGGAGGGAGAACATAGAGAGCAGTTTGAGGTTGGGAGGAATTTGAGATGAGCCAATGAGAGAGGAGGGATGGAGGGGCGGAGGGGTGGGTGGTGGGTGGTGGGTGGTGGGTGGTGGGGTGGTCGTTGCTCACCAGTGATCTCCCAGCAGCCGCTTCTGCAGCACGAGGTTGTGATGTGTCTCTAGTATCCTGCCAGTCAGGGAAGTGGATTAGTAGTGAGAAAGATCAAGAGTGAGTAAGCCAGATTAAGCGAGTGAAAATAGAGGGAGGGCGAGCATGTGCAAGGGAGGGAAGGTAGGAAGCACAAGAATGGACTAAGCGAAGCCAGAGACAAACAGACTCTGCAAGAGAGGGTCCGGGAAGGATGGCAGAGAGGCAGCGAGGCGGGGAGGCAGCAAGGGAGGGCGTGCGGATCAGATCAGCGCAGAGAAGCAAAGAGCAAAGAAGAGTAGAGAAGAGTACGAACTGTCCCAGCTCGAGTGATAGCAGCAGGTGCCTCTCAGCCTCATGGGTCTCCCCCAGCAGGCGGTGCAGGCGCCCCTTCTCCTTGCGCATGTCTGCATCCCCTGGCAGGAGCTCCACTTCCCGAGCCAGGTACGGCAGTGCTGGTCGGAACTGGTTCGACCGCACCAATGCAATTCCCTGGGAGGGGGGGAGAGGGGCAAGGGGGGGGGGGGGGGGGGGGGGGGGGGGGGGGGGGGGGGGGGGGGGGAGAAGGCTCATTAAGCCGCCGTCGCCAGGTACGGCTGTGCCGGTCGGAACTGGTTCGAGCACACGAATGCCATACCCTGGGGGAGGAAAGGGAAACGGAGTATAAGGGGGAAAAGTTGGGAAAGAGGGGGAAGAGGGGGAGAGTGGGGAGGAGGGGAAAGTGGAGAGTAGGGAGTGGGGGGAGGGGAGGAGAGGAAAGGGGAGGCAGTAGGAGGGCAGCTGGGAGAAGCGGTTCTGTGAGGCACAGGAGGAGAAGGCGCGGGTGTAGCGGAACAATGCCTGGAGTGGAATGACCTGGCAGTCCACCTGGCAGTCCACCTGGGCTGCGATGGGCGGAGCTGGGCAGAGCTGCTTGTCTCGGAGTCTCACCACGGCTCGGTTGAGGTCGGCGTCATTCGACAGCATGTGCAGCGCGGGCAGCAGGTCTTTGAGGGCGTCCTTGAAGCGGTAGCAGCTGAACGCGCTCAGCCCTGCGATATGGGAGGGGGTAGGGGGAGAGGGGAAGGGTGGAGGGGGGGAGGGGGAAGGAGTTGCGGGGGAAAAGGGGAGGAGGAATGGGGGGCAGCAGGTCTTTGAGGGCACCTTAAAGCGATACAAGTTGAACGCGCTCAGCCCTGCAATACAAGGGGAGAGGAAGAGGGGGAAAGGAAAAGGGGGAAGGGGAGGAGGAAAAAACGGGGGGGAGGGAAGGGGAGGGGGAAAAACGGAGGGCAGGAAGGGGGTGGAGGGGGGTGGCACACACACTCCACCCAAGCACCGTGCCTCCCCTCTCCCTGTCGCTCCAATCCACGCACCTCGTCTCGTCCTTTGAGCGCCTCGGCATCGCCAGGCAGCAGCTCTAGCGCACGACTGAATGCCTCGTGTGCTCTCTTGTGCTGCCTAATAAGTCGACTCATAACTCACCCCATGCTCCGTCCCTCCCCTCTCCCCTCTCCCCACTCGCCACGCACCTCTTCGTTTGAGCGCCTCTGCATCACCAGGCAGCAGCTCCAGTGCGCGACTGAATGCCTCGAACGCCCTCTAGTGATACCCTTGTCAGAGGTCCACTGGTGATCCCTGATTGATCCTAGGGAAGGGTTACAGGCATGGCGGCCTGGGGGGTTATGGGCGCACTCACCCGCTACACAAACAAGCCATTTTATCCCAGTGGTTAGTGGCTGGGATTCTGACATGGTATCAGAGCGAAGGTCTCAGGTTCGAATCCCGGTGTGTGCACCTCGGGCATCCCAATGCGGGGGGGTGTCAGAGGTCCACTGGTGATCCCCGATTGATCCTAGGGAAGGGTTACAGGCATGGCGGCCTGGGGGGTTATGGGTGCACTCACCCGCTACACAAACAAGTCCTTTTATCCCAGTGGTTAGTGGCTGGGATTCTGACAACCCTATGAGTTGACTCATAACTCATCCTGTGGTCCGTGCCTCCCCTCTCCCCTCTCCCCATCCCACGCACCTCGCTGCTTGAGCGCCTCTGCATCGCCCGGCAGCAGCTCTAATGCACGGCTGAACGCCTCGTGCGCCCTCTTTTGCTGCCCCAGCACCTCCCACTCGGCCCCCACCTCCATCCACAACTCTGTGCTGTTGGGGTTGGCGCTCACTGCCTGTGGGGGAGGAAGGGTGCAGGAAATAAAGCTTCTTGAGAATTCATTGAGCAACAGCTTGCTCGTAGAAGAGTGAGATTGCGTGTGTGTGACTGGTGTTGGCATGTTGCAGAGGCTAGAGTAAGAAAACTGGCTGGCTGGCAGGCATGATATAGGGATGGCAATGAGAATGCGCTTTCTTCCAGTACCTATGAGTGTTGTGTCTTGTGCACACCTATCTGTACCTATACATTGGAAACCAATTGAGCTCAAAACCCAGTGTCTTGGGGAGGCAAGACGCCACCAGCTTTGCCTCCCAACCTTGGAAATCCTGTACTATATTCATACATAAGCATGGCTTTGTTTTGCAGTTGTGTATATTGCAGCGTAAGCTTGCGCGGGTGCGCATTATAAGGTGTAGTCGTGGTTTTTGGTTCTCCGAGCCGCGATTCGTTGTGAATGGAGATGGTTGGAATGGTGGTGCCCCATTTTTCTGCTCTTGTGATTGGTCACCGGTCTCGCGCGCCGCAAAAACCACCTTGGCGGTTCGTTGAGTGGAAGCATTTGGATATTGGGGCTAGGTGTGGTGTGGTGTGGAGTGAGGGGGGCTGTTTCCAAGACTCCCCGCTACATAATAGGCTGTAAACATCCTCAGGTCATAAATTTTCTTGGACAACCCAGATTCATATTTTTCTTCCTACCGTTTACCATACCGACACTGCTGACTGCCTCCGCCATGGCCTTCAAGCCTTTTCTCACCCTTGTGCTTCTCGTCCTTTCGGCGTGCGCCCCTAGCGCCAGCGGCAAGTGGACCGGTACGTCGTCCTTCCTCGCCTCAACATTTCCCGCGAATGCCGCCGGGATTTTGCCGTGCGCCGCTTTATTTCCTTCTTTCTTCTTCCAGCCGGTATTTCTCGTCACGAGTCGTTCGTCTTGCTCCGGATGTTGATTTCTCGTCGCAGGTCGCGTGGCGACGTCGATGAATGGCGCGCAAGTCGTGGGCACCACGGGCGATTTAAAGTTGGCAGGCAACATGGCTCTGGGGCTTTTTAAGTGAGTGCTTCTATCTCCCCTTCGCCGCCATCGCTTCCTTGCATCGCTCGCTCGTACCGGCGTCGCATTGGCCACCGTTGCATTGGCTACCGTCGCATTGGCTACCGTCGCATTGGCTACCGTCGCATTGGCTACCGTCGCATTGGCTACCGTCGCATTGGCTACCGTCGCATTGACTACCGTCGCCTTGGCCGTCGTCGCATTGACGGTTTCGCACTGGCCGTCGTCGCATTGACCGCTGTCGCACTGGCCGTCGACGCATTGACCGCTGTCGCACTGGCCGTCGTCGCATTGACCGCTGTCGCACTGGCCGTCGTCGCATTGACCTCTGTCGCACTAGCCGTCGTCGCATTGACCGCTGTCGCACTGGCCGTCGTCGCATCGACCACTAACAAACGCTCCTCTGTCACAGCGCGCCGCGGCTACGCAGGTACGGAAAGACGTACTGGGTGCGCTACTCCGTGGGCGTCACGCAGGCCGACAATTCCGCCTTCCCCACCAAGGCCACCATCAACGCCGGCAAATACGGCGTCAACGGCGCTGTGCAGTACGAGTTTCCTACCAACTGGCTGAACCGAACCGTCACCCCGCAGAAGCGCCGCGTCAAGGTCTACAATTTTGTGCTGGAAGGGTTGTTGAAAAACGCGGAGAGCATCACCACGGCTTCGGGGAAGACTCTGAGTGTTCTCGTGATGGATATTCTCAAGGCTCCGCGCAGCTACTACGGGCTTGTCACGTCCCCCTCGTACCCTAACGGCGCCATTCGTGGGCAGCTCTATAAGAGCTGAGCGTGTTGAGCGTGTTAAGGATGTGCTTGTCAAGATAGTAGCTAGAGGTGAGGAGCCATGCTAGGGTGAAGAGGAGAAAGTGACGAGAGAGTTTAGGCAAGGAAAGAGGGTTTCACTATAGCACACAAGGTACATATAGCAAAGTAACATAGAAGGTGCACCACCAACTCTTAATAATAATAACTACAGTACCTACAGCACGCAGGGTATATATTAAACATATTGTTTGACACACCCCCTTAGCCTGCGTGCGGTAGAAACTGGTGCAGCCAGCACCCCCTGAACGAGCAAACCAAGCGCTGTGGAAGAAGGCAGAGAAGTGAGGAAGGTGAGAGGAGAGGAGAGAAGAGGAGAGGAGAGGAGAGGAGAGGAGAGGAGGTGGGGGGCCAGGACCGGCGGACCCGCTTACGAACCTCCTTTTACAAAGGGGAGGTGAGAGAGGGAAGGGAGAGGAGGTGGGCTAGGCGGGCTTGAGCGCGAAAGCTCATAGCGATCCCCCCCCGTTAAGAACCCCCAAGTCCCGATGAGGAGAGGAGGTGGGCTAGGCGGGCATGAGCGCGCACGCTCAATGCGATCCCCCCCCGTTAAGAACCCCCTAGTCCTCACCCCCTCGTCACTCAACCCCGTCAACCTCACACCTTCCGCACCTGTCTTCTCCCGCCACCCCCTCACCCTTCTGCACTTCTCTCCCCCCCCCCCCCCCTACAGCAACAGTTGCTGCAGGGAGAGAGGAAGAGGGAAGGGAGGGAGGAGTGGCAGGCTCCTCACACCCGCCCCCCCCCCCCCCCCCCCCCCTACAGCAACAAGTGCTGCAGGGAGAGAGGAAGAGGGAAGGGAGGGAGGAGGTGCTGGCTCCTCACAACCTCACACCCGCCACCCCCACATCTCCCCCTCCTCCCCCCCCCCCCACGACGGAAGCAGTGGAAGGGAGGGCGGGCGGGAGGGGGCAGGGCGGCGGTAGCTGCTGCTGGCGCTGGCGGTAGCTGCTGCTGGCGCTGGCGGTAGCTGCTGCTGGCGCTGGCGCGGGCGGCTGGCGCTGGCGGTAGCTGCTGCTGGCGCTGGCGGTGGCGGCTGGCCGCGGTGGTGGCGTCCGCGCTGACGGGCCACGCTGGCGGCGGCGCCTGCGGTCCGGGCTGGCGCGGGCGCTGGCGACGGAACGGGGGGCCGCGAGGCGACGAAACGGGGTTCGCGGACGACGGGAACTGGGGGGCAGCGGGCGACGGGCAGGGCGTCCGCGGGGCAGCCGACGGGGCGTCCGCGAGGCAGCCGACGTGGCACGTTCGGGGGGACGGGCAGGGCGCGCGTGACGGGCGAACGGGGAGAAAAAAATAGCGCATTTCGCGCTGTAGTACGGGCGGGCCCATGATTCTTAAAAAAAAGAGAAGGTTCCGGGAAAGAACCAGCTCTGTACCATGTCAAGATAGTAGCTAGAGGTGAGGAGCCATGCTAGGGTGAAGAGGAGAAAGTGACGAGAGAGTTTAGGCAAGGAAAGAGGGTTTCACTATAGCACACAAGGTACATATAGCAAAGTAACATAGAAGGTGCACCACCAACTCTTAATAATAATAACTACAGTACCTACAGCACGCAGGGTATATATTAAACATATTGTTTGACAGTGCTTGCAGTGCGTGTTGGTGTTGTAGCGAGTCGGCCAATAGGGGGTTGTAGTATTGTGTGTGCAAGGATGAGCTGTCGTTGCGCCTGTGACATCAAGGCACCCGCAGCGTCTGCCTCAGCTTGCTTGTAACATTTCCTAATAATGCAATAAGCGTGCCTTTGACGGTTCTTTGGTGTCAGGGTTGGCAGGGTGCGTGGTGTAATTCGGGTGCCATGGGTGTGTGGATTGATGTGGTTTGATGTAGTGTGATGGGTGTGAGCATTTGCAGTTTGCCTTTCCCTTGTTACCTGAAGCCGCTTACTTGCTATGCGCAAAGAAAAACACTTGCTTGAGCCACTAGAAACACTTACACTTAGGGAGCACTGGCCACTAAATACACATCACACTTCACCAGTATCCCTCACCCGAATCCCACTAGCATCACTCAACGCAGCTATCATATGCCGCGTCGTGGGGAGCGTGTCTCGCACACTAGGCAGGTGGAACGGCGCTCGCTGTGTCCTCTCAAACAGCCATGGAGTCAAAACACTCTTGAACTCATCAAAGCTAGTCGCTAGTAAGCCTTCCCAATCCACCTGCCGTGGTCCGGTCAGAGGTGGAGTGGGGTGAAGTGGGACAGGATGAGTCAGCCACAGGTGAGTCAGCCACAGGTGAGTCAGGCACAGGTTTACATGCAGAAGGGGAGAGGTGAGTAATGAAGGCTTTTTCCAGCAGCATTTGGGAAGCGAGACGAAGGGAAGACGTGCAGAAATGCCATCTCAAACAAACAGCGGAAATAGGAGACTAGGAGCGGAAGCAAGGAGGTGGTACGAGCAACACCCGACAGCTCTCACCAGGAGGTCTTGAGGAACGTGCGAGGTGGTTTCATGTAGGCACCTATGAAGAGGCCGAGGGTGGAGACGAGATGAAGGAACAAGGTGACAACAGCGGCACTAGACGGGACTCACCAGGATGTCCCGAGGAACGTGCGTTGTGGTTTCCATGTCAGCAGCCATTGATAGGCCGAGGATGGACATTAGCCCCACCATGGCTGACCCACGAGACAGCGGCATGAGCTGGAACCTGCGCGGCACAAAGAGGGGCGAGTGGACAGGTCGAGGAGGATACACAAGAACAACGGGAGGCATGTGAGCAGCCAGTGATTGGCCAATCATGGACATGAGACCCACCATGGCTGACCCACCCTAGACCCACCAAGACAGCGGAATCAGCTGGAACCTGCGCGGCAGAGAGGGGGGCGTGGATAACTATGGCTTACACGGGGCGAGGTGTTCTGGACAAATGAGCTGCAGGGACGGCGGGGCGACCAATACTAAGCCACAGCGAGGATCTGATCTGGGATGCGCCGGCAATACGCATTTAGGGGGGTCAGCGGCAGGTGTACCTGCCAGTTGTAGGTGACGGCGAGGATCCGATCTTAGTGTATGCGCTAGTGATATCCCTTCGGGTTAGTATATGTGCTAGTGATATCCCTTCGGGTGGGCGGCAGGTGAACCCACCAGTAGCAGGCGATTGCGATGATCTGATCCTGAATGCGCTGCTGATATCCATGTGGGCGGGCAGCAGGCGGACCCACCAGTAATATGCAATGGCGATGATTTGATCCTGAATGTGCTGGCGGTACGCGTGTGGTGATGAGATACACGCAGGCAGGGGGAAGGCAGACCCACCAGTAGTAAGCAATGGCGATGATCTGATCCTGGATGCGCTGGCGGTACGCATGTGGTGACGTGGCCTTGGTGCGGTGGTCCAGTGCGGCTTCCATGAATCCTTGCCACGCCGCTGTGAGCTCCGAGTCAAATGCGTTCCAGCGTGTCGCATCGATGGGGGTCACCGTGTCAAAGTCAACTGCCAAGGGACTGGTGGCAGAGCGGAGGGAGGGGGGAATGGGGGGTGTGATGGGATGAGAACTGGTGCGGTGGTGCAGTGCTGCTTCCATGAATCCCTGCCACGCTGCTGTGAGCTCTGAACCAAATGCGTTCCACCGCGCCGCGTCGATGGGGGTCACCGTGTCAAAGTCCACTGCCAACGGGCTGGGGTGGAGAGGGTGCGATGGGGTGCTGGTGATGTGATCGGCAGAGGAGAAAGGGAATGGACGGGAGGATCAAAAGAGGGGAAAGAGAAAGGAGAAGTGAGCAAGTGATAAGCAAAGGACAGGATCCGAGTATGCTAGGCAAACACCGGCATGGGTGTACGGATGCATGCACGTGTGCGCATGTGCATGTGCGCATGTGTGCATGTATGCATATATGCATGTGTGTGACGAACCCACATGACTCACCGTTTCCGCAATCGAAACTCTGTCCCGCCCAGATCCTTCCTGCACAGGAGGGTGGGCGGGAGGACGGGCAAAACATGCGACTCAGAAGCAGCACTGGTGCACGGGGAATGTGATGCGAAGGAGGTAAGAGGAAGGCAGCACGTGAGAGAATCTTGAGTGCTTATGGCATGATACGAGAATACGAAGGAAGGTTGGGTTATGTGGGGAAGGCTGGGTGATGTGGGGAAGGCTGGGCACACAGCGGCGCTCACAGCAGGGCTACATTGGGATGAGGATGATTTGAGGATGCATTTTGCAGGGCCTACTGTGCTTGCAACGCAGTGACATGTGCAAACCAGGTGGGAAAAAACAAGGACCTAGGATGGCAGGCAGGATATAGCACGGCAGGCGCACTAACCCTGGGAATGCCCGGCTGTAGCACGGCAGGCGCACTAACCCTGGGAATGCCTGGCTGTAGCACGGCAGGCGCACTAACCCTGGGAATGCCCGGCTGTAGCACGGCAGGCGCACTAACCCTGGGAATGCCCGGCTGTAGCACGGCAGGCGCACTAACCCTGGGAATGCCCGGCTGTAGCACGGCAGGCGCACTAACCCTGGGAATGCCCGGCTGTAGCACGGCAGGCGCACTAACCCTGGGAATGCCCGGCTGTAGCACGGCAGGCGCACTAACCCTGGGAATGCCCGGCTGTAGCACGGCAGGCGCACTAACCCTGGGAATGCCCGGCTGTAGCACGGCAGGCGCACTAACCCTGGGAATGCCCGGCTGTAGCACGGCAGGCGCACTAACCCTGGGAATGCCCGGCTGTAGCACGGCAGGCGCACTAACCCTGGGAATGCCCGGCTGTAGCACGGCAGGCGCACTAACCCTGGGAATGCCCGGCTGTAGCACGGCAGGCGCACTAACCCTGGGAATGCCCGGCTGTAGCACGGCAGGCGCACTAACCCTGGGAATGCCCGGCTGTAGCACGGCAGGCGCACTAACCCTGGGAATGCCCGGCTGTAGCACGGCAGGCGCACTAACCCTGGGAATGCCCGGCTGTAGCACGGCAGGCGCACTAACCCTGGGAATGCCCGGCTGTAGCACGGCAGGCGCACTAACCCTGGGAATGCCCGGCTGTAGCACGGCAGGCGCACTAACCCTGGGAATGCCCGGCTGTAGCACGGCAGGCGCACTAACCCTGGGAATGCCCGGCTGTAGCACGGCAGGCGCACTAACCCTGGGAATGCCCGGCTGTAGCACGGCAGGCGCACTAACCCTGGGAATGCCCGGCTGTAGCACGGCAGGCGCACTAACCCTGGGAATGCCCGGCTGTAGCACGGCAGGCGCACTAACCCTGGGAATGCCCGGCTGTAGCACGGCAGGCGCACTAACCCTGGGAATGCCCGGCTGTAGCACGGCAGGCGCACTAACCCTGGGAATGCCCGGCTGTAGCACGGCAGGCGCACTAACCCTGGGAATGCCCGGCTGTAGCACGGCAGGCGCACTAACCCTGGGAATGCCCGGCTGTAGCACGGCAGGCGCACTAACCCTGGGAATGCCCGGCTGTAGCACGGCAGGCGCACTAACCCTGGGAATGCCCGGCTGTAGCACGGCAGGCGCACTAACCCTGGGAATGCCCGGCTGTAGCACGGCAGGCGCACTAACCCTGGGAATGCCCGGCTGTAGCACGGCAGGCGCACGTAAAAGTCCCGGCCAATCACGTTGTAGATCCCCTCGTGATCCTCCGCTGCCTCCAGCTGTTGGGAGGCATGGGGGGACGGGGGCATGGGGGGCATGGGGGGCATGGGGGGCATGGGGGGCATTGGGGGCATGGGGTGCATGGGGTGCATGGGGTGCATGGGGGCGTGAGGGGCCATGGGGAGTATGGGAGGGGTATGGTGGCATGTGAGAGGGTGGTGCGCTGTGAGAGGGTGGTGCGCTGTGAGAGGGTGGTGCGCTGTGAGAGGGTGGTGCGCTTGCGTTGAGAGCACACCTGGGGTCCGAAAGAGGAGCGAGGCACGTCGAAAGGCTGGTGGGTGTTGGTGTCAAACGCCCTCTCTGATTGCAACAATCCTTGCCGCGTGACGTTCACTGCCCTGTGGTGAAAATGGAGGGAGAGAAGGAAGGGCGCATGGGAGGAGCAGGGCGGCCTTTGACACCAATCAATGCCCCCTCTGTGTCAACCGCCCTCTCTCATTGCAACACGCCCTGCCGCGTGACGTTCACCACCGTGTGATGGGAGGGGAGGGAGGGAAGGGAGGGAAGGAAGGCGGCGTGTAAAGAGCAGGGCAAGAAGAAGTGGGGCTGCTGTTAAATAACCAGCCAGGGGATGGTGTGAGTTGCGGCGACATGGTACAAGGCAAGGCACTTGACTTAGGAGGCAAGGCACTCACTTGGGGTAAACAGCGAGGTATCTTGCGGTGCCCATGACCCACGTGAAGATGGGTGTGTCGGTGCGATACAGCATGTCAGCCGGCCATCTCTGCCCTTTCCCAAAGGCCTTCCATGCGATGGGCTCCATGGCCTCTGACACCTGCCTCCACGCCACCAGCACTCGGAACACATGCCGCCAGCTCGTCACCAGGTCAGACCGGTCCAACAGACTCCGCCCACCCCCACTGCTGCCACCGCTGCTGCCGCCGCCGCCGCCGCTGCTGCTGCTGCTTGGTCGGCTGCGGCCCGTGCGCTGCCCGCTTTGTCTTTCCTGAAGCGGTTGCTCCAGCTGCCCGCCATGCCTGTGCTGCAGCGCCTGTGACAGCTGCTCCTGCCACTGCTCATCCGGCCCGTGTCCCCCCTCCGCCCCAAAGAGCAGAGGGGCGATGCGCATCTGATCCGCTATCAGCAGCAGCGTGCGCCTCACCTGCTGCATCACGTCTAATGCTGCCAGCCCAGCCATGCGCAGCTGAAGAGTGGCAGGGGAGGATGGGGGAAGAGAAGGAGAGGAGGGAGCCTGAGTTGTGTGCTCACAGGGGCATTGCGGGGAGCATGTGGTGCTGCTGCAGGCGTTGCATGCAGGGAGGTTGGAACTCAGGCCCACACTATGCCACTGCTTGTCACACACGTGCGCTTTGAGTCGACTCAGAACACACCTCAGAATCAGTATCATTGTTACTGTGCCACGCCTGTGCCATGCGGGCCTGCTGGGTGTTGAGCAGCATGCCATGCCACGATAAACCATGCCACGATAAACCATGCCACGATAAACCATGCCACGATAAACCATGCCACGATAAACCATGCCACGATAAACCATGCCACGATAAACCATGCCACGATAAACCATGCCACGATAAACCATGCCACGATAAACCATGCCACGATAAACCATGCCACGATAAACCATGCCACGATAAACCATGCCTCGATAAACCATGCCACGCCATGCCACGCCATGCCACGCCATGCCACGCCATGCCACGCCATGCCATGCCACGCCATGCCACGCCATGCCATGCCATGCCTGCGATGCGTACCTGCTGGGTGTTATGCAGCATGCCATCGGTGTCATGGTGCGTGCGAGCACCAATAATGTCTTAAGACGTCTCAAAACAAGCGCACCTGCTGGGTATTATGCAGCATGCCATTGGTGTCGTAGTGCGTGCGAGCACCAATCACGTCCGCGGCTTCCACCAGCTGCACTGCCGCCCGGGACAGGCGCGGCAGGTGCTGCCACGTGGCAGCTTGCAACTGGTCGTCGGGGATCTCCAGCGGGACGAAGCCTGGCAGATCCTCTGGCTGGCCCCCTGTGGCCCACTTGCCCTGGCGCCCATGGGGGGAGAAGAAAGGGGAGAGGGAGGTGGAGAAGGGGTGAGGGGAGAGGGGGACGGGGAAAGCAGGGAGGAGTGGGGATGAGTAGGAGAATTGGGCTGTTGCGATGAAGTCGGTGGGAAAACCGTTAAGCTTGACGAGCAGAGGAAAGCACTTGCCCGCCAAGCTTGACAGACAGCAGCACCCATTCCTCACAGACCTTCTGAGGGAAAGTTAAGGCTTGCCTTCCATTCCACCACCCCCATCCCGCGTCCCTGATGCCTTGCCCACCCTTCCCCTCTCCCACCCTCTTCCCCCCTCTCCCCCCCCCCCCCCTCTCACCCGCCACTCCTCATCAAGGTCATCGTCGATACGGAAGGCAGAGAAGGGCTGGTCGAGGCGCGACACGGTGTAGGCCAGCAGGTGGCGCTGGAAGAAGGTTCTGTCGCGGTAGGACGTCTGCTCGTTGGGCTGGACGGGCGAGGAGAGCATCTCGTCGTACAGACGCATCTGGTGGGGTGAGTGTGAGGGAGGGAGGGGAGACGAGCATGTAGCAGACGGTGAGTACATGGCATGGCATGGTGCGGCGAGCAGGTGGCGCTGGAAGTAGGTCCTGTGGCGGTAGGAGGTCTGCTCGTTGGGGTGGAGAGAGGAGGAGAGCAGCTTGTTGTAGAGTCGCATGTGGTGTGGGAGGGGCAGGGAGGGCAGGTTTGCATGTGGCTTTGAGTCGACCCCAGAGGAGAGCAGGTGGCGCTGGTAGAAAGGCCTCTTGCGGTATGAGGTCTGCTCGTTGGGCTGGGGAAGAGGAGACGACAGCAGTTCGTCATACAAACGCATCTGGTGGGGTGGGGTGGGGTGGGGCCAGGGAGGGAAGCACATAGACTTTTGAATCGTCTCTCAGAGAAAACAGCGGGTGTAGGCGAGCAGGTAGCGAGTGACACGTGCGAGCAGGTGAGAGCATGGCACGGCAAGGTGTTGTTGGTGAATGTGAGAGAGAGGGAGAGGCGTCACATGTAACTCACAGCAGCAGCATGTTCCCCAAGCACGTGCAGGCTGGACGCCTTGGCGTGCATGATCTCGAGGTCGCCTGGGAACGCCTTCAGCCCCGCGTCTGCCATTGGAATCACTCCCCTGGAGGGGGAACGAGGAGACGAGGCAAGGCGCGGGGGAGGAGAAGAGAGGAGTTTAGAGAATAGAAGTGGAGACGAGACAAGGTGTGGGGAGGAGAGGGAGAGGTCGCCTGGAAACGCCCTCAGCCCCGCGTCTGCCATGCGAATCACTCTCCTGGCGCGGGATTGAGGAGAGGATACAAGGTGCAGGGGAGGGGAGGAGAGGAGAGCAGATTTGGGGGGTCAAAGTGTAGATGGAACAATGTGTGGGGGAGGAGAGGGAGAGGGACGGAAAACAAGGAGAGCAGTTGGAGGGTGGAAGGAATTTGAGATGAGACAATGCGGGAGGAGGGGTGGAGGGGCGGATGGGTGGGTAATGGGTGGAGGGTTGTGGGTGGTGGGTGGTGGGTGGTGGGTGGTGGGTGGTGGGTGGTGGGTGGTGGGTGGTGGGTGGTGGGTGGTGGTTGCTCACCAGTGATCTCCCAGCAGTCGCTTCTGCAGCACGAGGTTGTGATGCGTCTCTAGTATCCTGCCAGTCAGGGACATGGATTAATAGTGAAAGGGAGAGAGTGAGTGAGTAAGCCAGAATAAGCGAGCATGTGCGAGGGAGGGAGGAAAGGCAGGAAGCACAAGAATGGACTAACGGAGCACCAGAGACAAACGGACTCTGAAAGAGAGGGTCTGGGAAGGACGGCTGAGCGGCAGAGAATCAGAGAGGGGGGGAGGCGGGCAGGCAGGGAGGCAGCGAGGGAGGGCGTGAGGATTAGATCAGGGCAGAGAAGCAAATAGAAAAGAAGAGCAAAGAAGAGCAGGGCAGGCAGAGCAAAGAAGAGCAGGGCAGGCAGAGCAAAGAAGAGCAGGGCAAGCAGAGCACATACTGTCCGAGCTGGAGTGAGAGCAGCAGGTCCCTCTCGGCCTCATGGGTCTCCCCCAGCAGGCGGTGCAGGCGCCCCTTCTCCTTGCGCAGGTCCGCATTCCCTTGTCCTTGCACACATCCCCCTTCTACTTACTGTCCCAGCTGGAGTGAGAGCAGCAGGTCCTTCTCAGCCTGGTCCGTCTCCCCCAGCAGGCGGTGCAGGCGCCCCTTCTCCTTGCGCAGGTCCGCATCCCCTGGCAGCAGCTCCACCGCCCGAGCCAGGTACGGCTGTGCCGCCCGGAACTGGTTCGACCGTACGAATGCAATTCCCTGGGGGGGGAGTGAGCGGGATGGGAGGTGTGAGCAGGGGTTGGGGTTTTGAGTCGTCTCAAATATCCCCCTCGCCAGGTACAGCTGTGCTGGTCAGAACTGGTTCGACCGTACGAATGCCACTCCCTGGTGTGGAAAGGGGAAAGGGGACAAGTGGGGAAAGTGGGGAAAGAAAGGGAAGAGGGGGGGGAGCGGGGAGGAGGGGAAAGGGGCATGGGTATAGCAGGACGGCCGTAGGGAGGACGGCTGGGAGAAGCAGTGCTGAGAGGCACAGGAGGAGAAGGCGCGGGTGTAGCGGATCAATGGCTGGAGTGGGATGACCTGGCAGTCCACCTGGCAGTCCACCTGGGCTGCGCTGGGCTGCGCTGCTTGTCTCGAGTCTCACCACGGCTCGGTTGAGGTCGGCGTCGTTCGGCAGCATGTGCAGCGCGGGCAGCAGGTCTTTGAGGGCGTCTTTGAAGCGGTAGCAATTGAACGCGCTCAGCCCTGAAACACGGGGGGAGGGGGAGAGGGAAGAGGGGAGAGGGGAGGGGGGTGGGGAAAGGGGAAGGGGGAAATTGAGGGGTGGGAAGGGACGGAGGAAAGGGGGGCAGCAGGTCTTTGAGGGCGTCCTTGAAGCGGTAGCAGTTGAACGCGCTCAGCCCTGCACCACGGGGGGAGGGGGAGAGGGAAGAGGGGGGGGGGGGGGGGGGGGAAGGGAAGGAGGAAAAGGGGGGAAACAGGTCTTTGAGCGAGTCCTTGCAGCGATACAAGTTGAACGCGCTCAGCCCTGCGCGATGGAAGGGGGAAGGGGGAAGGGGGAAGTTTGGGGAGGGGAAGGGAAGGAGGAAAGGGGGGAAGCAGGAGGGGGGGGAAGGGGGGGAAGGGGGGGAAGGGGTAAGGTGTTTAGTAGAAATTTAAAAAACAGAAACTGCTGGAGTCGCTCACCCCCGCACAGGGAAGGGAAGGTTTGATTGACAGGGAAGATGTGGCAGGGCGAGTTGGGGAAAAGAGGGCAGGGCGAGTTGGGGAGGAGAGGGCAGGGCGAGTTGGGACGGTGAGGCACTAAAGTCGGCAGTGGCAGGCAGTGCCGGGCACGTTCTTCTTGGCACATGCACACCACACCCCACCACACCACACTACATCACACCTGCAAGCACTGCACACCTGTTCACCACACCGTACCTCCCCTCTCCTCTCCCACGCACCTCGCCGTTTGAGCGCCTCCACATCCCCTGGTTGCAGCAGCAGGGCGCGGCTGAACGCCTCGTGCGCCCTCTCGTGCTGCCCCAGCGCCTGGCGCTCCGCCCCCACCTCCATCCACAGCTCTGCACTCTCGGGATTGGCGCTCACTGCCTGCGGGGAAGGAAAGGAGAGGCCAGAGAGCCACGTGATGAGATTCACTTCGAAAAACACCTCCATCCACAGCTCTGCGCTGCCAGGGTTGGCGCTCACCGCGTGTACGGGAGGAGGGGCCAGGGAAGCACATTTTGTGATAAGAAGTGGGTTGCCTGGACTATTACCTCCATCCACAGCTCTGCACTGCCAGGGTTGGCGCTCACCGCCTGTATGGGAGGAGGGGCCAGAGAAGCACATTTTGTGATAAGACGTGGGCTGCCTGGACAATTACCTCCATCCACAGCTCTGCACTGCCACGGTTGGCGCTCACTGCCTGTATGGGAGGAGGGGCAGGGAGTACGCATGCAAAGGCTTAGGGGGAGAGCGCTTCACAGAACGCACTTTGCTGTGGCGCTGCAGCGATTTTTCCCCATGATGCGCCTGCCTCCATTCACAGCCGCGCGTTGATAATACACTGTTTTTGAGACGTCTCAAAAGCAGTTTGTTTTGCCCACGCTGCGCCTACTTCCACCCACAGTTGTGCGTGGCTGGGGTTGGCGGTCAGTGACCGCCCGTCACTGCCTGTGGGGGGAGTGAGGGAAGGTGCGCGCAGAGAGAGGCTGAAATGGCCTGACATGAAGGTATGGTGTGTGTGACAAGGGGGTGACAATACAGAGGGTGTGCAAGAAGCAATAGGGATGTGACAGGAACGAAAGGGAGGACCTGGCTTGTCACGCCTAACATTTAAAGCCCGATCGTCATGCGGTGCAGAGCGGACAATGCTATGCCGGCCTGCCCCACATGGTGCGGCGCCAGGGGCTTGCGCGGCTCACCTGCTCGAAGTCCGCTACAGCCGGCTCGTGCATCTGTAGCAGCGACTTGGCCACGCCACGCCCGTGCAGCAGTCGCTGGTGCAGCCGCCGCAATAGCCGCTCCGCCTGTGGGGCAACGGAGGGCGGTTGGGAGCAGCAGAGGAAGGAGGCTTCAAGGGATCTCGTTTCATCTTGCCTCGCACCTCGTTACATCTCGCCGCGCATCTCGTTACATCTTGCCTCGCACCTCGTTACATCTCGCCGCGCATCTCGTTACATCTTGCCTCGCACCTCGTTACATCTCGCCGCGCATCTCGTTACATCTTGCCTCGCACCTCGTCACATCTCGCCGCTCACCTCATCGTATGTGGCGACGGCCTCTTCGAGCCGCTCGCCTTCCAGCTGGTCGCGTCCCTCCGCGATTAAAGCCATCATTCGCTCGCTCACGCGCCGCGCCACCTCCGCCTCGCTGCTTCCGCCGCCGCCGCCGCCGCCGCCGCCGCTGCTGTCACTGCTTCTGCCGGTGCTGGTGGAGTTGTTATCGTCATCTACAAGCCCGCTTTCGCTGACGGCGGCATCAATCCGTAACGACTCCTTCGCGTCGCGATCATGAGAACCGGTGCGACTCGGCGGACACGCCTCCTCATCTCCCAGGCAAAAACCAAACTTTTCTGCCGCAACTTCCGCCGCCACTGACGCCGCCGGATCTAACGCCGCGTCTGCCGCTGGATTTAACGCATCAACGCTGGTGTTGCGAATGCTAGAAGTAGTGAGATTAATAGGAGCACCTCCGTCGCCCAGCGGCTCCGACGGCAGCAAGCGCGTAGCGTGACTGACGGCGCATTCGAACGTGCCGATGAGGACAACCAATGCCGCCCAAGCTACTAAACTCCTGCTCAACGACCGAGTCAGGCCATCCAACGGGAAAGCCATTTGGCGGCTGAAACCTCTAATAGAGCTTCCTGGGCTCAGATGCTTGTTGCGCGCATCGGCGATACAGGCACGGCGACTCGAACCGTTTAAATATTCCTTTCAGCGGATGAGAGGAGAATGGTAAGAGGAGAACTGCATTAGACGGAGTAATTTCGGAAACGCGTGTTGTGTAAAGGTAATTGCTCAATATGAGCACTGAGGGGAAGACATGGGCTGAGGTCTCCATGCGAAATGAAATCGCTGGAGCAGACACCGCCAGAAGTTGGGACAGTTCCACATAATAGGTCCATACATCATGTTTGCTTGCAACTTCTGTTCACCCAAACTTCCGACGGGCTGTTTGCGACGAAGGTATCCATCGGGAACATCGCAATAGAATGCATCGTACAAGTACGAGGGAATCAGTTGTCTTGATTCCACTCGGAGGCACGAGACTGCCATGCGACTGCGTTACGAAAAACTGCAGTAGATTTCGTAATAACATGGAGAAAGACCATTTGCTGAGGTTTTTTAGGGCAACTAGGCGTCTGTCATGAAGAGCACACAAGGTGTCAAGATGGTGTCCGCTCCTGAGAGCGCGATCTGGGCAGTCAGGAGGGAGGTGGGAGAGAGCCGAGCCGACCCGAGGAGATGACTACCGTACTGTGTTCACAAATCTGATCAGGGGGTTGATGGTCCTGCGAGCGAGAAAGGTGGAGCGAGATTTTGAAAGATTACGAGCGGTCAAAGTGGATAATTGCGGCAATATCTGGGGAAAGGAGATCGTCGTCCGTCGTCGTTCGATCTCGCAAGAAGGGCACTGTACAGTCAGTCAAGTGCACCCATCTGTCAGAGCTGGCATTGCTCGCCTCACACCCACGATGCCAGATTGCCCAGCGTGGGCCGCTGTCGTCGTTCGCCCTCAATTCTGCTGCAGTGACGTGCGGACTTGTCGTTACTCGCAGCCCAGTCAACTAAGCATTCTCGATAGTGTGTACTGTGAAGCCATAGACTTTCAAATGCATGGCGCACTTTATGGCAGCTAGAACGCCTATGAATGGAGAAAATACGCATATCAAATCCGTTCAGATTGAGTTAATCAAAAACGCTTTTTTTCTGTTCATAATAAAATTTTTGTTTTAGTTTTATCTTTTCATAATCATCCCCAATGCATATGGGATCGAAATATCCAATATTATGATTGTGGTTGAACTATATTTACTATCTGCATAATTGAGTGCAAATTGAACAGCTCGTAAACTCTGTACCGGGATAAATCTTCCACGACAGTTGGCGCTTGTTGGCGGACATGTGGTCACGGGCAGTGCCCCCAAGCTTCCCTTCTCGGCTGAACGGCCTTCGTTGGTTCTTGGGTTGGGATGGAACCCGTCTGTGCCGTCGATTCCAATCTGTTGTGGCCAATTATTTCCGACAAGGATCTGGGAGATGCTTACCCACGCACTGCTGTCTTGCCATCGCGCCGCACCGTTCCAGCAATGCACGGCGAACCAGCCGTGTCACACGGTTTTCGCACACCCCTCTTTTTCCATGACAGCCGTCGATACCATCATTCGTGAACATCGAAACCGTTGCCATCGCCGTTCGTACCTTCGCCAGCCTTACCTCATGCGAGTTGCCCGCACCGCCACTCATCGTTCATCGTATCGCAGCAGCATTTTCGTGAGTCATGATCCACCAGCAGTGTTCCTCCTTGCTCTGCTGTTTTCCCTCTCACCAGCTACACCTACCCACCCAACTTCACTCACCTCGTCCCTGCCCTCCAACGGCAGCTGGTCTTGGACAACCAGAACAAAAGCTCCCTTTCCGAGCATTGCTCACAATCACCGCCTGTCCATCAGCTTGCGTTGCCTCCATCCTCGTCTCCATCTCGTTTCTGTCTGCTGCGTAGCCAAACTCGGTGCGCTCCTCGCGTGCTCTTGGCTCCCTGCTGCCTCTCCTGCTACTGCCGCACCTAGCAAGACAAGCGCGTTACTGCAGCAGCCGATTCGTTAATCTTCACTCGCTTTCCGTGCGAGTAGCTTCACTCGTTATAAACCAATTTTAACGCAGCACATGTTCGTGACACCGCCATGGCATCGCGAGTCATTCTCTCACAAGCGCGCGCAGCGGGGGCGAAGCACGCGCCGCTCTCCGACAACCTCATTGCGCATCTCCTCAGGCCGCTGAAAAACCCGCCCGCCGCACCATCCCCCGCAGCCTCCAACGTCGCATCTGCCGCCTCAAAATTCGCATCCGCCGCTGATCCCTCCAGTGTTTCCTCCCCGCAAGCACCGACCCCGCATCCCCCCGCGCTCCCCGCAACTGACCTCGATCGCCCGTACCGCAGCCAGTTCAGTCGCAGGCCCGCAACATCCGCTATCTCGCCGGCCGTCGTTCCTCTGCTCCTGAACCTCCAACCCGCTCCGCAGCCCACCTTCGTCGGCTCAATTCTCGACACATGCGCTGCGCTTCCCGCGGAAGACGCTGTTCCCGTCGTCTCGTGGTCCAATGTCCTGCCTGCGAGCGACGGAGCCGTTGGCCCGGGAGAACAGCCCCCGGCGGAAGCTACCGATTCCGCCTCGCTTGTCCTTCCTCTCCCCGTGCTGTCAGCCGCCGCTGCTAGCCCGTCTGCTGGCCCCTCCCGTCGCCGCCCCGTCTCCGCCGTCGATTCTCCCGCTGCCAAGGCGGGGGGCGCGAGCGCGGCAGCACCGAGGGGCGTTCAGGCGATCGTGGACGACATTCTCAGCGGCCGCTTCAAGGATGCGCACCGCGAATTGTCGCGCACTACCGCTGCTTCCGCTACCGCGCCCCGTCCCGCCGATGAACCCGCCGCTGCCCCACCCGCCGCAACTGTCGCCGCTGTTACGGCGGCCCTTCGCGCACCCCCCTCTCCGAAACCGAACCCCACCCCCTCTCCCACCGCGAAGGCCGCTTCCGTAGCGGCTGAAGCCACGGACTTCCCCCCACTGCCCAGCGGCATCGTCCTTCCCGACGTTTTCCCCCTCATGGCCTCCCCAATCGCCTCTCCGAAAGCCGCGCCATACCTCTCCGCTTTGACTGATTGCGCGCACCCTTCGTCCGCCACCTCCTCCGCGCCCGCTGTCGCCGGTTTCACCAGCGCGTCAAAACCAGTGGCGTTCACCATCGGTTCCCCCTTGGACGAGTTTTTCTCCCCCGATTCCTCCCCGCCCGCCACGCTCTCCGCTCTCTCTTCCGCCCTTGATCAGGGCGATTCCTCCCCGGTGCTGGCTGCCACGTCAGCTTCTGCTGCCGCGGCTGCTGCGGCCGTGTACCACCACCCGCACTTCCTGGAGTCGCAGGACGGCAGCAAGGGTCCAGCGGTGCGGCGCAACGGCAGCAAGGGCGGCAAGCAGGCCAAGGGCGGTGAGGCCAAGCCTGCCGCTCGTTCTGGTGATCGCAACGGCGGCAAGCGCAGCAAGGCAGGAGGTTCGGCCGAGGCTGATGATTGGGTGAAGGCGAAGCTGGAGCAGCCGCAAGCCTCCGTGGGCCATGGCCGTGGATTGGACGCCAAGAGGGCTGGTGGGAAAACTGCCACTACAGTTGCTATTGGTGCTCCAGGGGGGGTGGTTCGTACACTTGAGCTTTATCTGCCTTATTCAACCGCAGCCATTAACCCGACCACTAATGGTCCTGTGATTGGTGCTGCGGCACCTGCTGGGCCTCGTGTGCCTGATGGCACCCGTGGGTTCACTTTTGGACGTGGGAAGAGTCTTGCGTGTTAAATGAGAACTCACCTCATACTAAGGACCTATACATGCTAGGATTTGGTTGTTATTTTAGCTCAGCATAGTTAGAAATCTCTGGAGCGTCAGTGAATTACATCCCCTCAAGAAGTGTATGTATTGTAGTGCTTTATCCCTGGTGATGACAAAGAACGAGGGAAAATATGCCATTCGTAACCTTCATGGGACTCGATAACACAGTTGGTAAAAAAATAAAGGGTACGGTCACTGCAAAGGGTGTTTTCACGCGACTGATAAAGAGTTTCACGGAATCAGTCACAATCAACAGGTAAAAAAAAACGCGAATGGTCACAGATGAAATTCCCGCCAAAACAAAATGAAACCCAAAAAGAATCTGGGTGCATTTTCGGATGAATCAACCCTAACACGTAACTAGCCAGGTGTTTAGGGTTGATCCGTTCCCGAACCGCATCCGATTCCGATTGGGTTTTAGTTTTTTTTTACAAGTTCGCAGATTGGTTGGGGGCGAGCGGGAATTTTGTTGAGTTTCAAGTTTTTTTGGCGGGAGTTACATGTGTGACCATTCGCGTGATTTTTTACCTGTTGTTAATGACTGAATCCGTGACCCCACTTACCAAACCCGTCTGGAAACCCGATACAGTGACCGTACGCGTTTTTTTTGTACCATTTACGTTATCGAGTCCCAAGTTCGTTACTTGTGGCATATTTTCCCAAAGAACGAGCTGATTGCTCTTATTTCTTGGCTCTTAGTTTGGTCGTGTAGTTTGGAAGCTGGGGTGGACCCGTTGACACAGTTGACTTCGCCTCGATTCTGCGTCTGCTTCCTCGCTCCCCCGCCTCAGCTGGAGGTCAGACCGACAAGCGCACATCAAGGTCACGGACCGCGACTGTGAATGCCTTCTCAGCCTGAAATTATTGCCCCCGTTCTGGTTATGGCATCTGCTCGACAATAATTGCAGGTACTCTCGCACCAGAACATGTTTTTGCCCTTTCGTCCTCCGCATGCCTCACACACCAACTCCTGATCCCATCTCAGATGCAAGTCCCTTCGATTGGATTAGTCGTACAAAACACGGCAGTCTTCTCGTCTGATCCTCCCTTCGTTGTTTAGTCTAGGCACGCAATTGACGAGAACCTCGCAACTCCTGTGCGGTCCAGACTCCTAGAATTGGAGTGGCTTCGAGCTGATTCCCGCAGAAATTTTCCTGCCTTCATCATCCATCACGAATTTCGACTGTATCAAATCAGCCTCAGCATCAAGCGCATCGCAACATGGGGCAGTTTAGAGACTGGTTGCGCGAACCCTTCGGAAAAAAAGATATGGGTCACAGTCGCGTTCTTTTCGTGAATGATCCCGAGGGAAACGACGAGTTCGGGTTTAGCAGCAACCGCATCCACACCACCAAGTACAAATGGTACTCCTTCCTTTTCCGCGGCCTCTTCGAGCAATTCCGCCGCGTCGCCAACTTGTACTTTCTCTTCCACGCGTGCGTCTCGCTCACGCCGCTCTCACCCGTCAGCCCCATCGCGACCGTCCCGCCGCTCGTGTTCGTCGTCGGGCTCGCCATGGCGAAGGAGCTATGGGAGGATATAAAGCGCGGGCGCTCCGATTACGAGACGAATAAGCGGAAAGCGACGGTGATACGGCCGGACGGCACGGAGGCGACGCGGCGATGGCGCGATCTGCGCGTGGGGGAGCTGATCCGCGTGCCGCACGACGCCTTCCTCCCCGCCGACATTATTTGCGTCGCGACGAGCGGCGACGGCGGCGCGTGCTACGTGGAAACGATGAATCTGGACGGCGAGACGAACCTGAAGATGCGCAGTGCGGTCTTCGAGACGCACGCGATGAGCGCGGCGGAACTCGCGCGGTTGCGCGGGCGCATCGAGTGCGAGCATCCGAACGCGTCCATCTACACGTTCGCGGGAAAAATGCTGCTTAGAACGAGTACCGAGGGTGCTCTTAGCGGGCACACTGATTTTAGCGCGAGCATCGAAACTCCGGAAGGCACGGAATTTGGTGGCGCGGCGCCGATCTTCATCACTCCAGCGAACATTCTCCTGCGCGGCTCGCGGCTTCGTAACACCAAGTGGGCGGTGGGGATTGTCGTTTACACCGGCCGCGAGACCAAGATCATGATGAACTCCACCGACCCGCCGTCCAAACGAAGCTTCGTGGAAAAGCGGCTCGATTTCGTGATCATGTTCGAGCTGGTGGTGCTGGTGGGCCTCGCGACGTTCTCCTCCGTGATGTACGGCGTGTATCTCGGCAAGTACATGCCGCAGCAATGGTACCTGCGCCCCGAGGATTACACCGGCGTGAAGGGCGTGGCCAAGGCGATGTACAACTGGCAGCAGCCCGCTTTGGCGGGATTCATGCAGTTTTTCACGGCGCTCGTGCTATACGGGTATTTTGTGCCTATATCGCTGTATGTGACTATGGAGCTCGTGAAGCTGGTGCAGGCAGCGACAATCGCGCTGGATCTGCATATGTATTACGAGGAGAGGGATACCCCCGCTACTGCGCGCACCTCTAACCTTAACGAGGAGCTCGGTATGGTGCACACCGTTTTGTCCGATAAAACAGGGACATTAACTCGCAACCAGATGGATTTCTTCAAGTGCTCAATAGCCGGGATAGCGTACGGCACGGGGGTGACGGAGGTAGAGAAAGCGGCGGCGGAGAGAATGGGCCAGCCAATCCCGGACGAGGATGAGGAGATGGAGGGGGAGGAGGGGGTATACACCCCGTTAAAGCCCCTGGAAAAGGGGTACAACATGAAGGACCCCCGGCTGGACGATCTGAAATGGCGGACGCAGCCGACGGCCGAGGAGATTCGGAGGTTCCTGGAGGTGCTGTCCGTGTGCCATACTGTTGTCGCAGACATGGGCGACGCAGCAGATGCAGCGGGAAGTGCGGGGAAGGAGGGTGGCGCCGGTGGTGGCGGGGCAGGTGGGGGGGTTGGTGCGGGGAGTGATGCGGGGGTGGGGTGGGAGGCGGGTGCACTGCGGGGCAGCGCGGGGGGGCACATAGGTGATGGCGACAGCAGCAGTGACGACGACGACGAATACGAGGCGGCCATGTGGCGCGACGACGGCGGCATGGTCAGCGTGGGCGGCAGCATGCGCAGCCTGGGCGGCAGCATGTCGAGCTACCACACGGCCGACGCGCGCAGTGCTCAAGACTCGTTCCCCTCCTTGGGATCATCCTCGTCGCAGCCGTCCGCCTCGCAGGCGTCCGCGTCAGCATTCGAAAGCGCCAGGCAGCAGCAGGCGGAGTGGGCGGAGCAGGGTAGCGACTTACCGCGCGCCCCCTCAGGGGAAGGCTCGGGTGGAGTCTCGGGGGTAGGTTTGGGGGAAGGCGCGGGGGGAGTAGATCCCGACGCGGTGCGGTACCTGGCGGAATCCCCCGACGAGGCGGCGTTTGTGGTGGCGGGGAAGCGCATGGGGATGGTGTTCGCGGGGCGGCAGGGGCGCGAGGTGCGCGTGCTGGAGTACGCGGAGGGGTGGGCGCTGCAGGACGAGCGGCGCTACACGCTACTCCACACCATCGAGTTCACCAGCCACAGGTACCACAGCGCGCGTGCCAGGCACACGTGGCGTGTGTGAGCCACAGGTATCGGGAGTGTGAGTGTGTGCGCCATACCCCATACAATGTCCTCACCGATTCCCATACTCCTTGCCCTTCCCATACCCCTCCCCATCCCCCTCCCCCTCCCCTTCCCCCCCCTCCTCCCTCTCACCATACAGGAAGCGCATGAGTGTGGTGGTGCGCTCGCCAGAGGGCAATCTTGTCCTTTTGTGCAAGGGCGCCGACAACATCATCATGGACCGCCTGGGCGGCAGTGACGAGGCGCAGCAGCACCGGCCAATCACGGAGCAGCACATGCGCACGTACGCGGAAGCAGGGCTGCGCACGCTGGCAATCGCGTGGAAGGAGATTGGCGAGGAGGAATATGCCAGCTGGCAGGTGCGGATTGGGCGGATGGAGGGGGGAGATGAGAGGGGTGCACATGTGTGTGCATGTGACTCATTCGCCTCACACACATGACATGATATAAGGGCCAATGGAGCATGGCTTGCACGTGTCATGCCACACACATGCCGTTCCACATATGACACGTGCTTGCACCATCTCACATCCCGCTGCGGTACTGCGTTTTCCATGGCATGGCAGGTGCGGTGGGAGCGCGCCAAGGGGAATGTGGCGGACGTGGCGGCGCAGGCGGTTGAGCTGGAGGCGCTAGCGGACGAGATGGAGAGGGGGCTCACGCTGCTGGGGGCCACGGCCATTGAAGACAAGCTGCAGGTGCGCGCTTGGAGGGCATGGGTGGGTGGCATGTGTGGTGCGCTTGGAGGGCATGGGTGGGTGGCATGTGTGGTGCGCTTGGAGGGCATGGGTGGGTGGCATGTGTGGTGCGCTTGGTGGCGCAGGCAGTGGAGCTAGAAGGCCTGGACCAGGGAGATGGAGAGGGGGCGCATCCTGCTGGGCGTTACAGCGATCGAAGACAAGCTGCAGGTGCGCGCTTGGAGTGCATGGGTGGGTGTTGTGTGTGTCAAGTGCTTGAGTCTCCGGTGAGGAGAAGCTGATGTTGTTGAGTGAAATCTCATACCCTCCACAACCCTCTCCCCACGGCAGATGGGTGTGGCACAGGCCATTGAAGCCATGGCAGCGGCGGGGATCCGCCTGTAGGTGCTGACGGGCGACTAGCTCTTCTTGAAAATTGCAGAGTAGAATATTCAACCCTTTCCACCGCACTTGCTCCCCACCCGTTCTCGTCACCACCCTCCCCCTATAACAGGTAGGGGTGCCACACGCCATCGAGGCCATGGCAGCGGCGGGCATCCGGCTGTGGGTGCTGACAGGGGACAAGCTCGAGACGGCCGTCAACATCGGCTTTGCGTGCCGCCTGCTGCGCCCGGGCATGCAGCAGAACATGGTGTTTCTGGAGGACAATGACCGGCTGACTGCTGACGCTGCTGCTGCTGGCGCCGACCCTGCAGAGGTGAGGCACCAGTGGGGGGGCTGGGGTGTGTGTCTCGGGCATGCAGCAGCACGTGCTGTTCCTCGATGATAATAACAGGGTTGCTGCTGATGCTGATGCTGATGCTGATGCTGATGCTGCTGCTGCTGCTGCTGCTGCTGCTGCTGCTGCTGCTGCTGCTGCTGCTGCTGCTGCTGCTGCTGCTGCTGCTGCTGCTGCTGCTGCTGCTGCTGCTGCTGCTGCTGCTGCTGCTGCTGCTGCTGCTGCTGCTGCTGCTGCTGCTGCTGCTGCTGCTGTGCTGCTGCTGCTGCTGCTGCTGCTGCTGCTGCTGCTGCTGCTGCTGCTGCCTGCTGCTGCTGTGCTGCTGCTGCTGCTGCTGCTGCTGCTGCTGCTGCTTGCTGCTGCTGCTGTGCTGCTGCTGCTGCTGCTTGCTGCTGCTGCTGCTGCTGCTGCTGCTGCTGCTGCTGCTGCTGCTGCTGCTGCTGCTGCTGCTGCTGCTGCTGCTGCTGCTGCTGCTGCTGCTGCTGCTGCTGCTGCTGCTGCTGCTGCGCTGCTGCTGCTGCTGCTGCTGCTGCTGCTGCCTGCTGCTGCTGCTGCTGCTGCTGCTGTGCTGCTGCGCTGCTGCTGCTGCTGCTGCTGCTGCTGCTGCTGCTGCTGCTGCTGTGCTGCTGCTGCTGCTGCTGCTGCTGCTGCTGCTGCTGCTGCTGCTGCTGCTGCTGCTGCTGCCTGCCTGCTTGCTGCTGCTGCTGCTGCTGCTGCTGCTGCTGCTGCTGCTGCTGCTGCTGCTGCTGCTGCTGCTGCTGCTGCTGCTTGCTGCTGCTGCTGCTGCTGCTGCTGCTGCTGTGCTGCTGCGCTGCTGCTGCTGCTGCTGTGTGCTGCTGCTGCTGCGGCTGCTGCTGCTGCCTTGCTGCTGGCTGCTGCTGCTGCTGCTGCTGCTGCTGCTGCTGCCTGCTGCTGCTGCTGCTGCTGCATGCTGCTGCTGCTGCTGCTGCTGCTTGCTGCTGCTGCTGCTGCTGCTGCTGCTGCTGCTGCTGCTGCTGCTGCTGGCTGCTGC